AATGTGTAAAAGAAATGATAATAAAAGTTGTGTAAGTCTAAGTCTCCAGCACTGCTGCAAGCTGTCACTCACGTTTCCCCGCCCACTGCGGTCAGAATGGGGTCAAAATCTGAAGGTGAAAAAAAATGATTTAAAAGTAAAAAAAAAAAATAAAAATCCTGAAACAGAAAAAGCAATTTGAAACAAAAAAATAAAGAAACTGACAGAAATGGATTTGAACCTGAAAAGGTAAAATTTAAAACTGCAATAAAGAAAATAATTAAAAAAGAAAAAGTGTAATTAAAATACTAAATACAATTTAGATTAAATTGTTATTATTTTATGTTTGCTTTTTAGTTTCTCACATTATAAGATTAAAATTTCACATTAAATATCAACTTCTATTTTTCCCGTTTTAACTCAGATTTAGAAGTTTACAAAAGTTTGACCGTTTCTGACTCCATAGAGTTCGTTCAGTTTCTTCTGAACTTCAGAAAACTTTTACCTGAACTTTTCTCACTCTGTGGTTTTACTGCTAGAGTCCAAACTTCCGACTGATTCAGTGACATTAACCGGTTTTTCATCATTTGATTTCCTTTTATTATGTAACTTTTAATTGCTGTTGCCTCTGAATCAGGACTACTTTGTTTATAAGACTCATTGGGAAAACCCCGGTTAAATAAAATAGAAAATCCCTTTATTGTCTCACAGCAGTGTTCATTTTCATTACAAAAACATTCTTCTTTCTACTTTTGCAATTTTAGCTTCATTTCTAAGAATTTCCTCCTTGGTTCCCACTGCTCAGGGGTCAAAATAGATTTAAATTCAAAAGGGTCGGATGTATAAAATGACACAGAGAACCTAGATAATTGCCTTATAATGTCATGGCAATCCAGACCTAAATGTAAAAAATGTGTTAACTGAAATGCTGAAATATTAAAATAGACAGAAACAAGAACTACGAGAGAGAAATAGTCAAAGATTTATGTACATCCGGCTCTTTATCCAAAAATAAAGAGAATGCTATTAAATATCTTCTTCGAATATAATTTAAGGATTAATTTTGGTAGAAATGAAAGAATGTTTAGCATCACCTCTTTTGAGCTGCATAAAATAAAATCTTGATAGTTAGGCAATTTTCATGCTTGGCGGAGGTGTTATGGTTCTTCCCATTTGTTGTGAGTTTTCAGTTTTCTGTTATCAGTTGTTTTGTTTTTATTTTCCATGATATTCAAGCATTCTTTAGTGACTCTCTGTCGCCCCCTTGTGATTGTTTTCTCTCCCCTTGGATTCCCTCTTACCAGTTCCACCCACACCTGCCCCTTATTCAGCTCGTTAGTCCATCCTTTGTTCTGTTCTCCCTAAATACTCCACCTCTGCAGTCACTCAGCGCTGGTTCCTTCTCTTTGCTGTACTGGTCAACTCAGCTTGTCTCCATGTGGCTCCTCAGGCTAATTTTTTCCCCTGATGTCTCCATGGTTTTTGGTTTGTTAAACATTTTAGTTAGATTTTTGGATTTGTACCTCTGTTTCCTGTTTTCCTTAAATAAATCAGTTGGAACTCATCTCTGCTTCACTCGGCTCTGCATCTGGGTCCTTAAGCAACCTTACAACCCACTGTTGACAAAAGGATGATCAGCCACATCTAGTTTATTAAGTAGCGAGAGCAGGAAAAGCCGTACTGCTGAGAGCGAACCATCACAGTGGAGCGTAAAGCGCAGACTCTGAGCTAAGCTATGCAATGATGCATTTCTGCACAGCTGGAAGATCAGAGCGCGCCGTAACGGATCATTCCGGGTTATTTTCCTCCCTGCTGCTGCCATGATCCATCTGGGGTCGTGCAGAATGAGCAAAGCTGCGGCGTCGCCGAACAGAACGCGGCGGCACGGCTGATGCTGCTTAGCAGATTACAGCACAATGATGCATTTAAACCAACGACCTGCTAGTCTCATCAGCCAAAACTCGCACCCATGACTCGCCATATTTTCATCGTCAAAGATCCATGTTTAGCTCGTCATGAAAAAAAGGAGCGGCAATGAAATGATTTCGTTAATCGTTGAGGAAAACAACCCAGTTCCACAGTGGGGAAATTCATTCATTTAAGGTTTAAATAATATTTTAAATAAATAAAGCAACGTTTAAATGCCGTGTTTCTGCATGAACTCAGTCATCTCTCAATGCAAATCCTTTTATCAGACTTTATCTCGTCACCCTCTCCATGAAGTTCTTCTTCATGTCATCAGGATGAACAGATGTTCTGGCTGCAGAGAGTAAAGCCTGTCAGCGTGTGAGGAATCCGCTCAGCGCTTCGTCTGCAGCTTCCTGGTGCTGCTTGATTCCCAGTGAGGGAAACGTTCTGAGTGAAATTACTTCCCTGTTCTGGAATCACGTTAGCATCAGGAAGTTATGCAGCTGGTTATGAGGAAGAAGCTTTAATAAAGGTTGGTTTAATGGTGCATACCTACCTTTGTTTGACAGGATTTATTCCTCTGAGTCACTGAAGAGGAGGTGAAAAAACTGGAAATATGTGATTCTCTTGAATTAGAGGAAGTTAAGGGTGTTTTCCTGTTGGCCACAAAATATCAATATTAAAAAAACCTGTAAACATAGTGAAACTAACGAAAGTAAAGGATCTGGATGTTTCCCAGTTGATAATAAACCAGAACACTCATGATCTTTCACTCTAAAAACAAAATGTTGCTTAAACTTAAATGATTCAGTGGGTAAGAAGTCATTGAACGCCTGAAGCTCAGAGGGTCTTAGCAGCAAATTAAATATGTAAATTAAATGAAGTACAGCTCCCAAACTCTGGATAGGAAATACAAATGTTTGTGTTTTTATGACAGAAAGGCACTGATGAATATTTTGCAGATGGAGCCACTATTTCAAATGTCCCCATGTCTGATTTAAAGGTGATTTCAATCTGAAAAACTCACACGGAGAGAAAAGACAATTAGAAGAATTTTATATATGCAATTACTTTAGTCTTTGGCGCTCAGACCTCGGCAGGAAACATAGCGCTGAATTTTGATAGATATGCATGAACAGGAGCAGAGAACAGGGCTGTTTCCCCCCCAGGCCTGAAACTGGTGGTGGAGTGGAGATAGATGGAGTTGGTCAGTCTGTAGACTGCTGGTTAAAGTGGAGATAGATGGAGCTGGTCAGTCTGTAGACTGCTGGTTAAAGTGGAGATAGATAGAGTTGGTCAGTCTGTAGACTGCTGGTTAAAGTGGAGATAGATAGAGTTGGTCAGTCTGTAGACTGCTGGTTGGAGAGACGGTCTGCTGAGCTTTATGAGGAGATCCAGTGGACTGCATGAGCTGATACTAGAGCTTCACTTCCTGCAAGATGGAAGTCCAGCTGGAAATCACAGGTTGAGAGAACCTGTCCATGATGAGCAAGCATGGAGCGACAGTGGAGAGGAAAAACTCCCCGTTGGGAAGAAACCTCTGGCAGAACCAGGCTCAACATGGCGGTCTTCTGCCATGTTGACAGGGAACGCAGTGAGAGTCCAGGAGGAATGACGCGCTAATGAAGCTTTAGCTACGATGGTGGAGGAGGGGCTGGAGGTGGGTTGGAACGGGGTCATCTGAATGAAGTCACACGGCGCATTCGTCGCCTGCGCTCTGGGTAGCAGACTGAGCTGTGGATTGGAGACCTTTTTAGATGAACTTTGGATGCTGATTGGCTTTCGTGGCGGCGTGGTTCAACGTTGGTTGGCAGTGTCGGAGGCGGATGAAGAATAATATTTAATATTTAGCCTCGCCAATGTTTTCCCAAAATAATCACTGCAAAAAACTAGGGGTGTAAATCACACCCATCATGGCGATTCTCGGCTCCAGACGTCCCGCCCCCTTGAGAGACGCTCCGCTGCTCCTCTCCCAAACTGTAGCTGACCGCAGACAGCGCTGCAGACAGGAGGCCGGCTTGTTTTGTTTTTATGACCGAAATTGCGTAAAAACACTCGTGAAGTTTGACCCGCTAGAAGAGCGAGGTGCGCTAGAATGCTGGGACCTTTTTTCCACCTGGATCTCCGCTCTTTTTGGCCCTCATGTCCCTCCGTCGTCGGACTAAACTCGCCCCCACTTCCTCTCCGCCTCGGCCGTATCTAGACCCACAGCGTGTAGCACAGACCACGCTTCAATATTGAGCATAAATCAAAAATGTCTGCATCAAGCTAACTGCAACACACTGCTGTAAGAGTATAACCAGGAAGCGAGGTAGGAGGGCAAAATAGGTTTAGCGCCACCGCAGCACGGGAGGAGAATTACATCCAGGAGCAAATGGATAAAAATAGACCGGAGGAAAAAAAATCATGAATCGATTATCTTGCGGACGTATCGATGCATCGGATCGTCGGCTGTTGGATCGATGCATCGATACAAAACAATTATTATTTACACCCCAACAAAACACCATGAAAGACGATTTGAAACTCTGGATGAACCTCAGTCTTTATAGATCCACATCTTGACTAGAACTCAGGCTAATTTGGATTGAATCAGTTGAAGCAGGTTTGTTCCATGAAGGGTTTAGTGAGCAGTGAGCTAGGAGATTTCCATTATTGGAGACCTTCTGCATGAGGCAAAGCCTTTGCTGCTCAGATTTAGTCGTTGTTTTATTGAAATTTACCACTAATTTCACCAAACTGGATAGAAAATAAGAATAACAGAGCAGCTTATGTAACGCATGCCGGTTACATCACCTGAAATGCTCGCACTATGACCTCTGACCCCTCCTTGGAAAGGTCTGAGCCTCTAGTTTATAAAGATAAACTTTATCTTATGCTAAATTCAAAGTATTGATGTAATCCCTTTACATCCTTCTATGTGTATCTAATCACTATGACTATTTTTACTTTTATTCAGTTATTTATCGTTATTATTGTTCAATCCCCTGGCGATTGTTCACTGGAAATTGTTCTTATTTCTTTTGTTCTATAAAGAATTTTCTAATAAAGTTTATTTATATAAAAAAAAAAAAAAAAAAAACAGCTGGGCTTCCGTCCTCGCGCATGCGCAGTGCATCGGTCGGAGTCTGCGGAGCAGCTGAGGAGCAGATCCGGAGGTAAAGCTGCTTCCTCTCCCCAGGCTGGTTCATAATGCTCCTCCTCAGCGGGGAGGAGGCCTCCTGCTGCGGCTGCAGCTCCCAGTCTCACCTGGAGCGGTTCAGGTGATCCAGCTGCTGCAGCTCAGCTCATGCTAACCGTTAGCTGTTAGCTCACATATTCAGTCAATGTTGCCTCAGGCCGCGCTCTAAAACTTCAAGCGTTTGGTGTTAAATGTCCTTAAAGTTCATCAGCGCGTGTCTTTGCTCAGCTCTCAGCCTTTAGCCATGTGGCCGCGCGCTGCAGTTTGACGCTAACAACCACAGATAGCATTAGCCTTTAGCCACTGTCAGATATCTGATGATGCGGGAGGCGGGTCTTGTTGTTTACAGACAGCTGTTTGGGCCAATCAGCGCCCCGGGCTGGGAGGCGTGTCTCTGATTCTGTAACTTTTTATTCATTATCGGCCCGTTTGATCCTGAACCATCTGAACTGAAAGTGACTTAATGAACTCCTGTTAAGCTTCAAAGCAGTCTGGGCTTCAGACTGGGCGGAGTTTGACACCTGTCAATCAGAAAACTGAAAACAGCGCCTTCTGCTGGGCAGCCTGGAGAACAGCAAACACTAGAGATGGGCTCTGTTCGAAAACCTGGGCTGCATCCTCCAAGGACGCGGCCTACCTGGACTGGATCCTTTGAAGTCCGTGAAAATAAGGAGACCGGAAGAGTTTAAGCTGTTAATTCCATCAGGTCCAACCTTCTGAGGCTTTTACCGCCGCACGCGCTGTCGCTTAGCAACCGTAACAGCTGACACACAAAGCAGGAGAACAATAAATACTGAACTTTTCAAAACTGTTTCCTTTTAATTTTAATCTTTTTTAACCATAAACTGAACAAAGAATCCAGAGTGGAATAAAGGTTCCAAGCACCAGGAGCAGGAACTAATAAAAGCAAAGTGATGATAGAAACCTTAGTTAGTTAACTAATCACTAACACTGGTAACTGCTCAACAGACAGTATCACTATTTAACACAATGTTACAACTATAACCAGCGGCCTGCTCAGGTTTTGATCATTACATTGTTTAATCTAACCAAACTAGTTGTAACCAACTAGATTGGTTATTTTTCCAACCAATCTATTTTTAGGATCTATCCAACTGACAGCAGCTCTCCTCCAAACTCCCACATCTTGACTGAAAACTGAGGCTGTTTAAATTTCTGCCGACGATCTAAACAAGTTCCCATGGTGACGTGGTATGGTGGGGAGGAGAGGCTTCAGACGTCAACATTCAAAGTTTTCTATCTAAGGAAAACCAGCTGATTGCATCGACTCATTGACTCTTCAGCAATCCCTCACACTAAGCATGCTTGTAGCGACAGTGGAGAGGAAAAACTCCCTTTGAACAGGAAGAAACCTCCAGCAGAACCAGGCTCAGTGTGAGCGGCCATCTGCTGAGGCCCACTGGGGTTCAAGGAGACAGAAGCAGACATAGAAAAAGAAGCATAGATACAAAAGGCAACTGTCAACCAGCTCCACAGGCGGCCCCGTCCAGGAAACACACAGCCAGGCAGACGAGCTCCGAGCCAGCTCCCATGTCAGAGGATGAAGAGAGCACATCCAGTTAGTCACAGTCAGAGAAACAGGACTACACTGGAAAACAGGCCAAGCTCCAACATCTAGAAACAAAGGTGTTGATGGCAGCAGCACAGCTGATATTTCTCTCCAGGATGGAGTCACAGCCAAACAGGAACAGACCAGATGAAGCTACTATGAGAAAAAGCAGAGAGAGCAGAACGTTAGAGATTGAACTAACAGATTCTGCAGAGTGGGAGAATAGAGATAGAATGAAGCAGAATGATGAAAAAGGGGGTCCCTATGTCCTCCAGCAGTCTAAGCCTATAGCAGCAGAACTATAGAGATAGCTCAGGATAACCTGAGCCACTCTAACTAGAAGCTTTATCAAAAAGGAAAGTTTTAAGCCTAGCCTTAAAATATATACAGTTACATATGTATATATTTTTAATTTTTGTGTGGAAAGTTGTATTGTTTTTCTTTGTTGTATTTAATTTCTTTAGATGATGAATGTGTGCAATATGTTGTTTGTATTCCTGCGTGTAACAAAGATCATTTCCAGCTGGAATCTTTACCGTCGTTCTGATTCTGAGCTTTAACAGCTGCTCTGTGTCATTTTCTGGCAGATGAAAACTCCACCAGACAGATCTGGAATCACCTTTGAAATCGGGGCTCAGCTAGAGGCTCGTGATCGGCAGAAGAACTGGTCTGTTCTACTCTCACACACGTTCACCATTACACATCAAATGGTTTGACTTCACATCCTGTATTTAGAACCACTTCCTGGAAAGCCTCCTCTGGTATTCATGGAAGCTGCTTCATTGAAAATGAAAAAAATGAAAATTTTTTACAGAAACAGGAAGTGGGACAGGAAAGGAAAGCTGTTAGTGGTCAGATAGAAGTGGGAACCATCTGACCTCTGCTTGGTTTCCCATCAGGTATGCTGCCACCATCGAGAAGATCGACTACGATAAAGAGCGAGTTCTGGTCCACTACCGCCAGTGGAGCCGCCGGTACAACGAGTGGTTTCACTGGAGCTCGCCGTATCTCCGGCCTCTGGAGCGGGTCAGCCTGAGGAGGCAGGGCCTGGGCTCCCAGCAGCAGGCTCAGCCGGTACCACCGCTGTTCCTACTTCAGCTGTTTCCTTAGAACACAACCAGAACTTCAGCAGCATGTACAGAACATCAGAAGGTTTTCTCAGCATCTTCTCCTCCTTTCTCTCTGTTCCAGCCTTTGTCGAAATTAAATTAATGGTAAATTCTTCACATAAAACCTCAATATGGTTTCTTTTTTTGTTGTTTTTTTTTAATCTAGCAAATTTATTCCAGACAGAAAACTAAGAAGTTCAATTTCTATTAGTTTTCAAAGCCTATTCCATGATGCTCCAAGCTGAGCTTAGGTTCCAGCTGGTTGGACCCAATCAGGAAAGTCTCACAATCTACAGAAGATCCCGCACTGTAGGAAGTCAGAGGAACTGTCTGCAGAAAGGATCCAGAAACCTTTCTGCTGCTATTGAAGGTCCTCAAGAAACAAGTTCTCTGGAGCAAACAAGGAACTACTCCTCTCCATGGCCTACCATCCCTACTGTAAAGCACGGTAGTGGCAGCATCAAGCTCTGGGATGTTTATCAGCAACAGGAACTGGCAGACTGGTGAGGGAGAGATGGATGAACCAATAAATGGAGGCCTGATGGAGATTATATGTTCCCGAAAAAAGAACTGACAGCTGATGGAGACCTGACCTGGAGGCATGGGGTCCAAGAAGGCTGGAGACATGGGGTCAAAGAAGACTGGAGGCATGAGGTCCAAGAAGGCTGGAGGCATGGGGTCCATTAATGGTTGGAGACATGGGGTCCAAGAAGGCTGGAGACATGGGGTGCAAGAAGGCTGGAGGCATGGGGTCCAAGAAGGCTGGAGGCATGGGGTCCATTAATGGTTGGAGGCATAGGGTCCAAGAAGACTGGAGACATGGGGTCAAAGAAAGATGGAGGCATGGGGTCAAAGAAAGATGGAGGCATGGGGTCCAAGAAAGATGGAGGCATGGGGTCAAAGAAAGATGGAGGCATGGGGTCAAAGAAAGATGGAGGCATGGGGTCAAAGAAAGATGGAGGCATGGGGTCCAAGAAGACTGGAGACATGGGGTCAAAGAAAGATGGAGGCATGGGGTCAAAGAAAGATGGAGGCATGGGGTCAAAGAAAGATGGAGGCATGGGGTCAAAGAAAGATGGAGGCATGGGGTCAAAGAAAGATGGAGGCATGGGGTCAAAGAAAGATGGAGGCATGGGGTCAAAGAAAGATGGAGGCATGGGGTCAAAGAAAGATGGAGGCATGGGGTCCAAGAAGGCTGGAGGCATGGGGTGCAAGAAGGCTGGAGGCATGGGGTCCAAGAAGACTGGAGACATGGGGTCCAAGAAGACTGGAGGCATGGGGTCCAAGAAGACTGGAGACATGGGGTCCAAGAAGGCTGGAGACATGGGGTGCAAGAAGACTGGAGGCATGGGGTCCAAGAAGACTGGAGGCATGGGGTCCAAGAAGACTGGAGGCATGGGGTCCAAGAAGGCTGGAGACATGGGGTGCAAGAAGGCTGGAGGCATGGGGTCCAAGAAGACTGGAGACATGGGGTCCAAGAAGGCTGGAGACATGGGGTGCAAGAAGGCTGGAGGCATGGGGTCCAAGAAGACTGGAGGCATGGGGTCCAAGAAGACTGGAGGCATGGGGTCCAAGAAGACTGGAGACATGGGGTCCAAGAAGGCTGGAGACATGGGGTGCAAGAAGACTGGAGGCATGGGGTCCAAGAAGACTGGAGGCATGGGGTCCAAGAAGGCTGGAGACATGGGGTGCAAGAAGGCTGGAGGCATGGGGTCCAAGAAGACTGGAGACATGGGGTCCAAGAAGACTGGAGGCATGGGGTCCAAGAAGGCTGGAGACATGGGGTGCAAGAAGGCTGGAGGCATGGGGTCCAAGAAGACTGGAGGCATGGGGTCCAAGAAGACTGGAGGCATGGGGTCCAAGAAGACTGGAGGCATGGGGTCCATTAATGGTTGGAGGCATAGGTCCAAGAAGACTGGAGGCATGGGGTCCATTAATTTTTGGAGGCATAGGGTCCAAGAAGACTGGAGGCATGGGGTCCAAGAAGACTGGAGGCATGGGGTCCATTAATGGTTGGAGGCATAGGTCCAAGAAGACTGGAGGCATGGGGTCTAAGAAGACTGGAGGCATGGGGTCAAAGAAGACTGGAGGCATGGGGTCAAAGAAAGATGGAGGCATGGGGTCCAAGAAGACTGGAGGCATGGGGTCAAAGAAGACTGGAGGCATGGGGTCTAAGAAGACTGGAGGCATGGGGTCCAAGAAGACTGGAGGCATGGGGTCCAAGAAGACTGGAGGCATGGGGTCCAAGAAGACTGGAGGCATGGGGTCCAAGATGACTGGAGGCATGGGGTCCAAGAAGACTGGAGGCATGGGGTCCAAGAAGACTGGAGGCATGGGGTCCAAGAAGACTGGAGGCATGGGGTCCAAGAAGACTGGAGGCATGGGGTCCAAGAAGACTGGAGGCATGGGGTCAAAGAAAGATGGAGGCATAGGGTCCAAGAAGACTGGAGGCATGGGGTCAAAGAAGACTGGAGGCATGGGGTCCAAGAAAGATGGAGGCATGGGGTCCAAGAAGACTGGAGGCATGGGGTCCAAGAAGACTGGAGGCATGGGGTCCAAGAAGACTGGAGGCATGGGGTCCAAGAAGACTGGAGGCATGGGGTCAAAGAAGACTGGAGGCATGGGGTCAAAGAAAGATGGAGGCATGGGGTCCAAGAAGGCTGGAGGCATGGGGTCAAAGAAAACTGGAGGCATGGGGTCAAAGAAAGATGGAGGCATGGGGTCCAAGAAAGATGGAGGCATGGGGTCCAAGAAGACTGGAGGCATGGGGTCCAAGAAGACTGGAGGCATGGGGTCAAAGAAAACTGGAGGCATGTGGTCCAAGAAAGATGGAGGCATGGGGTCCAAGAAAGATGGAGGCATGGGGTCCAAGAAAGATGGATGCTTGGGGTCCATTAATGGTTGGAGGCATAGGGTCCAAGAAGACTGGAGGCATAGGGTCCAAGAAAGATGGAGGCATGGGGTCCAAGAAGGCTGGAGGCATGGGGTCAAAGAAAGATGGAGGCATGGGGTCCAAGAAAGATGGAGGCATGGGGTCCAAGAAGACTGGAGGCATGGGGTCAAAGAAAACTGGAGGCATGGGGTCAAAGAAAGATGGAGGCATGTGGTCCAAGAAAGATGGAGGCATGGGGTCCAAGAAGGCTGGAGGCATGGGGTCCATGAAAGATGGAGGCATGGGGTCCAAGAAAGATGGAGGCATGGGGTCCAAGAAAGATGGAGGCATGGGGTCCAAGAAAGATGGATGCATGGGGTCCATTAATGGTTGGAGGCATAGGCTCCAAGAAGACTGGAGGCATGTGGTCCAAGAAGACTGGAGGCATGTGGTCCAAGAAGACTGGAGGAATGGGGTCCAAGAAGACTGGAGGCATGGGGTCCAAGAAGGCAGGAGGCATGGGGTCCATTAATGGTTGGAGGCATAGGGTCCAAGAAGACTGGAGGCATAGGGTCCAAGAAGACTGGAGGCATGGGGTCAAAGAAAGATGGAGGCATGGGGTCCAAGAAAGATGGAGGCATGGGGTCCAAGAAAGATGGAGGCATGGGGTCCCAGAAAGATGGAGGCATGGGGTCCCAGAAGGCTGGAGGCATGGGGTCCAAGAAAGATGGAGGCATGGGGTCCAAGAAAGATGGAGGCATGGGGTCCCAGAAGGCTGGAGGCATGGGGTCCAAGAAAGATGGAGGCGTGGGGTCCAAGAAAGATGGAGGCGTGGGGTCCAAGAAAGATGGAGGCGTGGGGTCCAAGAAAGATGGAGGCATGGGGTCCAAGAAAGATGGAGGCATGGGGTCCAAGAAAGATGGAGGCATGGGGTCCCAGAAGGCTGGAGGCATGGGGTCCAAGAAAGATGGAGGCGTGGGGTCCAAGAAAGATGGAGGCGTGGGGTCCAAGAAAGATGGAGGCATGGGGTCCAAGAAAGATGGAGGCATGGGGTCCCAGAAAGATGGAGGCATGGGGTCCCAGAAGGCTGGAGGCATGGGGTCCAAGAAAGATGGAGGCATGGGGTCCAAGAAAGATGGAGGCATGGGGTCCAAGAAAGATGGAGGCGTGGGGTCCAAGAAAGATGGAGGCGTGGGGTCCAAGAAAGATGGATGCATAGGGTCCAAGAAAGATGGAGGCATGGGGTCCAAGAAGACTGGAGGCGTGGGGTCCAAGAAAGATGGAGGCGTGGGGTCCAAGAAAGATGGAGCCGTGGGGTCCAAGAAAGATGGAGGCATGGGGTCCAAGAAGGCTGAGGTTGCAGCTAAAGGAGGGTCAGCAAAGTATGAGGGGTGTGAAAACTTCTGGAAATGGATTCTCATTTTGCTCTTTTGTAGAATCACCTAAAGAGGTTTGATGTGGAACAAGATAAATTTATGAACATTTGGAGGAAGGCTGGAATAGAATTACACGATGGAGTAGGTTCATGCTGTGGGCCTTCATCTGATGGGTTCACTGTAGAAGGTTCCGGCTCGGTCTGTTTGAGCTCATTATGAAAGTTTGGACTTTATTCTGTCAATTAGAATTAGTTTACAGAATAAAATCTGCTTTAGATTCGTTTATTTGTTTTAATTATTGATTAAAATTTATGTTTTTAGTTTTATCTTCATTGTGGGGGGGGGGGGGGGGGGGGGGGGGGGGGGCTGGGGGGCTGGGGGGGGAAAAATCCTGTTAAACCATTTTACACGTGATAACCAAAAACATTTTATGAAATTTTAACCTGATTATTTATTCAGGTTTTTGAATCAAAGTATGAAATCTGATTGAAAAATGCTAAAAATTAGTCGTTTTTTCTTAAAATAAGTGGATTAGTTCTTGAATTGAGGAGGTAAAAATATTCATTCCATTGGTCAATCATCTTATTTAGAAACTCAGATTAAAGGGAAACACACTTCATTTAAGAGAGTTTTTACTTTAGATCATTTTTGCAGTGTAGAACTAATAAATAATCAGATCAAATAATTTTTCTGAAGTCATTGAATCTCAGAAACCTGGTAATGAAATGAGGAGCAGATGATCGGTGACCTGATCTCCAGTCACTCCGCAGACGGAACCTTTGAAGGTTCCCGTTCTGATGTCTCCTGTTTCCGTCTCAGATGTTTGCTTCAGGAACCAAAGTTCTGGCCTGTTGGACCGACTGCCGCTTCTACCCAGCAAAAATCCTCAAAGTCAACAAAGACGGTGAGACTTTCAGGGTCGGACTGGTTTCAGTCCATGAAGACCATGAAGTGAATCAGAATCTGCTCCGTTTCAGAGTCCTGCACGGTGCGGTTCTATGACGGCGTGGTCCAGACGGTGAAGCCCACCAAGATCAAACCCTTCCAGCAGGTCAGAGCAGCAGCTTCATCAGGTCCATCTAAGCTCTCCTGCTTCTTCACTGAAGGTCCTGTTTCTGTTCAGAGGTCCAGATCAGAGAAGAGCGCCGTTGGGAGCGAGGGATGCGAGGAAGGAGAGAGTGAGGAGGAGGAGGAGCAGAACCCTAAAGCAGAGGGAGACGCGGAGGAGGAGGAGCAGAGGAAGAAGAATGTAGAAGAAGAAGAAGCATCAGAGGAGAAGGAGGGAGTGGAGGAGGGAGGGAGGAGAGCAGAATCCTCATCCATCCATCCAACAGCGAAGAAGAAAGCAGAAAGCAGTAATGATGACCTTTGACCTCTGATGTCTGCTCCTTCCCTTTGTTTCCAGCTAGAAGGTGAATCCTGTTTGGTTTCTCTGGTTCTGCTCAGACAGGAGTGATGGAGTCCAGCAACAGCCAATCGCAGCAGACCCCGCCCCGGCAGCTGTTCCTAACCCCGCCCACATCGACAAAGGTAAACCAGCAGGTCGCTTTACACCCCCGAACACGCTCACTATCAGGGTCGGTCCAAAGATTTCCGTCAGAGGAACAAGTTAGAAGATGGACTTCTGAGCGGGTCGCTGCACAGCCTTATGGACTTTAAGATGATGTCACCCGATTAATCTGACCAATCACTGAATGGATCAGTTAGTTGATGCTCTGACGGTCCTTCATTTTCTCCACAATTATATGACCTATAGATTACAATATAATCTGGTAAAGCTGTTTAAAACATCTCTCAATGTCGCTAAAAAGTTCTTATTCTTTTATGGAAGGTTTTTCCAGATCTGCTGATGTGCACAGGGATTACAGTAATCCAGCTCCAGGCTGGATTTCTGTCTCGTAGTGATTTCCTGCGGGTAAATGAAATTACTCGAAAATAAATTGACAGTAAATAAGTAAAAAAAAAAAAAAAAAGACTAAATCCCCGTTGCGTTTGTCAGCCAATGGTAGTGCCGCTACCCGATCCGTCCCGGAAGCGCGATCCGTTCTGCGGATCATGCACTATCAGCTCATCTGCGCATCCAGATATACATCGGGTCGTTTTTATTGTAACAGAATATCCCAGTAAACCTGTTCCACCTTTAAATCTGCAGCTCTCCCTGCTTCTCTCTGTTTAAAAACATTTATCAACCTCTTTACTGATATAATGATGCTAGAAACAAAGTTTCTAGATCTGTAGAAGCTCTGCAGTCTGATTCTGTCTGTTCAATAAGAAAACATTTGAACCTGGAACTGGGAGTCATGGTCCTTTTTTTAAGTAGTAAAGAAGAACAAGCTTCTTGCATTATAATACTAACTTTTATAAACTTACAATCTGTTGCATTTAGCTGAACAAACTCTGTGGGTCTAATGAACAGATTTTTCGGTGACGTCTTTAAGTTGTTTAACCAACCCATCTCCTAATTTTCACTTAAACATAAATCCCAGTAGCTCCCGTCTGATGCTGCTTTGTGTCTCTCCTCCTCCACGGAGCGACTCTGTACGCAGTGAAATGTAAAGGCAGATCAGATGTCTCACAGATCCGATGATGTAACACCTAGAGGCGGGACATGGGAGCAGAGCAAGAGAGAAAAAATAAACACGGACTGAAAACGCTCTGAGCACAGTTAGCTGCACCCAACCTCTGCTACCTTTGGCTAAAGTAAATGAGCGGAAAGGGGAAACAACTGAGATTATTGATGGAGACTGTCCAAACCAGTCCAGAGTTGGTGGGGACATGTCCACACCAGTCCTTCACAAAGTTACCCCTGTGGGGGGGGGACAGTATGCTGGACCCCATCATCTGATCTCTGCATGTGGTTCTGTGAGCAGGTTCTGAAGGGTTAACGTTGTCCCTCTCCTCCTCAGATGTCCTGATGGAGCGTCAGGCTCACCTTCCCACCACGCATAAGTTCAGCAGAGAGCCACGTAAGCATCTCCACTGTCCTCGGGGTCAGAGGTCAGCCGGCTGGCGTGTAACTCAGCGTTTCCCCCTCTCAGTCTACAGGGTGATAAAGAACCAGCCTCCTCCCATCCTCTCCATCGAGCTGGACCACAACCCCTTCAAGTGTCCATCTCCTGGCTGTTCCAAGTCCTTCAGGAAGGCCAGCCTGCTTCACTACCACATCAAATACTACCACTCTGACCAGCAGCTGGACGCGGGCGGCGAGCCGGAGACCTCCAGGTGAGTTCTGCTCCCGCGGCCGCTCTGCAGCCTCCGCGGCTGCCTCTCACCTGCTGTGCTCGCCACTGCAGGAGGAAGAGGTCGTCTTCTGAAGGAGGAGATTTCCCTTCCAGCAAGAAGGCAGAGATCCAGGCCGGCAGCTGTCACCATGACGACAGAGAGCTGGGCATCATGTCAACAGGTGGGTCACTCTCTTAGAAACGGACGTCTTCAGAACAGCAGGAGGTAAACGTCTCGCTTCTGTTTCCAGAGACGAAGAAGGATGAGAAGAAGGAGAAGCCAGGAGGACACGACCGGAAGGACAGGAAGCACTTTCTACGAGTCAAACTGAGGAAGAAGAAAAAGAAGAAGAAGAAGAAGAAGAGTCAGTCAGGTAATATCTGATCTCCATCCTTTCATCCATCTGTCGTCACTTCTGGTATGTTTCCATATCTGAGGAAGCTTCATTTGGTTCTCGGATCATTTGGATCCGACCTCAGCTGCTCAGAAATACTCAGCTGCTGGTTGTTCAGTGTACTGGGAGGAGCAGTCAGGTGTGACACCTCCTCCTGGAGATGCCAGGCAGCCTACTGGGGTCCCATGAAGGAGAAACCCTCCTCTCTCTGCAAACTCAGGCCCTCTGGAGTCACTGAGCTGGTGACACCTGTTCCTCAGCAGATCTACAGCAATGTCCTAGTTAAAGTCCAGACTCCAACCTGACTTTCATTCCAGCTTTGCAGCACCGTGTCCTTCACTGGCAGGTGGACCATGTTTGGCCTTTAGGTTGAGTGATTCGTGTTTGCTCTGACCTCTCAGCAGGATTCGGGGGCAGTAGTGACGACGAGATGTCAGACAGACCGCCCATCACCCTGAAGCTCTCACACTCGCACGGTAGCTGCACACCAGAACCAATCAACACCAGTGACTTCACAGGAACACAGAAACAGGAATGCTGTGGTTTTCTCTTCCCCCAGTGGACGATGGCAGCGATTGGTCAACATTAACGGCTGAGAGCGGAGAGGAATCCTCCTGGCCTGTCACTATGGAGATGGACGATTGTGAGGTGGTGAGGTGCGTGTGTGAGGTGGACGAAGAGAACGACTTCATGATTCAGGTAATACTCAACACACACCTGTGTTTCACAAACCTACTGAGGACCCTGCTCTGATTTGTGTTTATTGTAAACTTTTCTATGTCCTAACCATTACCAGTACCTAAATAACCATTACCTATACCTCACTAACCATTACCCTAATCATTACCTGTACCTAACAAATCATTACACTAACCATTAACAATATCTAACTAACCCCTACCCTGGCATAAACAGTACCTAACTAACCGGTGCCTGCTCTAACCGGTGCCTGCCCTAACCGGTGCCTGCCCTAACCGGTGCCTGCTATAACCGGTGCCTGCTCTAACCGGTGCCTGCTCTAACCGGTGCCTGCTCTAACCGGTGCCTGCTCTAACCGGTGCCTGCTCTAACCGGTGCCTGCTCTAACCGTTGCCTGCTCTAACCGGTGCCTGCTCTAACCGGTGCCTGCTCTAACCGGTGCCTGCTCTAACCGGTGCCTGCTCTAACCGGTGCCTGCTCTAACCGGTGCCTGCTCTAACCGGTGCCTGCTCTAACCGGTGCCTGCTCTAACCGGTGCCTGCTCTAACCGGTGCCTGCCCTAACCGGTGCCTGCTCTAACCGGTGCCTGCTCTAACCGGTGCCTGCTCTAACCGGTGCCTGCCCTAACCGGTGCCTGCTCTAACCGGTGCCTGCTCTAACCGGTGCCTGCTCTAACCGGTGCCTGCCCTAACCGGTGCCTGCTCTAACCGGTGCCTGCTCTAACCGGTGCCTGCTCTAACCGGTGCCTGCTCTAACCGGTGCCTGCCCTAACCGGTGCCTGCCCTAACCGGTGCATGCTCTAACCGGTGCCTGCTCTAACCGGTGCCTGCTCTAACCGGTGCCTGCTCTAACCGGTGCCTGCTCTAACCGGTGCCTGCTCTAACCGGTGCATGCTCTAACCGGTGCATGCTCTAACCGGTGCCTGCTCTAACCGGTGCCTGCTCTAACCGGTGCCTGCTCTAACCGGTGCCTGCTCTAACCGGTGCCTGCTCTAACCGGTGCCTGCTCTAACCGGTGCCTGCTCTAACCGGTGCCTGCTCTAACCGGTGCCTGCTCTAACCGGTGCATGCTCTAACCGGTGCCTGCTCTAACCGGTGCCTGCTCTAACCGGTGCCTGCTCTAACCGGTGCCTGCTCTAACCGGTGCCTGCTCTAACCGGTGCCTGCTCTAACCGGTGCCTGCTCTAACCGGTGCCTGCTCTAACCGGTGCATGCTCTAACCGGTGCCTGCTCTAACCGGTGCCTGCTCTAACCGGTGCCTGCTCTAACCGGTGCCTGCTCTAACCGGTGCATGCTCTAACCGGTGCCTGCTCTAACCGGTGCCTGCTCTAACCGGTGCCTGCTCTAACCGGTGCCTGCTCTAACCGGTGCCTGCTCTAACCGGTGCCTGCTCTAACCGGTGCATGCTCTAACCGGTGCCTGCTCTAACCGGTGCCTGCTCTAACCGGTGCCTGCTCTAACCGGTGCCTGCTCTAACCGGTGCCTGCTCTAACCGGTGCCTCTCTGTCTGACATTAAAACTTTAATGACTGTAAACTGTGATGCGTGACCAAACCATGGAGGTTTGTAAGGAGGGTTGACTGACCTCAGGTCTGTTTCTGTGTGTCTGCAGTGTGAGTCGTGTCTCTGCTGGCAGCATGGAACCTGTATGGGTTTATATGAAGACAATGTCCCTCACAACTACATCTGCTACTACTGCAGGCAGACCTCAGGTAGGTGCTACAGCTGCAGAGGCCTCCTGGAAGCTTTAGAACAGAGGTCTTCAACAGGGGGTCTATAGAGGTACTGCATGGGGGTCGAAAAGTTTTGGTTGATTAGACTTTTTTTATTTTCCCTCCTGCAATTATTTCCACTAATTGAAATGTCTTTAAATCCACATGAACATGAATCCGACAGACTGTAGTAAACAGATAAATGGAGGCAGAAGATGTCTTTCAGTCATCAATGCTCACATTCAGAGACACACAGGAGCTCTTTCAAGCTGGACACCGTTTCATTCACAACACCTGTACCATCAACCAGGAATCAGAAATACTTTAATAATCCCAGGGAGGGATTACTTTAGTTACATTACTCCATCTGTAATAGAGCGACTATATGAGCGGTTGGATAGAACACTATTTCATACAATATATATCATTAGGGGGTCCTGCTCCATCTGCCATCAGTTTGGGGTCCTTGGCCTGGAAAACGTCTGAAGACTCCTGATTTAGAAGAAAACAGCCAAAGTCTAAACAAAAACCTTCCTCTGAAAAACCTTCTTCTTCTGCTGTAGGTTGGAGGCGAGCGCAGCGGTTCCTCTCTGAACCTGACCTGCTGATCTCAGGTCACATGTTCGGCCTGTCATGTGTGAAGGAGAACTATTCAGAGATCAACGCCTCAAAGATCTCCCATACCAGCCACCTGCTGGCGCAGACACACGCCCTCCATCAGGTCCTCAGTGGCCTGCAGCTAAAGATCAGCCTGCTACGGTGAGAAGAGAGCCTGGCGGCGCTGTTCCATTCCATTCTGCAGTGACGTCCACTCACTGCCTCTCCATATGTCTGCCTCCCCCAGCTCTCCCTCACACCCCGACCTGCAGCTGTGGAGGTCACCATGGAGACAGGAAGAGGCGCTGAGGCTGACATCCAGCCAGAAAGATGAGCCTCCCATCTGTTACGTCAGTAGCGAGCACTGCTATCAGAAACCAGAGGCATCATTGGAAACGGCTGAGGAGGAGCTGATGGTGGGAGATGGCCAGCAGCAGGTAGCGTGCGCTTGCATCAGGATAGATGTGGTGATGGATCAGTGTGACGCAGTCTAAACTCAGATCTGTGATCGTCTTATCAGAGAGCTGCGATTGGAGCACCGTGAAAACTAAATTATTAATAGAATAGAATAGAAAATCCCTTTATTGTCCCACAATGGGAATATTCTGGTGTTTATAGCAGCAAAACGAAGTCGCACAAATATGGACCTTAGAAAAATGTATCAGAATAACATAATAGTGAAGAATTAAGTAGGGATGCAGGATATAATCGGCCCCCTATCGGTATCGGCCTTAAAACTGAATATCGGACATCGGCCACCCCACCGATATTTAACCCGATATTTGATCAGCTTCTGAGTTTCTAAAGTCTAAAAAAAAAAAAAAAAAAAATACTACTTCTTCTTCCTCAAAAACTTCTTTTTTACAGACTTAAAAACTTCTAAAGACGAGGGAAAAAATATTGATACATTAAAATATCCCAATATCTTCATATGCTGATATATTGCCATTTAAAAACACCATATCAATCTCTTTTAGTAATGAAATATTGCTATATGTCATCGTTATGCTACGAAATCCCCCGAAAATTAACCAAATGTTGCCATATTTTTATATGTTGATATATTGACGCGGTATCGATCTATTTTACTAACAAAATCTCACAAGAATTTGCAAAATATCACGAGAGTTTGTAACAGAACGATGAAATTTCACCAGATCTTCAAAGTAAAATAGATCGATACCGCGTTTTTAAAAATCTATTTGATATCAGCACATGAAAATATATTTGAGTATATTATTTTTCAGTGTCAGAAATGGATAACAAAACTGCTATTTTCAATGACTACTTATTTTTGTCCAGCTTTAACATCGGTATCGATATCGGTTATCGGCTACATGAGTTTTAAAATATTGGCATATCGGATATCGGCCAAAATCCCAATATCCTGCATCCCTATAATTAAGGGATAAACAATAAAATACTGTAAAGTGTTTTAACAATATAAACTGAGCACCTGGAGAATAAATAACCAATATGCAGCTGTGGACATTTTTCCAGTAATTTGAAAATAGCAGCAACATCAGAGATGTGCAGAATGACAGCAGCAGGTTATTTAACTGACTAAGGTAGAAACTGAGCAGAATCAGCATCTTCCAGGTGGCGGGAGGAAGGATCTGTGATGATGCTACCGGATCCGTTCTGCGGATCATGCAGCTCATCTGTGCATCCAGATATACATCGGGTCGTCCTCCATTTTACTTTGTTAAAAAAACCTAAATGGCGTTTTCCCTCCCCAGAAATAGTAAACGTACTAAAATATAATGTTTTAAAGGTTAATAATTTATTTCCTGAGAAATTAAATGCCTTAAAATCTGTTTTTTTGCTCTGTTCCCGATCTGCACCAGAAATGGGATGCTACGCTACTTTGGGTGCTAACTTTCTCGGCTTTGGATTTAAACACAAATCTAGTCTTTTTGAGTTTTATGTTTTTGTTTCGTTTTAGCGTAATTCTATATAGTGTGTAATCTGAAGAAAGAAACAACTGAAATGCAGATAAACAGTTTAATCAGATTTACTGCTCTGAGCGTGTCCCATGATGACGTCAGAGAAGCTGTTTAACGCCGAAAATGTTCAAAGCATAAAAATTGTCTCACAGAAGTCATAAAACGTTTTTCAAAGATGTGTATTAGCATTCTTTGGTGAGTTAAAGATAGAAATAACTCATTTTAGTACCATAGTTACATTATTTATGTAACTATGGTACTTACAGTATGTATATCTGTTGGCGCATGAGCAGAACGGATCATGCTTCCGGGGCGGATCGGGTAGTGATAACGCTCCCTGGTGCATTTATGGTGCAGCAGTCTGTCACTGAAGGAGCTGTCCAGTTCAGCACCAGCTGAACCAGCATTTAGTGAGGATGTGTCTGTTTCCCACCTCCTGCACTGAGTCCAGAGGGCATCCAATCACAATAATCATAATTTAATAAGTGAAAACATTTCGGCGTGTTTCTGTTTCTCTCTGTTAGCCTGAAGATGTGAGGAGAGCGGCTTCTCTGAGCGCTGTGGACACCGTCACTGGGACCCACAGTCACAGCCTCCTCAGCAGGGCACCAGAGAACCAGGCTGAGGGCCCGACCCGCAGCCAGATGTCGGCGGCTCAGTGCCGGCTGAACCTGCTGGAGCACGTGGAGTCGCTCCATCATCAGATCAGCTCCAGGATGGACCTGATCGAGCGAGAGCTGGACGGTAAGAGCAGGACAGCTGGGGGGCTTCGTTTCCTCCCTGATGAGAAAAGTGAGCAAAGCTGGTTTCTTCCTGCAGTTCTGGAGTCATGGCTCGACCACTCAGGAGAGCTGGAGCCACCGGACCCTCTGTCCCGCCTCCCGCAGCTTAAGCAGCGAATCAGGCGGCTGCTGAGCGACCTGTGCACGGTGAGACGCCTGGCGGTCTGCCGCTGATGATGAAGGAGAAAACACTCAGCTGTTCCTGCTGGGAAAACCTTCTCCTCTACAGAGACTGAACCAGGACCAGAACCGGGCCGGTCCATCGATACCAGGACGACGGCTCCCTGCAGACATCCTTATATTAACGCACTAATATTCATCCAAACTGTAATTAGTTTTTTAAACCTTTTTGTTTTTTAGCAGATGTTTCTAGAAACCAGCAGCAGTTTTATCCCCAGAAACAGAATTTAAAAAACCTGACGGCCTGTAGGGGGCGCCTGTGAGGATCCAGGTTCATTGCTGGTTTAAATGAACCAGTGGGGGGGCTGAAGGTTAGCGGGTCAGGCGGTTCTGCTGGGGGTTTTTACCGGGACGTTCCTGGCTGACTGAGACCCTCAGATGGGTCCAGTCAGAGCAGGAGAAGGTTCTGATGATCCGCTGCTGCTGCTGTTTCTATTTCCCACCTTCATCCGTATGAAGCCACAGGAGGTTCTGGTTCTGTGCTGATCCAGTTCTGTAAATAGTGGATCAGAATGCTGCCTGCAGGTCCGCTACCTTCACCTGGTTCTGCTGACCCGTTCTCCAGAAATGTTCTCTCCTCCAGTCCTGGACTGGTTGCTGTGGTTCTGTCTCAGAGGGTCCAGGATCATCAGAACACACATCAGGTCTTCCACCTCTGGCTCAGATCCAGTCCTCTTCGTTTGGACCTTCAATGGATCCGGTTCTGGTACCTGCTGGACCGTTTCAGAAGCTGGTGCTGACCGGGCTGGACCCTGAAGGTCTGAGGGTTCTGGCCTGGATGGAGCTCATCTGACCCTCAGGCTGACCTGTAGCTCTGCACCACATGCAGGTGCTGGTCCGGTTCAGACCGGTTGAGATGTCGGTTCTGTGATTTTCAGTCCAGCTGATCTTCAAAGGTGAGAAAATGGATGGACTTCATTTCTAAGTGAACCAGAGAAGAAGACAGCAGCTTCCAACAGCAGCAGCTCAGATCGACAAATGTTCATCTGATGTTTTTAGACCCGTAGATTTATTTTGGTAGATGATTGATTCCAAGCTGGACTGTTTTTGAGGGAGGAAATAAACATATTCAACACTTTGGACCATTTGTTCTGGTCTGTTCTGGTCAAACCAAAGCCGGTTCCTCTGCTGGTCCTTCAGACCAGCAGAACCTGCTCCTCATAACTCAATTCTATTCAGTTTATTTCTATAGCTCCAGTTCACATCATTTAATCTCAGGTCACTTTCCAGTTCACCAGATCATCCAGTCAGATTGATTCAAAGTTTTCTATCTGAGGAAAACCAGCTGATTGCATCGACTCATTGACTCTTCAGCAATCCCTCACACTAAGCATGCTTGTAGCGACAGTGGAGAGGAAAAACTCCCTTTGAACAGGAAGAAACCTCCAGCAGAACCAGGCTCAGTGTGAGCGGCCATCTGCTGAGGCCCACTGGGGTTCAAGGAGACAGAAGCAGACATAGAAAAAGAAGCATAGATACAAAAGGCAACTGTCAACCAGCTCCACAGGCGGCCCCGTCCAGGAAACACACAGCCAGGCAGACGAGCTCCGAGCCAAAATGGAGTTTTTCCTCTCCACTGTCGCTACAAGCATACAAGATTTTATTTTTCTCCCAGATAGCGTCTCATCTTCTGTCTCAGATCAGGCAGAAATAAGTTCAGGTCATTTTTTAATCATTTTGCTGCAGAACCAGATTTTTCTAACGGCTGTGAGTCCTTTGATCTTTGGTGTTTCTTATATTTTAACTTTGCGTAGCTGCGGTGCTTCATTTGTCACCTCAGACATTTCTGCAGTTTTTGCTCATTTTTGTTCCAATTAAATGTTTTAGATCATGAGTCAAAGACCAAACGATGAGATAAATCCTACCGACCCGTCAATCAGGTGGCCGTTCATTTCCTCTGACCTCCGTATTTCTGGTGCAGTTTGCTGCTGCGTCGGATGACAGCAGATGGTCCCGCTGAGCCACCATCCGGACTCACAGATTCAACCGGCCGCTCACAAAAACACATTTAACGCTCTTCAACTGTCAATTATTAAACTTAAAATATGTTGATTTTATTATTATGACCTCAGTTTTTAGATTATGAAACAATGTTTATTATCAACTGATTTTCATTTTTTTTCATTTTTGCTTCAGTATTTTGATTTTTGAAAAAATGAGAATATTTAAATATTTCTAAATCTTGAGCTAAAAAACAAAAGCTTTCCATATGCCTTAAAGAAAATCATAAACTATATTTAATTCTTCAGCAGCAAATCGAAGAGAAGATCTGAATTTCTGTATTAAATTATAAGTAAAGTTTTGTAAATAATTTTAAATTCAAATGTTAAAAACATGATGTAATTATCTCTAAAGTTCAATAAAGCTCTGATGAATGCTGGATGGATCCAAACTTTGATTTTAAAATATTTATTGGGAATCTGGGAAGAATTTTCCAGGAATCACAGAAACCAGAATCCTGAAGCAGGATTACCGGTTTATCCAGATAACTTCAGGTTTAAGCCTGACCTTCCGGTACTGCAGAGCTGGTCACCATGGTAACCTTTCAGGATGGCTCACACAGCAGCCAATCAGCTGCTAGGAAACAGTGACGGCCGACCAGCTCCACCAATCAGCAACCAGAGTCCACTTTGACGCTGCTGCTAAATGATTTCCTGATTCGTCAAAACGATGCTAAAGTAGAACTTCCCATGATGCTCCACATTCCTCATTTTAGGGAAGAAAGGGCTTCTTGGAAGAGATGATTAATTTTATGACTTTATTCTCGTAATAGAAGTACAATAAATCTCTAATCCTCCATCAAACTGATGAGTTTTTATTCTTCAGGAAAAACTGCGCTCAGGGCTCTGATTGGTCAGCTCACTTCTTGGACCCGCCCCTTTATAGCTCTATGATCAGTTCAGGCTGGATTCATTTAGAGAGTTAATGAGCAGCCTGGTGACGCTGCTGTGGACTGGTTAAACTGGTTAAACTGGTTAGCCTCTGATCGGAGCCTCTCATCTCATCCGTTTGTTTTTTTTCTTCTTGTTTCCATCTCATTGGCCCCGCCCCCTGTGGTTAAGCCCCGCCCCCGGAGCGGAGAGACAGAGAAGCCTCGCGACCAGAATCAGTCATCTCCGCTGGTTACCAAGGGTTACCTGCTCCCAATCCGGACCGAACCGGTTACCGAGCCGTTCCAGGAGCGGACCGACCGACGGTAAGTCACCAGAACCAGCCGGTACCGCCGGTTCTGATGGAGCTCGCGGTGACGATGGTTCAGGGTTACAGGTGTATATGTGCGCGCGCGGGGGAGGAGATGTCTCCCATGGTAACGGCTGGTTGCTAAGGCTCCCTGACTGTGGAGGTGACGTCATCACTGGATCTTGGCTGATTGAGGGCGGACAGCTGGACGGAACCGAACCTCAGAACTGGATCTCCGAGTCATTAAATCATTAATCAAAGATATCCAAAGCTGGTTCTGGTTCTGGTTCTGGTCCAGCAGCCTGCTGGGTTCAGCCTCCATTAACCAGAGGACTGTGATATTCTGCCTCTGAGCGCCTGAATAATCGATCATCATTCCCTGTTTCTACTGGGATCCACCTTGATGTTAGGCTCCTCCCCCTTTCTTCCTGGACAGACAGGTGAGTCCAGAAGTTTGACCTTATCAGGGGCGGATCCAGGATTTTCAAAGGGAGGGGGGGGGGGGGCCTAAAGGTCATCGTCATGACAACATGAAGCGAAATCAAAGGCTGCCTTCAAATTTACGGGCTGCGTCCTCCAGGGACCCGGCTTACCTGGACCTCCAAAGTCCATGAAAACAGGACCAGTTCAAACAGGTCCAGCCTTCCGCTCTGTCGCTTAGCAACCGCAACAGTTGACAGTGTTGAAAACGTCTTGGCTTCCCCGGGTCTGTTGATTCACGTGCAGGTCACTTAGATGGAATGAAATTTACAATTAAGGTTCGATTCGCCTTTTGCAAAAGGGAGCAGCAGGAGCTATCAGCTGCTCCTGCCAGCAGCAGCTCTGACCTCCTCTCCAACACGGGCTCTTTTTATTATCTTGTCACACAGACGCTCCCACAAGGAGTTACAGAGTGATCGTACTCCCTACATTCCTGTCCATTTCCCCTGTTAATCAGCATTGCTCAGCCTCCCATCTGCACCTGTTGGTTTTACACCTGTCCTGTTATTCTGCCCCGATACGACAACAATACGTTTGGCTGCAACTTTAACTTAGCTCTTTACTTCTTTCAGCTTAAACATGTATATGCATCTTCAACACACAAAGCAGGAAAAGAATGAATACGGAACTTTTCAAAATGATTTCTTTTGATTTATTTATGTTTTTCTTTGTAAAATGAACAAAGGCTGTTTTTTAATTCTCTAGAAATACTCGTGTCCTCGCCAAGTCTGTTCTAGAGAAGAACCCAGGAAAGTCTGGACTCTGGGAGGATGGGAGAACGCAGCATAAATCTGGGTCAAACAGCAGCGTGCTGATGACATCATCACATTCAAAGCTAGTCTGGAGCTGCATTTCACCTCCTGTTATTAATAATCTCTAGATTATAATAAATTATGTCTTTTTTCATTTAGTGGAGGAATAATAATGAACACAGTCAGATAAACACAAATCAAATGAACATTTTACCAAATAAAACAAAAATCTCGCCATCAGAGGCAGCGGTACTTCACACACGGCTATGCAGAGAGAGGGCAGCTGCAGACAGGCTAACGTTAGCCCTGGCAGCTGCAGACGAGCTAACGTTAGCCCTGGCCGCTGCAGACAGGCTAACGTTAGCCCTGGCCGCTGCAGACGAGCTAACGTTAGCCCTGGCCGCTGCAGACGAGCTAACGTTAGCCCTGGCCGCTGCAGACGGGCTAACGTTAGCCCTGGCCGCTGCAGACGGGCTAACGTTAGCCCTGGCCGCTGCAGACGAGCTAACGTTAGCCCTGGCCGCTGCAGACGAGCTAACGTTAGCCCTGGCCGCTGCAGACGAGCTAACGTTAGCCCTGGCAGCTGCAGACGAGCTAACGTAAGCCCTGGCCACTGCAGACGAGCTAACGTTAACCCTGGCCGCTGCAGACGAGCTAACGTTAGCCCTGGCCGCTGCAGACGAGCTAACGTTAGCCCTGGCCGCTGCAGACGAGCTAACGTTAGCCCTGGCCGCTGCAGACGGGCTAACGTTAGCCCTGGCCGCTGCAGACGAGCTAACGTTAGCCCTGGCCGCTGCAGACGGGCTAACGTTAGCCCTGGCCGCTGCAGACGAGCTAACGTTAGCCCTGGCAGCTGCAGACGAGCTAACGTAAGCCCTGGCCACTGCAGACGAGCTAACGTTAACCCTGGCCGCTGCAGACGAGCTAACGTAAGCCCTGGCCACTGCAGACAGGCTAACGTTAGCCCTGGCAGCTGCAGACGAGCTAATGTAAGCCCTGGCCACTGCAGACGAGCTAACGTTAACCCTGGCCGCTGCAGACGAGCTAACGTAAGCCCTGGCCGCTGCAGACGAGCTAACGTTAGCCCTGGCCGCTGCAGACGAGCTAACGTTAGCCCTGGCCGCTGCAGACGGGCTAACGTTAGCCCTGGCCGCTGCAGACGAGCTAACGTAAGCCCTGGCCACTGCAGACGAGCTAACGTTAACCCTGGCCGCTGCAGACGAGCTAACGTTAGCCCTGGCCGCTGCAGACGAGCTAACGTTAGCCCTGGCCGCTGCAGACGAGCTAACGTTAGCCCTGGCCGCTGCAGACGGGCTAACGTTAGCCCTGGCCGCTGCAGACGAGCTAACGTTAGCCCTGGCCGCTGCAGACGGGCTAACGTTAGCCCTGGCCGCTGCAGACGAGCTAACGTTAGCCCTGGCAGCTGCAGACGAGCTAACGTAAGCCCTGGCCGCTGCAGACGAGCTAACGTTAACCCTGGCCGCTGCAGACGAGCTAACGTAAGCCCTGGCCACTGCAGACAGGCTAACGTTAGCCCTGGCAGCTGCAGACGAGCTAACGTTAGCCCTGGCCGCTGCAGACGGGCTAACGTTAGCCCTGGCCGCTGCAGACGGGCTAACGTTAGCCCTGGCCGCTGCAGACGGGCTAACGTTAGCCCTGGCCGCTGCAGACGGGCTAACGTTAGCCCTGGCTGCCGCCCAAAGGGGAACACAGGTTAAAAAAGGTTAGAAACGTGACAGAAAAAAGCTTTATTGACTCTTTTTAATAGAACCTCAACTCTTCATTTAAAGTTGTTTTTTTTTATTAATTTTCATTTTATTCAATGAACCTCGATGGAATTAGCACGATTACATAATTTATAACAGAAAAAGCATTTTATGGGTTTGAACGGCATGCACTGGGTTAAAAAGTAGTTTGTAGATAAAATGTTCCTTAAATATTAATCAAACACGGATATTATTTATTTCCAGAAACGATATTTATTGATAAAAATGAAATGAAAAATGCTGAAGGACTGGGAGCAGTTGGGTGCGGTTCAGGCCTCCAGCTGCTTCCTCTGGACTAAACCTGTTTTTAAAGCAGAGATCTTCAGCTCCACGTTAGGAAGCAGCTGCTCTGCAACCAGAGGAGGAGACATGAGATCTTTTCCAAATCAGAGGGATTAGGAACGTCTGACATGGACCGGAACCCGATGGCCGTCAGCTCTCAATGTGAGCAGACCTGTTAGCAGCTGCTCCAGCATATCGGTTCACATAGATCCTACAGAATAGAATAGAACTTCATTGATCTCACAATGGAGACATCGGCTCTTATAAACAAACAGGCGGAGCAGGAAGGAGGTGCATGAAGTAAACAGAGCATCCAGATACAGGGCGGTGGGAGGCGTCGTCCAAGATGGACGGCGATCTTCACGGCGCCCCATGACCAGCAGCAGCTTCCTCTGATGCTTCCTCCTCTGTCTCTGCTCAGGGCGTCTTCTATCTGCTGCTGAAACCTTCCCATCATGGAGGAACTTCATGACGTGCAGCTGACGGAGATCAAACCTCTGCTCACAGGACAGGTGAGGGGGCGGGGCTTTGGGACGGGGGGACATTATTGATAATCAGGGTCTAACTATTCCAGACTGTTAGAGCAGAAGCTGCGACACGGTGAGAAGAAAGGAGCATCCAGATCAGCTTTTAATGAACCCTTTAAGCAGCAGGAAGTAGGACACCCAGAAAGACTCTGACCAGAACGGTTCCTCACATCCGTCTGTGACCAAAACCACAGGATGTTAGTTAGCTGTGACAGTAACTAACTGAAGGAGCTGCAGCAGTAATCCAATGTTAACTCTCTAAATGATGCATGCAGCATCTTTAGCCCTTCCTTCATGCTCATCCTGGTGACGGTTATCATATGGGGTCATTTTCTATTTCTTCTAACTGTAAAATCCTTGCAACAAACTAATTAATAAAACTAAAATGCTTTCTTTAAACCAAACTACGATGTTCCTCTTATATTTGGCGAATTTATGTTTGAATATTTTGCAGAAATCTGTTGTGGTGAATGATGGGTTTAGCATCTGAAGGCTGACGTTTCCCATCTTCCCCGCGTTTAGGACGGGCGTCTGTGGGTGAAAAATGTTTTTCTTTAGATCTATGGCCTAAAAGATCAACAGACTTTGGTTCAAATTGGGCCAGATTTAATAAATCCAGGCGGTTTATGAACATTTTTGGGCTGGAAAAGTGAGTCAGTGACATCAGGCAGCCCTGCTGATGCGGTGAGCGTGGACGTTACGCAGCGGCGGTCACTGTGGCGTCCGTTAATAACCAAAACCACAGAGGTCTAGGTGATGGTTGTGGTTTGATGCTTGAAGATGGATCGGTTAATCCACAATGTGGTTCGTATCGTGTTTCACGGGGGGGGGGACCATAAGTGGGCCGGTGTAGATCGTTCCCAGTCTGAGCTGCACCCAAAACATCTGCTTTCTCTCTCTTCTCCATCAAATCTCTGTTTCTGCTCTCAGATTTATTTCTTCTTGCACAGATATTTTCTCTCTCTCGCCTCCTGCTCTTCGCACACAAACCTCCCTCTGATCTCACAAGAAGAGCAAGAAGCTGAACCGTCAACAAACATCAACCAAGCTGGTTTTTCCCAAACGCTCATCAGACAGTCAGGCTGAGGTGTTCAAACTTCATCCAGCAGTCGTTTCTGTCCTCTGCTGCTAAGAATTACCTTAATAGATCATTTTCCTTTATAAGGCCATTTTATTCCCTTATTTATTTACTTTACTGGTTTAGTCATAATTTAGTATTTTATTTAGGATGTTTATTTATTCTGCTTCCAATTATCAACCCAAATTCCAGATGGAAAAATAAACAGCATCTATATGGATCCTTATTAGTTTAGCTTTGCTGTTTTTCTCTTGTTTTATCTTCTTTCCACCATTTTCTTCATCAGAACAAATAAAATATGTTCTGTTGAAGAAAAACCATAAAGTTTCAGTCAATTTAACCTCCAGATATATCTGAGCTATAGATCCATGGAGAATAGATCATTTTAAAGCCTCCATCATTCATCTTAATGTAGGAATTAAATCCTGTTATTTATATGTCACTATAATCATTATTATTAATGTTATCGTTATTATTATTATTAAATAATGTTATTATTTCCAGTAGAATCATTTGAACACCATTTAATTATAAAAAAAATTTATGTTAAATAAATTTGCATATTTATTCCAGATCAGCTTAAGATAGATTTACTTCTTAAATTCAATTCAATTCAGTTTATTTATATAGCGCCAAATTCACAACACATGTCATCTCAAGGCACTTTACAGTTCAACCAGATCATACAGTCAAATTGATACAAAGTTTTCTATCTAAGGAAAACCAGTTGATTGCATCGACTCATTGACTCAAATACAATCCCCCACACTAAGCATGCTTGTAGCGACAGTGGAGAGGAAAAACTCCATTTTAACAGGAAGAAACCTCCAGCAGAACCAGGCTCAGTGTGAGCGGCCATCTGCCGAGGCCGACTGGGGTTCAAGGAGACAGAAGCAGAGATACAAAAAGCAGCTGTAAAAGGCGGCCCCGTCCAGGAAACACAGCCAGGCAGACGAGCTCCAAGGCAGCTCCCATGCCAGAGGACGAAGAGAGCACATCCACTCAGTCACGGTCAGAGAAACAGAACCACACTGGAAAACAGGCCGATCTCCAACATCTATTAACAAGGGTGTTGATAGAAGCAGCACAGCTGATGTTTTTTTCCAGGATGACGTCACAGCCAAACAGGAACAGACGAGGCAAAGCTACTCTGAGGAAAAGCAGAGAGAGCAGAACGTTAGAGATTGAACTAACAGATTCTGCAGAGTGGGAGAATAGAGATAGAATGAAGCAGAATGATGAAATGGGGGTCCCTATGTCCTCCAGCAGTCTAAGCCTATAGCAGCAGAACTATAGAGATAGCTCAGGATAACCTGAGCCACTCTAACTATAAGCTTTATCAAAAAGGAAAGTTTTAAGCCTAGCCTTAAAAGTAGACAGGGTGTCTGCCTCACGGACTAAAACTGGTAGTTGGTTCCACAGGAGAGGAGCCTGATAACTAAAAGATCTGCCTCCCATTCTACTTTTAGAAATTCTAGGAACCACTAGTAAACCTGCAGATTGAGAGCGAAGTGCTCTGTTAGGAACATAAGGAACAATCAGATCTCTGATATCAGATGGAGCTTGGCCATTTAAGGCTTTATATGTGAGAAGGAGGATTTTAAATTCTATTCTGGATTTAACAGGAAGCCAATGAAGAGAAGCCAGGATAGGAGAGATATGATCTCTCTTTTTCATTTTCATTAGAACTCTGGCTGCAGCATTTTGGATCAGCTGAAGGCTTTTAACTACAGTTTGTGGACTTCCTGATAGTAAAGAATTACAATAGTCCAGCCTTGAAGTAACAAATGCATGGACTAGTTTCTCAGCATCACCCCTGGACAGGATATTTCTAATTTTTGCAATGTTCCTCAGATGAAAGAAGGAAATTCTAGAAACCTCTTTGATATGGGATTTAAATGACAGGTCCTGATCAAAAATAACACCAAGATTTTTTACTTTATTATCTGAAATCAGTTTAATCCCATCCAAATGAAGTGACTGGCTAATCAGTTTCTTTTTCAGAGACTCTGGTCCAAAGACTATAACTTCTGTTTTGTCTGCATTCAGAAGCAGAAAGTTAAGAGTCATCCAGGTTTTTCTGTCTTCAGACATGCCTGTAATCTATGTAATGGGTTAGCTTCATCTGGATTATAGACAGATATAGCTGGGTATCATCAGCATAACAGTGGAAATTAATCCCATGCTGTCTAATAATTCTACCGATTGGGAGCATGTATAAAGTAAAGAGAATTGGTCCTAGCACCGATCCCTGTGGTACTCCACAGGTAACCCCTGAGCGTGTCGAAGATCCATCACCAACACGAACAAACTGAATTCGATCAGATAGATCAGATTTAAACCAGTCTAGTGCTGTTCCTTTAATTCCAACAAAATATTCAAGTCTTTCTAAAAGAATATTATGGTCAACTGTATCAAATGCAGCACTAAGATCCAACAGGACGAGCACAGATACAAGTCCATTATCTGAGGCCATGAGAATTGTAAATAATTTAAAAGCAAATTCAATCAGCCTAATTTATTTTTATACAAGTTATTTGCGCTACACACATATAGATTTATTTACCCTTAAAGTTTAATCTAAATCTTAAAGAATTAAGGTTAAAAAATTAAACTTTAGCATTTAAATAATGACACAGGTCCTTGATTATTTGAAGAAATGCCCAATTATTGTTAAACAAGCAAAATGTGTTCATTTGATTTAATTTTTAAAATCTGTTTCATTAAACTTTATTTGTTGTGATATTTGAACCTCATATCAATCCCCTTTATTCCCAATATAAACAGCTGCATTAAAGCTGAAGTCTGTAAGTTTTTAAAAATCACTTTTTTGTCATATTGGCTAAAACTGTCCCTATGCCCAGACAGCAGTACATGTGATATGTAACCTGTGAAAAAAACTGCTTCAATTGGTCCCGCCTACTGCCTGTATTTCAATCTGGAAAGAATAATTCGGGACGAGTCAAAACAACCAATCACAGCCAGATGAGTGTCTGATGGAGTGTCAATCACAGCTCACACACGACCCACGACCACCTTAAGACGGCCGACTGGATTATAACAGGGTTCCCGCGGGTCCTTAAAAAGTCTTAAAAGGCATTGAATTCTTCAAAATAAAACTAAGGCCTTAATTGGTATTAAAATGTCTTAAATCAGTCTGTTGTAGGTCTTAATTTTTAAAACATCATAAATAGGATTATTTTTATTATGATTTATTTTTGTTATCTTAATAAAACGTTAAAATTGACAAAAAAATTTTTTTAATAAAAAATAAATAACGGCTCGCCATTATTGGTTCCGTCCCGATAGCGGAACCAATAAAGCGTTGTTGCTGCCGGGACATTTGGGAGATGCACCATTAACTTTTTATCTAGAAAATCTGAGCCAGTGTAAATGTAACCAAAATTGTCTCCAGCCAAGAGTTTCCTCCATGGCTAAAACCAGGGAACATACATGAGGCTCAGTGGATTTATGCAAGAAGTCATTGAAGCTCAGAACGATGGGAATTAAGGCAGTGGAGTCGCACATGCGAAGCACGAAACACAAAGCGTCAAAATGGAGTTAGAGAGAAACAGCCGGTATTTCTCAGTTTAGTTCCACCCTTGTCTCTGCAAACGCCTCCACTTATCACCAAATCAAACATACTAAGAAAACCATACAAAGAAAAATAGCTGCTAAAAAGACTTAGCACTGGTTATGTTGGGGCTTTAAAACTGATTTGTTTTGTTCCCTGCTAAAACAAAGTTTGGGAATTCAGTTAAATAATTGTTAAAATATATCTGTCATTTGTGTGTTTTTAGCTTTCTTCCTGTATGGGAAGCTTTTCAACATTTGAAACATTAGTGCAGTGGTTTATGTTAAAATAAACCTTTGGGTTAAGTTGTCGCAAGCAGGTTTTTCTTGTGTTTCTTGTGAATTTGGTCTTAAATTTTTATTTCAAGTGGCATTAAAAAGTCTTAAAAAGTCTTGAATTTAACTTGTCTTATGCTGTAGGAACCCTGTTTAAACATGTTTGATTTTCTCCCAACCTTCTGATTCCTGATGGGGGGGCGGTCGTTAGAGGCTGATCGCCCCTCGTTACCCCATGTACGCTACACGACTGGAGAATCAGCCCGAAAGGGCAAAAAAAATCATCAAAGTCCGCCCGGCCTTAAGGGCTGGTTATCGTCCCGCAGCAGCGTGTCGCAGTGAGCTCGTCGCAGATATTTTTGATTTATGCCCAATATTGACGACACGCAGTTCCCCCGTGAGTGTTCCCTAGAGACCGGCCGTGGCGCTGCGTTTTGGCTTCAGGTCCAAACCAACAGACCGTCGCTCAGAGCTACAAACTAGCGTCCTGCACGGTGTCTGGGATAGAGTCCGAGGTGTGCCAGGCCCTGTGGGCGGAGCTACAGCCAGAGTTTCTGCCATTAGGGACCAAACAGGAAATACGCAGAGCGTAGAGCGGATGGAGAACTGACCAATCAGAGGCCTCCTGTCTGCGGACAACTAGAATTTTAGAGAGGTGCAGCAGAGTGTCTGTGGAAGGGGGCGGGGCATATCTGCGTTAACTGCGACACACGCAGACGGCCTGGTTTCTGAGCATAAACCAGGTTCTAGTTCTCCCTGTGACTCAAATCCTTCCGCTGCTCGTTTGTTCGTAGTTTGGTTCCCAGCAGCTCGGTTCCTCACTGGTTCTCCTTTTCTTGCAGAACGGAGGAAACCTGCAGGACTTTGACTGTCAGGTGAGTTCATCATCATCATCATCAGTCCGCCATGCTGTGCTGTGGTGATGTTGGGTCTTGTGAACAGAGATCAATACATTCACCATGAATTCAGCAGAACTACTGAGATCCTTCCTTAATGATCCAAAGGGTTTTAAAAAGTGAATAACTGTCCTGATGAAGGAGGAGGTGGTAAAACAGCATCATGGGAAGATGGTGAACAGAGGGAGAGGAGCAGCTCAGCTGAGGCCAGGCTTAGGGGCTCAGCTGTTCCTCCTCTCAGCCAATCAGGGAGCAGATTACTGCTGCTGATCCCATCATCTCCTCCATCTCTCATTCCTCCTCATTCCTCGCACAAAGCGGCGCCGTTCTCAGGATGAGGGACTGTCTGGAGCTGCATCAGATCTCCTGCTCTCTAGGAGGTCAGGTGGTGAGTGAGCTGTTGGTTCACCTGCTGGCCGCCATGTTTCCTGCTCAACTTCATCCTCCGCTCCGCTCGCCGCCTTTTTGCTAAGCGTCTGTTTCCCTCCTGGGTCCAGGTTCTGGGTCCAGTTTTTGGGTTCAAGTCCAGGCCTTAGTTTCGGGTCCAGTCTTAAGATCCGGGTTTGGGTACAGGTTTTGGGTCCAGGTTCTGGGCTCTGGTCTTTAAATCAGGTTTGGGTCCAGTCTTTGGGTCCAGGTTCTGGGTTCTGGTCCCTCTCTGGTGACTCCAGCCTGATTCTTTCCTCATTAGATGTTTAATTTCCTTCTAGAATCAAACAGCTGAGATAATCTGAGTCCTTAAATCATCTCAGGGATCCGGACCAGCCGGACCCGTTAAAGGGAACTGCAGCGCCACCAAAGGACCAGAACCCTCATCAGCAGGAGTTCCACCTCTAATTTGGTCAAAAACATGAAAAGCTGCCTAGTCACAGTTCAAGCCCAGTTCCCAGACTGGGTCAGAACCGCTCCGTGGTTCTGGAAAACACCTGACTGTGGTTTTTGGGCCAACATTTGGCCTAGATGGTTATCAGCTGGTAGATGTGTGACGATGGGTTCTGGATCCCAGCAGCCCACAGGATCTTACCTCAGATGGTTCTGGTGTTTATCAGATCCTGGTACCGCCAGGCTCAGGTCGGTCCGGGTTCTGCTCAGGCTGATGGTGTCCTTCTGTCCAGGAACATGACGTGGAGACGGCCCACGGAGTTCTGCACGTCACCATGAGGGGCGTCACCAGGGGCAACCGACCCACGATCCTCACCTACCACGACGTGGGATTGAACCGTGAGTATGGGAACCCGGCCGGGTCCAGAGATACGGTTGAACGATGCGTACGGGACACGGCCGGGTCCAAAGACACGGTTGAACTGTGTCTCTGGACCCGGCCGGGTCCAAAGACACGGTTGAACGATGCGTACGGGACACGGCCGGGTCCAAAGACACGGTTGAACCGTGTCTCTGGACCCGGCCGGGTCCAGAGGAGGCCCTTCTGTGACGTCTCTGTGACGTTTGTCTGTGTGCAGATAAGTCCTGCTTCAACAGCCTGTTCAACTACGAGGACATGCAGGAGGTGACGCAGAACTTCTCTGTGCTCCACGTGGACGCCCCCGGGCAGCAGGAGAACGCCCCCACCTTCCCCCCAGGGTAACAAACCGGGGTGTCATGGTGACGGGATCCGTCTGACCTCCGTCTTCTAATGAATCCATTAACCTTTCTAAGTTCTTCTAAACAAAGGTCAGAGGTTAGCTAGGTGTAACAGGAAGCAGGTTCTGACCTCAGCTGGTCGGAACCAGAACCTCCAGCTGCTTGTGTCTTTCTGGAGACGCTGGTTCTTTCGGTGGTTTTGGTCCCTGCGGTGACGGCAGCCTTCCTGTGTTGTCAGGTACCAGTACCCCAGTCTGGAGCAGCTGGCGGAGATGCTGCCGCCGGTCCTCGTCCAGCTGCAGTAAGTCCCCCGTCCTTCTGGACCTTCAGGACAGGAAGCGGCTGTTTGGGTTCACGCCGGGTCTGGGTTTGTGTCCTCAGGGTGAAGAGCGTGATCGGCATCGGAGTCGGAGCCGGAGCCCACATCCTCACCAGGCTGGCTGTAAGGAACACCCATCCAACACGCAGTGGTTTCAGAACCACAGCTCCCAGTTAACCCAGCTGTTGTTTCAGCTGAACGAGCCCAGCCTGGTGGAAGGACTGGTTCTGATAGACATCAACCCGTGTGCCAAAGGCTGGGTGGACTGGGCCGCCTCTAAGGTAACGCCGAACCATCGGGTCAGAACAAGTCCAGGTGTCCATCTGAACCGGACCTCTTCTGTTTCATGCAGCTGAGCGGCTGGACCAGCAGCCTGGTGGACGTCATCATGGGACACCACTTCAGCTCCGTGAGAACCACGCTGACGGTTCTAGAGAACCAGAACTGCTGACTAACTGGACTCTCTGTGTGCCAACAGGACCAGCTGGCCGAGAACCAGGAGATCGTCCAGACCTACAGACTCCACATGTCGCAGGACGTTCCTCAGGAGAACCTGGCCATGTTCTACAGCAGCTATGAAAGGTGGGACGCAGCCTGAGACACCCGTCCCCCCTCGGCCCCCTGTCCCTGTCCAACTGTCTGTCCCACTGTGTGTTTGCTAGCCGATCGGAGCTGCAGATGGAGCGGCCCGTCCCCGGACTGGACCAGAACACCTCCAGCACTCTCAGGTAGCCCCGCCCACCCCGCCCTGAACACGCCTCAGAGGCCACATCCATTCTGATTGGCTGTCCTCTCTTCAGGTGTCCCACTCTGCTGGTGGTTGGGGACACGTCTCCAGCGGTGGACGCCGTGGTGAGTGTTTGTCTCCTTTGAGAACTTTATCCAGAACAGGAACCATCTAGAAGGAGAACCTCAGATCACTGGACCAACATTTTGAGGTGTTGGTCTGTTTGTCTGCAGGTGGAGTGTAACTCCAGGCTGAATCCCACCAGGACCACACTGCTGAAGGTACCGTCTGCCCCTCATCATCATCATCATCCTCATCATCCTGGTGCTTTAGATGGTTTTAGACGTCATGTCCTAAACAGAACAGCTGGTCTTTCATCCTCCTGGACGTCCTCAAACATCTCAGCTGTCTGTGTCTCTGAAACGGCAGCGGCTTCCTGAAACCCATCAGATGTTCCTCAGATGTTCTCCAGAATAGCAGCTTTGGTTCTGACCCATTGAGACTGGATCAGAACCAGTGTAAACAGCAGAGGAACCGAGTCGCCACACATTTAGCTTGACGGTGCTGTTCTGTGTTTCCCCTCTAGATGGCGGACTGCGGTGGACTTCCACAGGTGGTCCAGGTGGGTCTCAAAAACAACCGCAACAGCTCAGGTTCTGGTTCTGGTTCTGTTTGGGTACAAAAACCATGTTTTGTTTTTCTCCTCAGCCTGGAAAGTTGGCCGAGGCCTTTAAGTACTTCGTCCAGGGGATGGGCTACAGTGAGTACCTGATGGCTCCCATCGGCCATAGCTCTGGAGTTTAGGATGACCTTTGACCTCATGGGTCAGGTCCAACATTGCTCTGTCTGTAGGTTTGAATAAACACGAATGAACCGCAGATCACAGCCGCCATTCTATCACCATGGCAACACATCCTACCTTGGTGATGAAACATCAACTGTTCCGGTTCTCCTTTTTTGACCTGAGAAGAAAAACAGAACATTCAACGTCCCTCATGTTCTGGTTACTGTAAGAATCTAATTCTAGAGGTTCAACATCTGGTTCCACCAGAGGATCCAGATGTTGAACCTCTGGTTCTCGTTCCACCAGAGGATCCAGATGTTGAACCTCTGGTTCTCGTTCCTATAGAGGATCCAGATGTTGAACCTCTGGTTCCTGTTCCACCAGAGGATCCAGATGTTGAACCTCTGGTTCTCGTTCCACCAGAGGATCCAGATGTTGAACCTCTGGTTCTCGTTCCACCAGAGGATCCAGATGTTGAACCTCTGGTTCTCGTTCCACCAGAGGATCCAGATGTTGAACCTCTGGTTCTCGTTCCACCAGAGGATCCAGATGTTGAACCTCTGGTTCCTGTTCCACCAGAGGATCCAGATGTTGAACCTCTGGTTCCTGTTCCACCAGAGGATCCAGACGTTGAACCTCTGGTTCTCGTTCCACCAGAGGATCCAGATGTTGAACCTCTGGTTGCTTGTTCCACCAGGAGATCCAGATGTTGAACCTCTGGTTCTCGTTCCACCAGAGGATCCAGATGTTGAACTTCTGGTTCTCGTTCCTTTAGAGGATCCAGATGTTGAACCTCTGGTTCCTGTTCCACCAGAGGATCCAGATGTTGAACCTCTGGTTCTCGTTCCACCAGAGGATCCAGATGTTGAACCTCTGGTTCCTGTTCCACCAGAGGATCCAGATGTTGAACCTCTGGTTCTCGTTCCACCAGAGGATCCAGATGTTGAACCTCTGGTTCCTGTTCCACCAGAGGATCCAGATGTTGAACCTCTGGTTCTCGTTCCTATAGAGGATCCAGATGTTGAACCTCTGGTTCCTGTTCCACCAGAGGATCCAGATGTTGAACCTCTGGTTCCTGTTCCACCAGAGGATCCAGATGTTGAACCTCTGGTTCTCGTTCCACCAGAGGATCCAGATGTTGAACCTCTGGTTCTCGTTCCACCAGAGGATCCAGATGTTGAACCTCTGGTTCCTGTTCCACCAGAGGATCCAGATGTTGAACCTCTGGTTCCTGTTCCACCAGAGGATCCAGATGTTGAACCTCTGGTTCCTGTTCCACCAGAGGATCCAGATGTTGAACCTCTGGTTCCTGTTCCACCAGAGGATCCAGATGTTGAACCTCTAGTTCTCGTTCCTTTAGAGGATCCAGATGTTGAACCTCTGGTTCCTGTTCCACCAGAGGATCCAGATGTTGAACCTCTGGTTCTCGTTCCACCAGAGGATCCAGATGTTGAACCTCTGGTTCCTGTTCCACCAGAGGATCCAGATGTTGAACCTCTGGTTCTCGTTCCACCAGAGGATCCAGATGTTGAACCTCTGGTTCCTGTTCCACCAGAGGATCCAGACGTTGAACCTCTGGTTCTCGTTCCTTTAGAGGATCCAGATGTTGAACCTCTGGTTCCTGTTCCACCAGAGGATCCAGATGTTGAACCTCTGGTTCTCGTTCCACCAGAGGATCCAGATGTTGAACCTCTCCAGATGTTGAACCTCTGGTTCCTGTTCCACCAGAGGATCCAGATGTTGAACCTCTGGTTCCTGTTCCACCAGAGGATCCAGATGTTGAACCTCTGGTTCCTGTTCCACCAGAGGATCCAGATGTTGAACCTCTAGTTCTCGTTCCTTTAGAGGATCCAGATGTTGAACCTCTGGTTCCTGTTCCACCAGAGGATCCAGACGTTGAACCTCTGGTTCTCGTTCCACCAGAGGATCCAGATGTTGAACCTCTGGTTCTCGTTCCACCAGAGGATCCAGATGTTGAACCTCTGGTTCCTGTTCCACCAGAGGATCCAGATGTTGAACCTCTGGTTCTCGTTCCACCAGAGGATCCAGATGTTGAACCTCTGGTTCCTGTTCCACCAGAGGATCCAGATGTTGAACCTCTGGTTCTCGTTCCACCAGAGGATCCAGATGTTGAACCTCTGGTTCTCGTTCCACCAGAGGATCCAGATGTTGAACCTCTGGTTCCTGTTCCACCAGAGGATCCAGATGTTGAACCTCTGGTTCTCGTTCCAACAGAGGATCCAGATGTTGAACCTCTGGTTCCTGTTCCACCAGAGGATCCAGATGTTGAACCTCTGGTTCCTGTTCCACCAGAGGATCCAGATGTTGAACCTCTGGTTCTCGTTCCACCAGAGGATCCAGATGTTGAACCTCTGGTTCTCGTTCCACCAGAGGATCCAGATGTTGAACCTCTGGTTCTCGTTCCACCAGAGGATCCAGATGTTGAACCTCTGGTTCCTGTTCCACCAGAGGATCCAGATGTTGAACCTCTGGTTCTCGTTCCACCAGAGGATCCAGATGTTGAACCTCTGGTTCTCGTTCTACCAGAGGATCCAGATGTTGAACCTCTGGTTCTCGTTCCACCAGAGGATCCAGATGTTGAACCTCTGGTTCTCGTTCCCCCAGAGGATCCAGATGTTGAACCTCTGGTTCCTGTTCCACCAGAGGATCCAGATGTTGAACCTCTGGTTCTCGTTCCACCAGAGGATCCAGATGTTGAACCTCTCCAGATGTTGAACCTCTGGTTCCTGTTCCACCAGAGGATCCAGATGTTGAACCTCTGGTTCCTGTTCCACCAGAGGATCCAGATGTTGAACCTCTGGTTCCTGTTCCACCAGAGGATCCAGATGTTGAACCTCTAGTTCTCGTTCCTTTAGAGGATCCAGATGTTGAACCTCTGGTTCCTGTTCCACCAGAGGATCCAGACGTTGAACCTCTGGTTCTCGTTCCACCAGAGGATCCAGATGTTGAACCTCTGGTTCTCGTTCCACCAGAGGATCCAGATGTTGAACCTCTGGTTCCTGTTCCACCAGAGGATCCAGATGTTGAACCTCTGGTTCTCGTTCCACCAGAGGATCCAGATGTTGAACCTCTGGTTCCTGTTCCACCAGAGGATCCAGATGTTGAACCTCTGGTTCTCGTTCCAACAGAGGATCCAGATGTTGAACCTCTGGTTCCTGTTCCACCAGAGGATCCAGATGTTGAACCTCTGGTTCCTGTTCCACCAGAGGATCCAGATGTTGAACCTCTAGTTCTCGTTCCTTTAGAGGATCCAGATGTTGAACCTCTGGTTCCTGTTCCACCAGAGGATCCAGATGTTGAACCTCTGGTTCTCGTTCCAACAGAGGATGCAGATGTTGAACCTCTAGTTCTCGTTCCTTTAGAGGATCCAGATGTTGAACCTCTGGTTCCTGTTCCACCAGAGGATCCAGACGTTGAACCACTGGTTCTCGTTCCACCAGAGGATCCAGATGTTGAACCTCTGGTTCTCGTTCCACCAGAGGATCCAGATGTTGAACCTCTGGTTCCTGTTCCACCAGAGGATCCAGATGTTGAACCTCTGGTTCTCGTTCCACCAGAGGATCCAGATGTTGAACCTCTGGTTCCTGTTCCACCAGAGGATCCAGATGTTGAACCTCTGGTTCTCGTTCCAACAGAGGATCCAGATGTTGAACCTCTGGTTCCTGTTCCACCAGAGGATCCAGATGTTGAACCTCTGGTTCATGTTCCACCAGAGGATCCAGATGTTGAACCTCTAGTTCTCGTTCCTTTAGAGGATCCAGATGTTGAACCTCTGGTTCCTGTTCCACCAGAGGATCCAGATGTTGAACCTCTGGTTCTCGTTCCACCAGAGGATCCAGATGTTGAACCTCTGGTTCTCGTTCCACCAGAGGATCCAGATGTTGAACCTCTGGTTCCTGTTCCACCAGAGGATCCAGATGTTGAACCTCTGGTTCTCGTTCCAACAGAGGATCCAGATGTTGAACCTCTGGTTCCTGTTCCACCAGAGGATCCAGATGTTGAACCTCTGGTTCCTGTTCCACCAGAGGATCCAGATGTTGAACCTCTAGTTCTCGTTCCTTTAGAGGATCCAGATGTTGAACCTCTGGTTCCTGTTCCACCAGAGGATCCAGATGTTGAACCTCTGGTTCTCGTTCCAACAGAGGATGCAGATGTTGAACCTCTAGTTCTCGTTCCTTTAGAGGATCCAGATGTTGAACCTCTGGTTCCTGTTCCACCAGAGGATCCAGACGTTGAACCACTGGTTCTCGTTCCACCAGAGGATCCAGATGTTGAACCTCTGGTTCTCGTTCCACCAGAGGATCCAGATGTTGAACCTCTGGTTCCTGTTCCACCAGAGGATCCAGATGTTGAACCTCTGGTTCTCGTTCCACCAGAGGATCCAGATGTTGAACCTCTGGTTCCTGTTCCACCAGAGGATCCAGATGTTGAACCTCTGGTTCTCGTTCCAACAGAGGATCCAGATGTTGAACCTCTGGTTCCTGTTCCACCAGAGGATCCAGATGTTGAACCTCTGGTTCATGTTCCACCAGAGGATCCAGATGTTGAACCTCTAGTTCTCGTTCCTTTAGAGGATCCAGATGTTGAACCTCTGGTTCCTGTTCCACCAGAGGATCCAGACGTTGAACCTCTGGTTCTCGTTCCACCAGAGGATCCAGATGTTGAACCTCTGGTTCTCGTTCCACCAGAGGATCCAGATGTTGAACCTCTGGTTCTCGTTCCACCAGAGGATCCAGATGTTGAACCTCTGGTTCCTGTTCCACCAGAGGATCCAGATGTTGAACCTCTGGTTCTCGTTCCACCAGAGGATCCAGATGTTGAACCTCTGGTTCATGTTCCACCAGAGGATCCAGATGTTGAACCTCTAGTTCTCGTTCCTTTAGAGGATCCAGATGTTGAACCTCTGGTTCCTGTTCCACCAGAGGATCCAGACGTTGAACCTCTGGTTCTCGTTCCACCAGAGGATCCAGATGTTGAACCTCTGGTTCTCGTTCCAACAGAGGATGCAGATGTTGAACCTCTGGTTCTCGTTCCACCAGAGGATCCAGATGTTGAACCTCTCCAGATGTTGAACCTCTGGTTGCTTGTTTCTTCAGGCTCCCAGTCTTAGCAGCCTGATGCGTTCCAACCCGTTCTGGTTGGTTCTGGTTCCCCTCCGCTGGGTCCAATCGGACCCATATAAACCTGAAGGTTTTCCATCAACCAGAACCTTCGTTGGTTCTGACGGACTTCCTGTTTGACCCTGAAGTCCAGTAAAAGGTTCTTACCCGCTCCCTGTGTGTCTCCCTCTAGTGCCCACAGCCGGGATGACCCGTCTGGTTCGCTCCAGAACCCACTCGGCCTCCAGCGCGGGTTCCTCGGAGGGGGCCCGGAGCCGCAGCAGCGTCCTGGAGGGCGCCGACCCCCAGAACCCAGCGGTCCAAACCATTGAGATGACGGCGTAGAACCAGAGCCGGTTCAGGTTCTCCAACAGCCTCGGTTCTTCCTGCAGGATCTCAGAGTGGAGTAGAGCGGACCTGTGTGGTTCTGTTAGTTCCCCTCTGTGGGGCCCGGCCGTTACCGCGGTAACACTTTCTATCTTCATGAGTTCAGGTGTTGTTCTGTGGTTCCGTTTCTCTTGGGTTAGATGTTCTTTTTCTTTGGACTCTATCTTTCTGTGGGATGTTTATAGAAATCTTCGGTTCTGACGCTCAGACTTTTGGGTCAAACTGTTTCTGTTTGGACGGAAACCTTCAATTAGACGCCAGAACACCTCGTTACGGTAGAACCACCTGACAGTCACGGCCCAATCGGACCCTAGTTTTCCTGTTTTATCTCAGTCCGCATGCTGAATGTTGGCAGTGAAGTGGTTCTGGATCTGATGGATCCCCTCTGTGATGTTAAATGGACCCAAACAGCACCAGAAGCCGCTCCACATCCTGGGGTCCGATTCATGAAGCAGGTTTAACAGATTCACATCTTCACCTCTAAATTAGTCTAGCCTAAAGTCAGGAACTCTGAGTGTTCGGTTTTATAAACAGTTAGCTTCAATCAATAGTTCAGTCAATTCTTACTAGATCTACTCAGATTTAAACGGTGCGTAACAAATATGAAAATTCATTATCAGGGGAGCACAGCTTTAGCGAGTCACCATGACAACAGGCAACAGGAAGTGCCTATTTCACTCCACTGGAACAAGAGGTTTTAATTAAAAGACAGAGGCCGTTTCTCAATATGCGTTCTTGAGCGTTCTCGTGTGCTCGTGTACTCGTGACACGTCATCAGCCTCAGCCCGAGTACCGTTCCAATTCTCAAGAACGCCAGATTGAGAACGCATCAAATCCCCGGATGTTGTTCTCGCCCCGCCCTCTTTATCGAGCATGCATCAGAGCAGGCTTGTGCGTTCTTCAGACTGACCGCTTCCCCAGAATGCCCCGCGGCCGCAGCTTGATTCCAGACAGCACTCACAGTGGTAAGTTAAACATTCCCTTTTCTGCTGCTGTTGTTCTTCAAAAGTACGTTTTGAAATCGTTTGAGGCGATAACATTATACATTGAAGCCTCCCTGTGTGGCCTGTTTACAGAGTTAGTGCGAAATAAAAAAAAAAGTCCGATGTTGAGCGGACCAGAGTGACCAGCAGACCTCCGAGGGTAACCGCAGCCAGGGCTAAATTTACCCCGTCTGTAGTGCACTTCTCTCGGTCTAGTTATGTGTGAACTACCGCTCGTTCTGATGGCGTTTTTTGCGGTTCGGTAATTTTTTAAAATGTTTTTTAAGCTTTAGAAATAAAAAATATTGTTTTCAACATGTTTTGTGTAGGGAATAAATAGTTTTGACTGTTAAAGAAATGCTAAACAACGTTGCATGTGATGACGTCACGAGTACACTTCTGCTCCAATACACATACGTGCTTGCGTACTCGCGTTCTCGTCAAGTCCGTTCTTGGCGAGAACGCAGGAAGATCGGACTTGACGAGAACGCGAGTACGTACTCGCGTTCTCGTGAATTGAGAAACGCCGAGAGAAACAGGCTAGAGCTGCAAAGGAGAGGAAGATGGAGAAGATTGTTGCTCCAGTTAATGTATAAGTTTATATGAAGTGACCTATGGCAGGCCGTATTATCATTTATTAAAATCACTCTCCTCTCTCTGGTTCACTAAAATAAGATTCTCCCTGATCAAAGTCACACTCCCACTGAACTGTAATAATAGATTTTCTAAATTACATTTTTGCAGAAGAAACAGAATTTTAGAAAGTAAAAAAAGATAAATTAGAATAAGAATTTTATATATATATAATTATATATATATAAAAATAAGAGTTTTATATATCTATAAATGTTTACACATTTAAAGTGGCCGTTCTGACATTTATCAGCTTGACTGAAAATGTATTTATGATATCTAAAAAATATTTTTTAATAGTTAAAGTAATACAAATGATAACCAGTAATATTAAGAATATGGAGATCTGGAGATTTCTAGACATCCGGGATGTTTATTCTAGATGTGGAGAATGTTATTTTGCTTGAAATGGTCATTTAGACACAGAGAAATGTTTTTATTCAGATTTTAGGAATTCAGTAAAACTAATACATGTCAAAATGGCTTGCCACAGTTTTACTGTAAAATTATTATGGGATTTTTTTTTTATGGTAGTAGATCAATGTATCTATTAAGATGAAATCTTCTGTTAGCAGGTGAAGAATAAAAACATTGTTCTAATAAATAGAACCTGTTCATCACCTCATGGGTTCCTCCTCATGTTGATTCAGTCTGTTTTACAGTTAAGAGGCTGTTTGAAGCTGCGCTTCGGATCTTATCATCCCAATAAATGGGCGTTATTAGCAGCTATCAGTCCCATAGAACGGCTTCAGATTGATCGGCAATTAATGCCGATCATTCTTTAATAAGATCCTCATCAAATGGACGTGAAATGTGTTTTCAAAACCTAATGTGTCTGACAGACCCAGTGAATTATATATATATATATATATATATATATATATATATATATATATATATATATATATATATATATATATATATATATATATTCACTACGACCAAAATCTGACTAAATCAGCAAATAAAGCGGCGTGATTGGCGTGAGGAGAGCGGAGACAGAGGACACTGAGTTTACTGAAGGAAACCTGCTGCTGACCAGGTTAGCTCTGGGAGGAGGTTACTATGGTAACAGATACAGAGGATGAGGAAACTCTCTTTGTGAAACGGAGAACTCAGAGTTTCCCTGATTTCAGGTTTAGAAAACTTTCAGTCAACCTGCTTTGTGAAACGGACCCCTGGGTCCCAAACGCCGCTGGTTTATATGTGCTCTTATTTTGGCGGGTTGTGCTGAAGCATGGATTTCCTGTTTGTAATGAAATAAAGATGATTTCTCAGAACCTGGAAGCAGTTTTCATACTTCCTTGCCGGGACGACCGCACAGAACACCCCCCATCTCTAAGTAATGAGTGAAAATATTAAAGGTAGAGTTTTGAAAAGACCCTCCCTCCCCACTTGGAAAAATAATAAGAACATTCAGGTAATTTGCTTTTAGAAAAAGTTACTTACAAATCAGCGTTAGTCTGATTGGTCTTGCTTAAGGACCCACACTGGCAGCTCATTCCCCCTGGCTGGGATTCGAACCCGGGACCTCCTGTGTATGGGTCAGCTGACGTACCACTTGAGTGCACACTCTCGCACGTCTTTAATAGGCGTGCGAGAGCGTGCACGAGCCCATTTCTCCTCGTGCACGCTCCGTTTAAAAGTGTCTGTCTGCATCCATCAAACTTACTTTCCAAAAGATTTGCCATTTTTCCACGTCAGCCTCAGCAGCTGTCAGTGAAAATGGAGACGAGCGCGTAGGACCGCCTTAAACGCATCACCAGAATGATTGACAGGAGGAAACAGAACATCCTCCACTAAACCTTTAAAGGAATAGTACACCCAAAACATGATTAGCCTTCATTTTCTACTCACCCCCATGCTGAACAACACTCTGGAGTACTTTTTTGATATCTCAAATGCATCTGGAGATCTGGGAGGCTTCTTGCTGTCTGCTGACATTCAAATAATGGAGGTCTATGGCGCCCGAGGCAGAAAGGTCCATAAAAGTCCACAAAAACGTGTCAATATTCCTCCATACTGCTCGTCCAATGTATTCCAAGTGTCCTGAGTGGGTAGCGTCCAGAATTTACTCTAAACGAAGTCATTTAGAATGTTTTTAGAGCATAAACAGTAGTGTATAGGATTTCCTGAAAGCGCGCGCCAGCGCGCTCACGACGCTACGGAAGCCGGCAGACCAAACCAGATGAAAGTGCGCATTCAGCGTCTGCTCTGCCGATAATGCAAGCGTAGAAGAAGAAATGTGCCGTTTACCTGTGCAAAGAAAGAAACAACGAAAGAAAAATGTCTGAGGACTTCAGTGTTGAGGAAGAGCATGAGTTCTTTGCCGAGCTGAATGCGCACTTTCATCTGGTTTGGTCTACCGCGGTTTCCGTAGACTCGTGAACGCGCTTTCAGGAAATCCTATACACTACTGTTTATGCTCTAAGAACATTCTAAATGACTTCGTTTCGAGTAAATTCTAGACGCTACCCACTCAGGACACTTGGAATACATTGGACGAGCAGTATGGAGGAATATTGACACGTTTTTTGTGGACTTTTATGGACCTTTCTGTCTCGGGCGCCATAGACCTCCATTATTTGAATGTCAGCAGACAGCAAGAAGCCTCCCAGATCTCCAGATGCATTTGAGATATCAAAAAAGTACTCCAGAGTGTTGTTCAGCATGGGGGGGAGTAGAAAATGAAGGCTAATCATGTTTTGGGTGTACTATTCCTTTAAGGCTGAAGCCAAATTATTGTCCAAATGATCAGAACCGAGCCTTCTGTGAAGCAGCTGCTTCACTTTTAGCCACTAGGGGGAGCTAAACCTGGAATGAACAGGCTGTTACTTCCAGGATTAGTGCCCCCGCAGGCCACTGGCAGTACTGCACTGTCACTAAATGACCCAGTCTGTGTTCTGGTTCTGGAATCAGACCAGTTTGGACCAGCAGGTTTAAGGTTTCTGGTAAAGATGAGAAAACGTTCATCCTCTGGATGAAATCCTCCACCAGAGAACCAGCCGGGGGTCGCGGCTAACAGCTGTTAGCTTAGAGAGCTGTGAGATCTGCAGAGAAAGGAGGTCGATGAGGTTTGATCTTCTCTGTACGTCTATTTCACCCTCTGAACTTTCGTTATTCATCTATGATAATGGAAACCCAGTTTTGCATCTATGACCCCTTTAAATCACCACGAACATATTAGTTTAAAGGTATAAATAATGATCTATTGATCACTCCTCGCTGACCGGACATTTCCTTTAAATGACATCATTCAGATGGGCTCAGCCAGTCTGGCTCTGATGATCCGGTGTTTCCTGCAGGACCAGAGCTGTGGGGAACCTCCTGAGCTTAGATGTTGAAGGATTGGAAACGAAGCAGCTTCTGAAATGTCATTTTATTCTGAAGCTTTAGAGAGAAAATAATCAAACTAATTGATGTGAGGAAACGTCATGGTTCTGAACCCTGTGGTTAAAGAATGTTTATCAGCAGAACATCTGAAGGTCCAGTTTACAGAAGGTGGAGAACCTTCCAGGTGGTTCTGTAGATCCAACCAAACAGGTGAGCTCAGTCTGAGGGTCCGCGGCGGCTCTGAGGCATCAGAACCACGGCGGTTCAGCTGGCAGCAGGGGGTGCCGTCTTACTGCAGAGCCGCCCCAGCAGGCCGGCCATCTGCAGCAGGGAGTTAACGCCTTCAGCGACCCGCATGTGAGTGAAGCCGATCTCCTGCGGAGCAACAGAACAGGTTGAGGCGGCGGACTGGACCGGACCCGACCCGACCAACCAGAACAGGAGGAGCAGCCTCACCTTGATGAACTCCAGTTTGAGGAACTCTGCCATCTGGTAGGTCTTGCAGACCCTGAAGATGTTCCCGATGATGTCCTCTGGGGAGTAGCCCAGCGCCCACAGCTGCTCCACCACCTGGTAGGCCGCGTCGATGTTCCCCTCCACGCAGTGTCCCAGCATGCTTTTCACCAGCAGGGGGTGGGGCTCGTCGCACACCTTGAAGACGTTCTCGCTGTTGATGTAGCCGAACCCAGAGTTGGTGGACTGCAGGTTGTTCAGCGCCTGAAGGAGGAGCAGAACCGGCGCCGTCAGCACAGAAACACGCCTTGCCTCAGAGCCGCGCTCCTGACTCCGCCCCCTCACCTGTCTCATGTCCCCCTGTGCCGTGAAGATGACGGCCTCCAGCCCGTCGTCGGACACCGCCAGGCGCTCCTTCTCCACCACCTCCTGCAGCCGGGCCAGAATCTGTCCGTCCGTCAGCTTGGAGTAGCGCAGCACGGCGCAGCGGGACTGGATCGGCTCGATGATTTTATCGGAGGCGTTGCACGCCAGAGCGAAGCGCGTCGTCTTGGAGTAGATCTCCATGATCCTCCTCAGCGCCTGCTGAGCTCCGTCTGTCATGCTGGAAGCAGCAGAGTATCAGCTACTAGATCTGCTCAGTACTTACACCTTCTCTATTAGAGTTATAGTGGAGGACATTTTTTAAAAGAGCCGCCATCTCCACATTTAACCATTTAGCAGATGCTTTGATTCAATTCTATTCAGTTTATTTCTATAGCTCCAATTCACATCATATCATCTCAGGTCACTTTCCAGTTCACCAGATCATCCAGTCAGATTGATTCAAAGTTTTCTATCTAAGGAAAACCAGCTGATTGCATCGACTCATTGACTCTTCAGCAATCCCTCACACTAAGCATGCTTGTAGCGACAGTGGAGAGGAAAAACTCCCTTTGAACAGGAAGAAACCTCCAGCAGAACCAGGCTCAGTGTGAGCGGCCATCTGCTGAGGCCCACTGGGGTTCAAGGAGACAGAAGCAGACATAGAAAAAGAAGCATAGATACAAAAGGCAACTGTCAACCAGCTCCACAGGCGGCCCCGTCCAGGAAACACACAGCCAGGCAGACGTGCTCCGAGCCAGCTCCCATGTCAGAGGATGAAGAGAGCACATCCAGTTAGTCACAGTCAGAGAAACAGGACTACACTGGAAAACAGGCCAAGCTCCAACATCTAGAAACAAAGGTGTTGATGGCAGCAGCACAGCTGATATTTCTCTCCAGGATGGAGTCACAGCCAAACAGGAACAGACCAGATGAAGCTACTATGAGAAAAAGCAGAGAGAGCAGAACGTTAGAGATTGAACTAACAGATTCTGCAGAGTGGGAGAATAGAGATAGAATGAAGCAGAAGGATAAAAAAGGGGTCCCTATGTCCTCCAGCAGTCTAAGCCTATAGCAGCAGAACTATAGAGATAGCTCAGGATAACCTGAGCCACTCTAACTAGAAGCTTTATCAAAAAGGAAAGTTTTAAGCCTAGCCTTAAAAGTAGACAGGGTGTCTCTCTAACTGGAAGGAAGCTAAAAGGAAAGGAAACAAACACAAGGGGGCAATAGAGAGCAACACAAGAAATACAAAACCACTCAGAAACATGAAGGTGGATGCTTTGGTGGTGCAGTGGTTAGCGCACAGGAGCCATATAGGGAGGCCTCAGTCCTCTACATGATGTAACCAGCGTGTGTTACATAAGCTGCTCTGCTATTCTTATTTTCTATCCAGTTTGATGAAATTATTGGCTAAATCTGAGGAGCAAAGGCTTTGCCTCATGCAGAAGGTCTCCAATAATGGAAATCAGCATATTTGTTTGACCAGATTCCCTTTTATGAGAGGAAAAAATGCATTTTTGCACTTTTGGCACTGTGCTAAAATCCCATTTCCTCCTAGAACGCTGCTCACTAAAACCTCTGTGGAACAAACCTGCTTCAACTGGTTCAGTCCAGATTAGCCTGAGTTCTAGTCAAGATGTGGATCTATAAAGTCTGAGGGTTCATCCAGAGTTTCAAATCAGCTTTGTTTTGCAGAGTTTATTTTGGAAAAAAAGATTGGCAAGGCTAAATATATTTCATTTTTCGTTTGTTTAATGGATCCTAGGCGGAGGTTTAACTGAATAAACTGATTATTCGCCTTCATCCGCCTCCAAAACAGCCAACCAGTGTTCGACCAAATTAGCATTAGCGCCATTCTTTAGCCTTTTCTCAAGCTTTTTTCCCAAACATACGACTTTACGATCAAACGGAAGCAGTTCCATGCTAACATATCGCAATATATCTGAAGAAATTGTTTTAATAAACTTTTTTTTGTAAATAAAGCATTTTAAATGCCACGTTAATCGCTTTAAATTCATTTTAATGCCAATTAAGGCCTTAATTTAAAAAAGAATGAAATGACTTTTCATTATTTTTATTAACCCATGGGAACCCTGAGTGTAGCTTAATGTGGCTAACTGAGCGAGCTAAAAGAGGCTAACATGTTAGCTACTGAGCACAGCTAGCCACAGTGCTACCCAGCTCTATATCACGGTTTAACAGATTTTATTTCAGGTAAAACTTCATCCGTCATTGGACGCGCTAACGGACGCTGCGTGATGTTATTATCGTTGTCAGGGCAACCACAATGTTTACATCATGTGGCAACGTTCAGCCATGCAGGCATGAAGCAGAACCCGAGCAGCTGTGGTAGCTTCAGCGGTCCAGATGTTTGGATCTGAGCCTGACCCACCTGTCCGCCTCGTCCAGGATGATGATCTTGTGTCGCCCTTTGGGCAGCGTGACCTTCTGCTGAGCAAACATCTTGATCTTGTTCCTCACCACGTCGATCCCCCTGCAGAACAAATGTCCAACATCAGGACTCCTGTCTCTACCCCCCCTCCCCCGGTCAGAGCAGCCGACCCGAGTCTGACCTGTCGTTTGAGGCGTTCAGCTCTAGGACGGCGTCTTTCATGGCGGCTCCCAGCAGAGCTCGAGCCAAACACAGGATGCTGGTGGTCTTTCCCGTCCCTGGAGGTCCTGGACCACAGAACCCAGCAGCAAGGAGAGAAGAACAAACAGCATCTTGGGGGTCATCGCTTCAGCTGCTCGCTGTAGATGATCTAAACAAGCCCAAAGTATCATCCCTCCACCGCTGTGCATGCAGGGTCTACAGAGCTATGGACCTTCCTCTGAACCACCATCATGGATGGAAATAAAATAATGATCAACGTCTCCCTAGACATGGAAATAGGAACAACCCAAAGAATGGAGCGACTGAACCGGAGCATCGCTTATTGTCCAGGTTCTGCTGCAGGAAGTTCTGACCTCCTCCGGTTGAAGACATCTGGGTGGAGCAGGAGCTGCTCCGTCATGGAGCTAAAGTGTGGGTAACAGTGAACCCTGAGGAACCCCACGGAGAACCATCCAGAACCATCCATCCATTTGTTATGGATGGTTCTGGATAGTTCTATAGGACATGAATTTATCTTTATTTTAAAAATCTTAAGTCCCCCTGAAAATGAGAACATTATTGTTGTTTCCTGTTCCCTCCATGTCTCCTCCCTGTTTCCTCCACGTCTCCTCCCCATTTCCTCCCCGTTTCCTCCGTCTCCCCTCCGTTTCCTCCGTCTCCTCCAATGTTTCCTCCATGTTTCCTCTCCGTTTCCTCCGTCTCCTCCCATGTTTCCTCCCTGTCTCCTCCATGTTTCCTCCCTGTCTCCTCCATGTTTCCTCCCCGTTTCGTCCATGTCTCCTCTCTGTCTCCTCCATGTTTCCTCCCTGTCTCCACCATGTTTCCTCCCTGTCTCCACCATGTTTCCTCCCTGTCTCCTCCCCGTTTCCTCCATGTCTCCTCCATGTTTCCTCCATGTTTCCTCCCTGTCTCCTCCATGTTTCCTCCCCATTTCCTCCATGTTTCCTCCCTGTCTCCACCATGTTTCCTCCCTGTCTCCTCCCCGTTTCCTCCCTGTCTCCTCCATGTTTCCTCCCTGTCTCCTCCCCGTTTCCTCCATGTTTCCTCCATGTTTCCTCCCCATTTCCTCCATGTTTCCTCCCTGTCTCCACCATGTTTCCTCCCTGTCTCCTCCCCGTTTCCTCCATGTCTCCTCCATGTTTCCTCCATGTCTCCTCCCCATTTCCTCCATGTTTCCTCCCTGTTTCCTCCCCGTTTCCTCCATGTTTCCTCCCCGTTTTCTTCATGTTTCCTCCCCGTTTTCTTCATGTTTCCTCCCTTTTTCCTCCATTTTTCCTCCCTGTTTCCTCCATGTTTCCTCCCTGTTTCCCCCATGTTTCCTCCCTGTCTCCTCCATGTTTCCTCCCCATTCCTCCCCGTTTCCTCCATATTTCCTTCCTGTTTCCTCCCCATTCCTCCCCGTTTCCTCCATGTTTCCTCCCTGTCTCCACCATGTTTCCTCCCCATTCCTCCCCGTTTCCTCCATATTTCCTTCCTGTTTCCTCCCCATTCCTCCCCGTTTCCTCCATGTTTCCTCCCTGTCTCCTCCATGTTTCCTCCCCATTCCTCCCCGTTTCCTCCATATTTCCTTCCTGTTTCCTCCCCATTCCTCCCCGTTTCCTCCATGTTTCCTCCCTGTCTCCACCATGTTTCCTCCCTGTCTCCTCCCCGTTTCCTCCATGTCTCCTCCATGTTTCCTCCATGTTTCCTCCCTGTCTCCTCCATGTTTCCTCCCCATTTCCTCCATGTTTCCTCCCTGTCTCCACCATGTTTCCTCCCTGTCTCCTCCCCGTTTCCTCCCTGTCTCCTCCATGTTTCCTCCCTGTCTCCTCCCCGTTTCCTCCATGTTTCCTCCATGTTTCCTCCATGTTTCCTCCCCATTTCCTCCATGTTTCCTCCCTGTCTCCACCATGTTTCCTCCCTGTCTCCTCCCCGTTTCCTCCCCATTTCCTCCATGTCTCCTCCATGTTTCCTCCATGTCTCCTCCCCATTTCCTCCCTGTTTCCTCCCCGTTTCCTCCATGTTTCCTCCCCGTTTTCTTCATGTTTCCTCCCTTTTTCCTCCATTTTTCCTCCCTGTTTCCTCCATGTTTCCTCCCTGTTTCCCCCATGTTTCCTCCCTGTCTCCTCCATGTTTCCTCCCCATTCCTCCCCGTTTCCTCCATATTTCCTTCCTGTTTCCTCCCCATTCCTCCCCGTTTCCTCCATGTTTCCTCTCCACCCACCTGCGATGATGATGTTCGGGACGTTCCCCTCCCTGGCGAACACCTCCAGGCGGCTCACCGTCTCCTCGTTCCCAACGATCTCGTTCAGCTTCACCGGCCGGTATTTCTCCACCCAGGGAAGCTCGTAGGAGCCGCCGGGGCCTTTGGATGAGGAGGCCCCGGCCTCCGTGTCCGTCTTCAGCTCACTACCAGCCGGTTTCTGGTTGTTTTCTGTCTCGCTCATTTCTACCTCCATGTTGTCTTCTCCGGCTGTCAGCGCGCGAACAGAGCAGAGGAAGCTCATTGGCTGGCGGCTTATTTTCGAAGCCACTGATTGGACGAGAAGGATTGTTTTCTTCTTCTGTTTCTTCTTCGGCTTTTGCCTCCAACAGCCTATTATCGCATTACCGCCACCAAGCGGTGAATCACATTTAAAATGTTTAGATTTCCTCCCGACGGCTCTTTTTTTCATCAAATAAATAAGTTCTGTTTTTTTTTATATAATTTATCTTTGGTTTGATTAAATTATCTAGATGATTCCTGATGATCAAGTATTTTTTTATTCTTGTTAAAGACTAGGTATTTTGAAAACGAGCTTTAAATAAGAAATGAGAAATGAATTCAGTTTCAAACACAAATTAAAAGAATATAAAAAGCAAAAAATATAAAATACACTCTAAAAGTGAAATCAGTGATATAAATTAGTAATTAGTGGACGAGCTGTGAAAGTTAACAGCTGTAATATTTGACTGATACTTCTATGTTCTGAGATGGTGACTGGGTTTTATGGTTAAACTGGTTTCCAGTCTGATGAGTCTGAGTTTGCTTAGAAATGATTTCCTCTATGGAGCCAGATCCAGGTCTGGATCCGGATCCAGATCCAGATTGATCAGCAGAGGTATATCTATGACGCATATCTGCATCATAGATATTAATGCTGTGAACTTCCAGATCACTGCGCTTTTTTGCATTTCCATGTTTTTTCTCCCACACTGTTTATATCTGCTGCACTTTAAGGAATGGAAATGTTCATTGACTGTCTAGAAGCTTTCGTTCTGTATTCTCTCTGTACAAAATAACAATAAAAGTTGTGTAAGTCTAGAAGCAGAGTGGCTCTGCATCGTTTACCAGCAGGTGAAGCCAGTGGGTGGAGCTTAGGCCTCCATGTCTCCCTGTGACCCAGAAGCTTTCTGGGTTTAAACATTAATTTTTCATGTTTAGTCACAAGGGAAGAGGACAAAGTTCTGGGCAGCTTAGAGGAACATCAGAACCGCTTAGAATATGGTGAAAGTTACTGATGGTTTAGTAAAGATTCCTATATTAAGGTAAATCAGGCAGAATTAAAAGGATCAATTAAAGGATTGGACATTTAGCCAAAATAGTTTTTTTTTGTTGCTTCGTACAACCTGTCAGCTTTATAACAATTATGTTGATTTTTGTTCTTCTAGTTAAAAAGCTGAATGACTTATTTCTTAATTTTTTTTATTTTATCTATTTATTCATTGTATTTATAGTTGTGTGATCTGCTCCTCGCTCCAGTTTTGAATGCATCTTGTCTCCCAAACAGTAAATATGTAGAACATGAGGCCTGTTGGCTGAAGGAGCCTCCAGCTCACCTGGAAAAGCTCCACTGTGTCACAGATGGAAGTGTTGCTGTTAAAGCTGCAGCTTGAGGAAAGCGAAGCCAAATTCACCAAACTCTAAGCAGAACAACGTCTTGGTTTCTGTTTGTTCATCATCTCAGCGCTGGCAGCTCACATTCCTAATCCCAACAAAACAGACTTCAGTGTTTTATTCCTGGATCTCAGACCGATCCTTTGGAATCTTATCGATGTTCATAAACCTTTATATATTTTCCTTTTGGGGAGGGGTTACAGTATGTTCAGGCAGCATCCATGCTGATTTAATTTAATGACTTTTTCCAGGTCATTGATAAAATGGCTATATTTGTAAATGAAAACAAAAATAAATTAATAAAAACAACAAAAAGAGATGGAAATGGTTTATTTATTTGGATTATTGATCTCCTCAGATGCATTATTCCAGCTGCCTCAATAATCTCTGCTTCTCCCAGCAGGACCACAGACTGTTTACCATCATCCTGCAGCAGCAGGTTATTGAACCGACTGAGGTAGAAATCAGCCTGAATGGAAGAACTGGTTGAGGTTGTTGGGAACAGTGGTGGTTCTAGAGTCTTCCAGCTGCTGGCAGGATGGATCTGTGATAACGCTCCCTGGGGCATTTAGGGTGCAGCAGTCTGTCACTGAAGGAGCTCTCCAGTTCAGCACCAGCTGAACCAGTATGGTGTGTGTGTGTGTGTGTGGGGGGGGGGGTTCATTTAGTTAGGATCCGTCTGTTTCCTCCTCCTGCACTTTATTTTTAATCATTTTCTTTTCATCTTAAACTTTTTCGCTCATTAAGCTGAATTGTTCGGTCGGTCCGGACAGGTGCAGCGCCCCCCTGCGGTCAGGGGAGGAACAGCAGCTGCTTCCCAGGAAGCCGTCATCATTTTGGGGCAGAACCGGTTCCTTCTTCCGCAAACAGAGTTCTGCTTCTGGTTCTCTGCTCCTCCAGGCAGCGGAGCCTCCGCTCCGACATTAATGACTGAATGACCGGCAGCATGACGGCCAACAGCCGCTGTTCGGCCGCGGAGCCTCCGGGTCTGGAGACCCAGCGGCGGGAGATCGAAAGCCTGCTGCGGGACAGCGAGCTCAGGGCTGGGGACAGCTGGTGAGTGACGGACCGCCTCCCGGAGCTGCTGGACCGGTACCGCCGCTGGTCACTGGGACCGGGACACTGGCTGAGGGCGGTTCTGGTGTCGGTTCGGTTCGGTTGGGTTAGCTGGGTCTGTTTAACAGTTCGGTGTTTCCTGTTAGCCTGAGCTAGCTGACCGCTAGCTGCTAACTGCTAATGCTAACAGTTTCTAGCAGCTCTAAGGTTCGTTTCTTCAGCTCGGCTCGGTTCGGTTTGGTTCGGTTCGGTTCGGATCTGTTGCTGCTTCCTGTCAGTCCAGCTTCATCGATACTTTCTGGATTTTTCATGAAATCAGAAACATTTTCAGTTTCGATTCTCAGTCGGAACAGAAACTCAGAACCAGAGAGGTCCATTAGAACCTCAGCAGAACCAGAGAGGTCCATCAGAAGCTCAGCAGAACCAGAGAGGTCCATCAGAACCTCAGCAGAACCAGAGAGGTCCATCAGAAGCTCAGCAGAACCAGAGAGGTCCATTAGAACCTCAGCAGAACCAGAGAGGTCCATCAGAACCTCAGCAGAACCAGAGAGGTCCATCAGAACCTCAGCAGAACCAGAGAGGTCCATCAGAACCTCAGCAGAACCAGAGAGGTCCATCAGAACCTCAGCAGAACCAGAGAGGTCCATCAGAACCTCAGCAGAACCAGAGAGGTCCATCAGAAGCTCAGCAGAACCAGAGAGGTCCAACAGAACCTCAGCAGAACCAGAGAGGTCCATCAGAACCTCAGCAGAACCAGAGAGGTCCATTAGAACCTCAGCAGAACCAGAGAGGTCCATCAGAAGCTCAGCAGAACCAGAGAGGTCCATCAGAAGCTCAGCAGAACCAGAGAGGTCCATCAGAAGCTCAGCAGAACCAGAGAGGTCCATCAGAACCTCAGCAGAACCAGAGAGGTCCATCAGAACCTCAGCAGAACCAGAGAGGTCCAACAGAACCTCAGCAGAACCAGAGAGGTCCATCAGAAGCTCAGCAGAACCAGAGAGGTCCATTAGAACCTCAGCAGAACCAGAGAGGTCCATCAGAACCTCAGCAGAACCAGAGAGGTCCATCAGAACCTCAGCAGAACCAGAGAGGTCCATCAGAACCTCAGCAGAACCAGAGAGGTCCATTAGAACCTCAGCAGAACCAGAGAGGTCCATTAGAACCTCAGCAGAACCAGAGAGGTCCATCAGAACCTCAGCAGAACCAGAGAGGTCCATTAGAACCTCAGCAGAACCAGAGAGGTCCATCAGAACCTCAGCAGAACCAGAGAGGTCCATCAGAAGCTCAGCAGAACCAGAGAGGTCCATCAGAACCTCAGCAGAACCAGAGAGGTCCATCAGAACCTCAGCAGAACCAGAGAGGTCCAACAGAACCTCAGCAGAACCAGAGAGGTCCATCAGAAGCTCAGCAGAACCAGAGAGGTCCATTAGAACCTCAGCAGAACCAGAGAGGTCCATCAGAACCTCAGCAGAACCAGAGAGGTCCATCAGAACCTCAGCAGAACCAGAGAGGTCCATCAGAACCTCAGCAGAACCAGAGAGGTCCATCAGAACCTCAGCAGAACCAGAGAGGTCCATCAGAACCTCAGCAGAACCAGAGAGGTCCATCAGAACCTCAGCAGAACCAGAGAGGTCCATCAGAACCTCAGCAGAACCAGAGAGGTCCATCAGAACCTCAGCAGAACCAGAGAGGTCCATCAGAACCTCAGCAGAACCAGAGAGGTCCATCAGAACCTCAGCAGAACCAGAGAGGTCCATCAGAACCTCAGCAGAACCAGAGAGGTCCATCAGAAGCTCAGCAGAACCAGAGAGGTCCAACAGAACCTCAGCAGAACCAGAGAGGTCCATCAGAACCTCAGCAGAACCAGAGAGGTCCATTAGAACCTCAGCAGAACCAGAGAGGTCCATCAGAAGCTCAGCAGAACCAGAGAGGTCCATCAGAAGCTCAGCAGAACCAGAGAGGTCCAACAGAACCTCAGCAGAACCAGAGAGGTCCAACAGAACCTCAGCAGAACCAGAGAGGTCCAACAGAACCTCAGCAGAACCAGAGAGGTCCATCAGAACCTCAGCAGAACCAGAGAGGTCCATCAGAACCTCAGCAGAACCAGAGAGGTCCATCAGAAGGTTCTTTAGAACCTCAGAGACTGAAGGTTCTGCTGATTACTTTGATGTTTCGTGTCAGAACAAACAATTAAACAGAACCAGAACCAGTCAGAATATCATGTTGGAGAAGATGGAGATCTGGCAGAGGGTCAAACAAGGTTCTAGAAGATGAGCAGAACCGGATCCATAAAAACGGGTGAAGGAGCCTGGAGGTCCATCCAGAGGAGCCTGGAGGTCCATCCAGAGGAACCTGGAGGTCCATCCAGAGGAGCCTGGAGGTCCATCCAGAGGAGCCTGGAGGTCCATCCAGAGGAACCTGGAGGTCCATCCTGAGGAGCCTGGAGGTCCATCCTGAGGAGCCTGGAGGTCCATCCTGAGGAACCTGGAGGTCCATCCAGAGGAGCCTGGAGGTCCATCCAGAGGAACCTGGAGGTCCATCCTGAGGAGCCTGGAGGTCCATCCTGAGGAACCTGGAGGTCCATCCTGAGGAGCCTGGAGGTCCATCCAGAGGAACCTGGAGGTCCATCCAGAGGAGCCTGGAGGTCCATCCTGAGGAACCTGGAGGTCCATCCAGAGGAGCCTGGAGGTCCATCCAGAGGAACCTGGAGGTCCATCCAGAGGAACCTGGAGGTCCATCCTGAGGAGCCTGGAGGTCCATCCAGAGGAACCTGGAGGTCCATCCAGAGGAGCCTGGAGGTCCATCCAGAGGAACCTGGAGGTCCATCCAGAGGAGCCTGGAGGTCCATCCTGAGGAGCCTGGAGGTCCATCCAGAGGAACCTGGAGGTCCATCCTGAGGAGCCTGGAGGTCCATCCTGAGGAGCCTGGAGGTCCATCCTGAGGAGCCTGGAGGTCCATCCTGAGGAGCCTGGAGGTCCATCCTGAGGAGCCTGGAGGTCCATCCAGAGGAGCCTGGAGGTCCATCCAGAGGAACCTGGAGGTCCATCCAGAGGAGCCTGGAGGTCCATCCTGAGGAGCCTGGAGGTCCATCCAGAGGAACCTGGAGGTCCATCCTGAGGAGCCTGGAGGTCCATCCTGAGGAACCTGGAGGTCCATCCAGAGGAGCCTGGAGGTCCATCCTGAGGAACCTGGAGGTCCATCCAGAGGAGCCTGGAGGTCCATCCAGAGGAGCCTGGAGGTCCATCCAGAGGAACCTGGAGGTCCATCCTGAGGAGCCTGGAGGTCCATCCTGAGGAACCTGGAGGTCCATCCAGAGGAGCCTGGAGGTCCATCCAGAGGAACCTGGAGGTCCATCCAGAGGAGCCTGGAGGTCCATCCTGAGGAACCTGGAGGTCCATCCAGAGGAGCCTGGAGGTCCATCCTGAGGAACCTGGAGGTCCATCCTGAGGAGCCTGGAGGTCCATCCAGAGGAACCTGGAGGTCCATCCAGAGGAGCCTGGAGGTCCATCCAGAGGAACCTGGAGGTCCATCCTGAGGAGCCTGGAGGTCCATCCTGAGGAGCTTGGAGGTCCATCCAGAGGAGCCTGGAGGTCCATCCAGAGGAGCCTGGAGGTCCATCCAGAGGAGCCTGGAGGTCCATCCAGAGGAACCTGGAGGTCCATCCTGAGGAGCCTGGAGGTCCATCCAGAGGAGCCTGGAGGTCCATCCTGAGGAGCTTGGAGGTCCATCCAGAGGAACCTGGAGGTCCATCCAGAGGAACCTGGAGGTCCATCCAGAGGAGCCTGGAGGTCCATCCAGAGGAACCTGGAGGTCCATCCTGAGGAGCCTGGAGGTCCATCCTGAGGAGCCTGGAGGTCCATCCTGAGGAACCTGGAGGTCCATCCTGAGGAGCCTGGAGGTCCATCCAGAGGAACCTGGAGGTCCATCCTGAGGAGCCTGGAGGTCCATCCTGAGGAACCTGGAGGTCCATCCTGAGGAACCTGGAGGTCCATCCTGAGGAGCCTGGAGGTCCATCCTGAGGAGCCTGGAGGTCCATCCTGAGGAGCCTGGAGGTCCATCCAGAGGAACCTGGAGGTCCATCCTGAGGAGCCTGGAGGTCCATCCTGAGGAGCCTGGAGGTCCATCCTGAGGAACCTGGAGGTCCATCCTGAGGAGCCTGGAGGTCCATCCTGAGGAGCCTGGAGGTCCATCCTGAGGAGCCTGGAGGTCCATCCTGAGGAGCCTGGAGGTCCATCCTGAGGAGCCTGGAGGTCCATCCTGAGGAGCCTGGAGGTCCATCCTGAGGAGCCTGGAGGTCCATCCAGAGGAGCCTGGAGGTCCATCCTGAGGAGCCTGGAGGTCCATCCTGAGGAGCCTGGAGGTCCATCCAGAGGAACCTGGAGGTCCATCCTGAGGAGCCTGGAGGTCCATCCTGAGGAGCCTGGAGGTCCATCCTGAGGAACCTGGAGGTCCATCCTGAGGAGCCTGGAGGTCCATCCTGAGGAGCCTGGAGGTCCATCCTGAGGAGCCTGGAGGTCCATCCTGAGGAGCCTGGAGGTCCATCCTGAGGAGCCTGGAGGTCCATCCTGAGGAGCCTGGAGGTCCATCCTGAGGAGCCTGGAGGTCCATCCAGAGGAGCCTGGAGGTCCATCCTGAGGAGCCTGGAGGTCCATCCAGAGGAACCTGGAGGTCCATCCTGAGGAGCCTGGAGGTCCATCCTGAGGAGCCTGGAGGTCCATCCTGAGGAGCCTGGAGGTCCATCCTGAGGAACCTGGAGGTCCATCCTGAGGAGCCTGGAGGTCCATCCAGAGGAACCTGGAGGTCCATCCTGAGGAGCCTGGAGGTCCATCCTGAGGAGCTTGGAGGTCCATCCTGAGGAACCTGGAGGTCCATCCTGAGGAACCTGGAGGTCCATCCTGAGGAGCCTGGAGGTCCATCCTGAGGAGCCTGGAGGTCCATCCTGAGGAGCCTGGAGGTCCATCCAGAGGAACCTGGAGGTCCATCCTGAGGAGCCTGGAGGTCCATCCAGAGGAGCCTGGAGGTCCATCCTGAGGAGCCTGGAGGTCCATCCTGAGGAACCTGGAGGTCCATCCTGAGGAGCCTGGAGGTCCATCCTGAGGAGCTTGGAGGTCCATCCTGAGGAGCCTGGAGGTCCATCCTGAGGAACCTGGAGGTCCATCCTGAGGAGCCTGGAGGTCCATCCAGAGGAGCCTGGAGGTCCATCCTGAGGAACCTGGAGGTCCATCCTGAGGAACCTGGAGGTCCATCCTGAGGAACCTGGAGGTCCATCCTGAGGAGCCTGGAGGTCCATCCTGAGGAGCCTGGAGGTCCATCCTGAGGAGCCTGGAGGTCCATCCAGAGGAGCCTGGAGGTCCATCCTGAGGAGCCTGGAGGTCCATCCTGAGGAGCCTGGAGGTCCATCCTGAGGAACCTGGAGGTCCATCCTGAGGAGCCTGGAGGTCCATCCTGAGGAGCTTGGAGGTCCATCCTGAGGAGCCTGGAGGTCCATCCAGAGGAGCCTGGAGGTCCATCCTGAGGAGCCTGGAGGTCCATCCAGAGGAGCCTGGAGGTCCATCCTGAGGAGCCTGGAGGTCCATCCTGAGGAGCCTGGAGGTCCATCCTGAGGAGCCTGGAGGTCCATCCAGAGGAGCCTGGAGGTCCATCCTGAGGAGCCTGGAGGTCCATCCTGAGGAGCCTGGAGGTCCATCCTGAGGAACCTGGAGGTCCATCCTGAGGAACCTGGAGGTCCATCCAGAGGAGCCTGGAGGTCCATCCTGAGGAGCTTGGAGGTCCATCCTGAGGAGCCTGGAGGTCCATCCTGAGGAGCCTGGAGGTCCATCCAGAGGAGCCTGGAGGTCCATCCAGAGGAGCCTGGAGGTCCATCCAGAGGAGCCTGGAGGTCCATCCAGAGGAACCTGGAGGTCCATCCAGAGGAGCCTGGAGGTCCATCCAGAGGAACCTGGAGGTCCATCCAGAGGAGCCTGGAGGTCCATCCTGAGGAGCCTGGAGGTCCATCCTGAGGAGCTTGGAGGTCCATCCAGAGGAACCTGGAGGTCCATCCAGAGGAGCCTGGAGGTCCATCCAGAGGAGCCTGGAGGTCCATCCTGAGGAGCCTGGAGGTCCATCCTGAGGAGCCTGGAGGTCCATCCTGAGGAGCCTGGAGGTCCATCCTGAGGAGCCTGGAGGTCCATCCTGAGGAGCCTGGAGGTCCATCCAGAGGAGCCTGGAGGTCCATCCAGAGGAGCCTGGAGGTCCATCCAGAGGAACCTGGAGGTCCATCCAGAGGAGCCTGGAGGTCCATCCTGAGGAGCCTGGAGGTCCATCCAGAGGAGCCTGGAGGTCCATCCAGAGGAACCTGGAGGTCCATCCAGAGGAGCCTGGAGGTCCATCCTGAGGAGCCTGGAGGTCCATCCAGAGGAGCCTGGAGGTCCATCCTGAGGAGCCTGGAGGTCCATCCTGAGGAGCCTGGAGGTCCATCCTGAGGAGCTTGGAGGTCCATCCTGAGGAGCTTGGAGGTCCATCCTGAGGAGCCTGGAGGTCCATCCAGAGGAGCCTGGAGGTCCATCCAGAGGAGCCTGGAGGTCCATCCTGAGGAGCCTGGAGGTCCATCCTGAGGAGCCTGGAGGTCCATCCTGAGGAGCCTGGAGGTCCATCCTGAGGAGCCTGGAGGTCCATCCTGAGGAGCCTGGAGGTCCATCCAGAGGAGCCTGGAGGTCCATCCTGAGGAGCCTGGAGGTCCATCCTGAGGAGCTTGGAGGTCCATCCTGAGGAGCCTGGAGGTCCATCCTGAGGAGCCTGGAGGTCCATCCTGAGGAGCCTGGAGGTCCATCCTGAGGAGCCTGGAGGTCCATCCAGAGGAACCTGGAGGTCCATCCACAGGAGCTTCCATCGCTGCTTTTCTCAGAAAATGAAACAGAAACCTGAAGATAGAGAAGAAGGTCAGGCTCTGGGTCAGAGTCCAGAAAACAGCTGGTCCAAGACCTGGATCCAGCCAAGAACCACAGGAACCGGACCGCTTGGAGATCAGTTCCCAGCTACTTAGAGCAGGATTATGTTAAAGTTCTAAAAATGTATAAACGGCCCACACGCTGTGGTTCTGGAAGCGGCGTTCTTATCGTCACTCGGTCCTGCTTGCAGGTTCTGAACCAGACCCATGTGGGTCTCCGTCTGTAGATGTTCTGATGGTTCTGTTGAGCTCCGGTGACGGCGGGCTGACCCGGTTATTTCCTGTATTCATCCAGTTCTTTTCTTGCTCCGTTTCTCCTGTAAAGCCAAACTTTTCCTCCCAGATCAAACCAGATTCTTCCTCAGGTTCATTATAACCTGTTACTGTTTAACCAAACAGTCTGATTAGTTCTACTTTCTGTTCTAGTTAAGGAGAAACGAAGCTGCTCAGATCAGAACTGGGCTGATTACCAGAAAATGAACTGGGTGGAATCCATCCATCTGCGTTTATTGAACTGGGATGAATGGTTTTCCCACCATAGACCCCAGGTTCCTGAGCGGTGTGGGCGGGGTCTCTGTGTTGCAGGTACATTGTGGACCGGCGCTGGTTCGAGCAGTGGAGGGAGTTTGTGGAGAGCGGAGACCAGAACTCATCGTCCTTCCCGGGTCGGATCGACAACGCAGAGCTGTTTGAGGGTCAGTGAACGCCGCGGTCGGCTGCAGAACCCACCGGGCCCGCTAGATGTTGACGGATCTGGTTCTGTTCCGCTTTCAGACCTGGACTCGTTCCACCTGAAAGAGCGGCTGGTGGAGAACGAGGACTTCACGCTGGTGCCGGCGGCGGCGTGGAACAAGCTGCTGCTGTGGTACGGGATGATGGACGGACAGCCGGCGCTGGAGCGGAAGGTAGAACCGAGCCGTCGCTATGGTTACGGGGGTCCGGCTCAGGGTTGAACGCCCCCCTGTGTTCTCCAGGTGGTGGACCTGCCCAGCACCATGAAGGTGGAGGTGTATCCTGTGGAGGTCTTCCTGTGTCTCCATAGCAACATGGAGAACATGGTCAGCGCGCGTTTCAGCCGCACCGACAGCATCTGTGAGTGGGGCGCCGGTTCTGCTGGGGTTCTACAGAACCCACTGCGTTTCCTGACGGGTTCTGATGTGTGTGGGTCCAGGTGCGGTCCAGTCGGCCGTGTGCCGGGCCTTCTCGGTTCCTCCGGGCTCAGAGTGCCGTCTGTGGATGAAGAGCTCCGACAGCAGCTGCGAGCGGCTGAGGAACGTCCACATCAGCGTTCTGGACTCCTGCCTGAGCTCCGGGATGGTGAGGAGCAGCCGGGGGGGAGGAGGAGGAGGAGGTGCTGGAGCGGAGAACCAACCGCTGTCTGCTCTGTGTTCTAGACGGTGATCATGGAGACCAGGAACGCCGACGGGACCTGGCCCAGTTCCAGACCTCAGATCATGTGAGAACTGCTCCTCTGGAGAGGGAGACATCTCGCTTCTCCTCTCTGGTTCTCCTCTGTGTTTCTCCTCTCTGGTTCTCCTCTCTGGTTCTCCTCTGTGTTTCTCCTCTCTGGTTCTCCTCTCTGGTTCTCCTCTGTGTTTCTCCTCTCTGGTTCTCCTCTCTGGTTCTCCTCTGTGTTTCTCCTCTGAGTTTCTCCTCTGAGTTTCTCCTCTCTGGTTCTCCTCTGTGTTTCTCCTCTCTGGTTCTCCTCTCTGGTTCTCCTCTGTGTTTCTCCTCTGTGTTTCTCCTCTGTGTTTCTCCTCTGTGTTTCTCCTCTCTGGTTCTCCTCTCTGGTTCTCCTCTGTGTTTCTCCTCTAAGTTTCTCCTCTGAGTTTCTCCTCTGTGTTTCTCCTCTGTGTTTCTCCTCTCTGGTTCTCCTCTCTGGTTCTCCTCTGTGTTTCTCCTCTCTGGTTCTCCTCTCTGGTTCTCCTCTGTGTTTCTCCTCTGTGTTTCTCCTCTCTGGTTCTCCTCTGAGTTTCTCCTCTCTGGTTCTCCTCTGTGTTTCTCCTCTCTGGTTCTCCTCTGTGTTTCTCCTCTCTGGTTCTCCTCTCTGGTTCTCCTCTGTGTTTCTCCTCTCTGGTTCTCCTCTCTGGTTCTCCTCTGTGTTTCTCCTCTGTGTTTCTCCTCTCTGGTTCTCCTCTCTGGTTCTCCTCTGTGTTTCTCCTCTGAGTTTCTCCTCTGAGTTTCTCCTCTCTGGTTCTCCTCTGTGGTTCTCCTCTCTGGTTCTCCTCTGTGTTTCTCCTCTGTGTTTCTCCTCTCTGGTTCTCCTCTGTGTTTCTCCTCTCTGGTACTCCTCTCTGGTTCTCCTCTGAGTTTCTCCTCTGAGTTTCTCCTCTGAGTTTCTCCTCTGAGTTTCTCCTCTGAGTTTCTCCTCTCTGGTTCTCCTCTGTGTTTCTCCTCTGAGTTTCTCCTCTGAGTTTCTCCTCTCTGGTTCTCCTCTGAGTTTCTCCTCTCTGGTTCTCCTCTGTGTTTCTCCTCTCTGGTTCTCCTCTGTGTTTCTCCTCTCTGGTTCTCCTCTGTGTTTCTCCTCTCTGGTTCTCCTCTCTGGTTCTCCTCTGTGTTTCTCCTCTGTGTTTCTCCTCTCTGGTTCTCCTCTGTGTTTCTCCTCTCTGGTTCTCCTCTCTGGTTCTCCTCTGTGTTTCTCCTCTCTGGTTCTCCTCTGTGTTTCTCCTCTCTGGTTCTCCTCTGTGTTTCTCCTCTGTGTTTCTCCTCTCTGGTTCTCCTCTCTGGTTCTCCTCTGTGTTTCTCCTCTCTGGTTCTCCTCTCTGGTTCTCCTCTGTGTTTCTCCTCTCTGGTTCTCCTCTCTGGTTCTCCTCTGTGTTTCTCCTCTCTGGTTCTCCTCTCTGGTTCTCCTCTCTGGTTCTCCTCTGTGTTTCTCCTCTCTGGTTCTCCTCTCTGGTTCTCCTCTGTGTTTCTCCTCTGTGTTTCTCCTCTCTGGTTCTCCTCTGTGTTTCTCCTCTGTGTTTCTCCTCTCTGGTTCTCCTCTCTGGTTCTCCTCTCTGGTTCTCCTCTGTGTTTCTCCTCTCTGGTTCTCCTCTCTGGTTCTCCTCTGTGTTTCTCCTCTCTGGTTCTCCTCTCTGGTTCTCCTCTCTGGTTCTCCTCTGTGTTTCTCCTCTCTGGTTCTCCTCTCTGGTTCTCCTCTCTGGTTCTCCTCTGTGTTTCTCCTCTCTGGTTCTCCTCTCTGGTTCTCCTCTGTGGTTCTCCTCTGTGTTTCTCCTCTGTGTTTCTCCTCTCTGGTTCTCCTCTGTGTTTCTCCTCTGAGTTTCTCCTCTGAGTTTCTCCTCTCTGGTTCTCCTCTGAGTTTCTCCTCTCTGGTTCTCCTCTGTGTTTCTCCTCTCTGGTTCTCCTCTCTGGTTCTCCTCTGTGTTTCTCCTCTCTGGTTCTCCTCTGTGTTTCTCCTCTCTGGTTCTCCTCTGTGTTTCTCCTCTCTGGTTCTCCTCTGTGTTTCTCCTCTGTGTTTCTCCTCTCTGGTTCTCCTCTCTGGTTCTCCTCTCTGGTTCTCCTCTGTGTTTCTCCTCTCTGGTTCTCCTCTCTGGTTCTCCTCTGTGTTTCTCCTCTCTGGTTCTCCTCTCTGGTTCTCCTCTCTGGTTCTCCTCTGTGTTTCTCCTCTCTGGTTCTCCTCTCTGGTTCTCCTCTGTGTTTCTCCTCTCTGGTTCTCCTCTGAGTTTCTCCTCTCTGGTTCTCCTCTGTGTTTCTCCTCTCTGGTTCTCCTCTGTGTTTCTCCTCTCTGGTTCTCCTCTCTGGTTCTCCTCTCTGGTTCTCCTCTGTGTTTCTCCTCTCTGGTTCTCCTCTCTGGTTCTCCTCTGTGTTTCTCCTCTCTGGTTCTCCTCTGAGTTTCTCCTCTCTGGTTCTCCTCTGTGTTTCTCCTCTCTGGTTCTCCTCTGTGTTTCTCCTCTGTGTTTCTCCTCTCTGGTTCTCCTCTGTGTTTCTCCTCTGAGTTTCTCCTCTGAGTTTCTCCTCTCTGGTTCTCCTCTGTGGTTCTCCTCTCTGGTTCTCCTCTGTGTTTCTCCTCTGTGTTTCTCCTCTCTGGTTCTCCTCTGTGTTTCTCCTCTCTGGTACTCCTCTCTGGTTCTCCTCTGAGTTTCTCCTCTGAGTTTCTCCTCTGAGTTTCTCCTCTGAGTTTCTCCTCTCTGGTTCTCCTCTGTGTTTCTCCTCTGAGTTTCTCCTCTGAGTTTCTCCTCTCTGGTTCTCCTCTGAGTTTCTCCTCTCTGGTTCTCCTCTGTGTTTCTCCTCTCTGGTTCTCCTCTGTGTTTCTCCTCTCTGGTTCTCCTCTGTGTTTCTCCTCTCTGGTTCTCCTCTCTGGTTCTCCTCTGTGTTTCTCCTCTGTGTTTCTCCTCTCTGGTTCTCCTCTGTGTTTCTCCTCTCTGGTTCTCCTCTCTGGTTCTCCTCTGTGTTTCTCCTCTCTGGTTCTCCTCTGTGTTTCTCCTCTCTGGTTCTCCTCTGTGTTTCTCCTCTGTGTTTCTCCTCTCTGGTTCTCCTCTCTGGTTCTCCTCTGTGTTTCTCCTCTCTGGTTCTCCTCTCTGGTTCTCCTCTGTGTTTCTCCTCTGTGTTTCTCCTCTCTGGTTCTCCTCTGAGTTTCTCCTCTCTTGTTCTCCTCTGTGTTTCTCCTCTCTGGTTCTCCTCTCTGGTTCTCCTCTGTGTTTCTCCTCTCTGGTTCTCCTCTCTGGTTCTCCTCTCTGGTTCTCCTCTGTGTTTCTCCTCTCTGGTTCTCCTCTCTGGTTCTCCTCTGTGTTTCTCCTCTGTGTTTCTCCTCTCTGGTTCTCCTCTGTGTTTCTCCTCTGTGTTTCTCCTCTCTGGTTCTCCTCTCTGGTTCTCCTCTCTGGTTCTCCTCTGTGTTTCTCCTCTCTGGTTCTCCTCTCTGGTTCTCCTCTGTGTTTCTCCTCTCTGGTTCTCCTCTCTGGTTCTCCTCTCTGGTTCTCCTCTGTGTTTCTCCTCTCTGGTTCTCCTCTCTGGTTCTCCTCTCTGGTTCTCCTCTGTGTTTCTCCTCTCTGGTTCTCCTCTCTGGTTCTCCTCTGTGGTTCTCCTCTGTGTTTCTCCTCTGTGTTTCTCCTCTCTGGTTCTCCTCTGTGTTTCTCCTCTGAGTTTCTCCTCTGAGTTTCTCCTCTCTGGTTCTCCTCTGAGTTTCTCCTCTCTGGTTCTCCTCTGTGTTTCTCCTCTCTGGTTCTCCTCTCTGGTTCTCCTCTGTGTTTCTCCTCTCTGGTTCTCCTCTGTGTTTCTCCTCTCTGGTTCTCCTCTCTGGTTCTCCTCTGTTTCTCCTCTGTGTTTCTCCTCTCTGGTTCTCCTCTGTGTTTCTCCTCTCTGGTTCTCCTCTGTGTTTCTCCTCTGTGTTTCTCCTCTCTGGTTCTCCTCTCTGGTTCTCCTCTCTGGTTCTCCTCTGTGTTTCTCCTCTCTGGTTCTCCTCTCTGGTTCTCCTCTGTGTTTCTCCTCTCTGGTTCTCCTCTCTGGTTCTCCTCTCTGGTTCTCCTCTCTGGTTCTCCTCTGAGTTTCTCCTCTCTGGTTCTCCTCTGTGTTTCTCCTCTCTGGTTCTCCTCTGAGTTTCTCCTCTCTGGTTCTCCTCTGTGTTTCTCCTCTCTGGTTCTCCTCTCTGGTTCTCCTCTGTGTTTCTCCTCTCTGGTTCTCCTCTCTGGTTCTCCTCTGTGTTTCTCCTCTCTGGTTCTCCTCTCTGGTTCTCCTCTCTGGTTCTCCTCTGTGTTTCTCCTCTGTGTTTCTCCTCTCTGGTTCTCCTCTCTGGTTCTCCTCTGACCTGAGGTGTCGTGTTCTGCTGCAGGAGGAGCTCTGAGGACCAGGACTCGTACCGAGGACAGCCGGGGGTCTGCGGTCTCACCAACCTGGGAAACACCTGCTTCATGAACTCTGCCCTGCAGGTCTGATGCTAACGCTGTAATCACGCCATCAGGACGCTGTAATCACGCCATCAGGACGCTGTAATCACGCCATCAGGACGCTGTAATCACGCCATCAGGACGCTGTAATCACGCCATCAGGACGCTGTAATCACGCCGTCAGAACGCTGTAATCACGCCGTCAGGACGCTGTAATCACGCCGTCAGGACGCTGTAATCACGCCGTCAGGACGCTGTAATCACGCCGTCAGGACGCTGTAATCACGCCATCAGGACGCTGTAATCACGCCATCAGAACGCTGTAATCACGCCGTCAGGACGCTGTAATCACGCCGTCAGGACGCTGTAATCACGCCATCAGGACGCTGTAATCACGCCATCAGGACGCTGTAATCACGCCATCAGGACGCTGTAATCACGCCGTCAGGACGCTGTAATCACGCCATCAGGACGCTGTAATCACGCCGTCAGGACGCTGTAATCACGCCGTCAGAACGCTGTAATCACGCCATCAGGACGCTGTAATCACGCCATCAGCACGCTGTAATCACGCCATCAGGACGCTGTAATCACGCCATCAGCACGCTGTAATCACGCCATCAGGACGCTGTAATCACGCCATCAGAACGCTGTAATCACGCCATCAGGACGCTGTAATCACGCCATCAGGACGCTGTAATCACGCCATCAGGACGCTGTAATCACGCCATCAGGACGCTGTAATCACGCCGTCAGGACGCTGTAATCACGCCGTCAGAACGCTGTAATCACGCCGTCAGGACGCTGTAATCACGCCGTCAGGACGCTGTAATCACGCCATCAGAACGCTGTAATCACGCCGTCAGGACGCTGTAATCACGCCGTCAGGACGCTGTAATCACGCCGTCAGGACGCTGTAATCACGCCATCAGTACGCTGTAATCACGCCATCAGAACGCTGTAATCACGCCATCAGGACGCTGTAATCACGCCATCAGAACGCTGTAATCACGCCATCAGAACGCTGTAATCACGCCATCAGAACGCTGTAATCACGCCATCAGTACGCTGTAATCACGCCATCAGTACGCTGTAATCACGCCATCAGAACACTGTAATCACGCCATCAGTACGCTGTAATCATGCCATCAGTACGCTGTAATCACGCCATCAGAACGCTGTAATCACGCCATCAGTACGCTGTAATCATGCCATCAGTACGCTGTAATCACGCCATCAGAACACTGTAATCACGCCATCAGTACGCTGTAATCATGCCATCAGTACGCTGTAATCACGCCATCAGAACGCTGTAATCACGCCATCAGAACGCTGTAATCACGCCATCAGAACGCTGTAATCACGCCATCAGAACGCTGTAATCACGCCATCAGAATGCCATCAGGACGCTCTAATCACGCCGTCGGGACGCTGTAATCACGCCGTCAGGACGCTGTAATCACGCCGTCAGAATGCCATCAGGACGCTCTAATCACGCCATCGGGACGCTGTAATCACGCCATCAGAATGCCATCAGGACGCTCTAATCACGCCATCGGGACGCTGTAATCACGCCATCAGAATGCCATCAGGACGCTCTAATCACGCCATCGGGACGCTGTAATCACGCCATCAGAATGCCATCAGGACGCTCTAATCACGCCGTCGGGACGCTGTAATCACGCCGTCAGGACGCTGTAATCACGCCGTCAGAATGCCATCAGGACGCTCTAATCACGCCATCGGGACGCTGTAATCACGCCATCAGAATGCCATCAGGACGCTCTAATCACGCCGTCGGGGCGCTGTAATCACGCCGTCAGGACGCTGTAATCACGCCGTCAGGACGCTGTAATCACGCCGTCAGGACGCTGTAATCACGCCGTCAGAACGCTGTAATCACGCCGTCAGAACGCCGCTCTGAGCCTGTTGTTGATGTTTGTACTCGGTGAGGTCAGATCATGTGACCCAGGTGTGTTCTAACCATCTCTCTGGCTGTTGGTCCAAAGCTCCAGCAGAACATCTCACAGGTTGAGCAGCTTTGATGGAAAGATGGTTTAAAACTTTAAAGCTTGATGAGGCAAACAGAACCAGGACCAGCAGAATGTCCAGTAGAACCTGCCTGGTTCTGGTCCACCTCATTCTGATGTTAAAGGGTAGGAGCTGAGGTTCTGATGGTGGTCTGGTTCTGCTCCTCCCTGCAGTGCCTGAGCAACACGCCCCCTCTGACCGAGTACTTCCTCCAGAGCTCCTACCTGGACGAGTTGAATTTCACCAACCCGCTGGGCATGAAGGGCGAGATCGCCGAGGCGTACGCCGACATCATCAAGCAGATGTGGTCCGGACGCCATTACTCTGTGGTGCCGCGGGTGTTCAAGGTAGCGGTGGGTCTGGGATGTTTGTGGTTCTGCCGTCGCCGTGTCTAACCTGTGTGTCTGTCAGACCAAGGTGGGTCACTTTGCGTCGCAGTTCCTGGGCTACCAGCAGCACGACAGTCAGGAGCTGCTGTCCTTCCTGCTGGACGGGCTCCACGAGGACCTGAACCGGGTCAAAAACAAGGAGTACATCGAGCTGCGGGACGCCGACGGACGGCCGGACCAGGTGAGTGGCGCCAACAGAACTAGGAACCTTGGACAGCTCCGGGTGGACCTCCAGGAAATGGGCTTTCTGTCTCCCCTACAGGAAGTGGCAGAGGAGGCGTGGCGGAACCACCTGCGGAGGAACGACTCCGTCATCGTTGACACTTTCCACGGCCTCTTCAAGTCCACGTTGGTCTGCCCCGAGTGCAACAAGGTGTCCGTGACCTTCGACCCCTTTTGCTACCTGAGCGTCCCGCTGCCCGTCAGCAAGGAGCGCGTCATGGAGGTCTTCTTCGTCTCTCTGGACCCCCATGCCAAGCCGGTGCAGGTACGACCCGCGGAGCGGAGCCTGAACGGGTCCGTCAGCGGTTCTGGTCTCACCCGTCTCTGTCTCCGCAGCATCGGGTCGTGGTTCCTAAAGCAGGAAAAGTGTCGGACCTCTGCGCCGCTCTGTCGGAGATGACCGGCGTCCCGCCCACACAGGTAACCGGGTCAGAACTTCTGCTCCGCTGATCCTAAACATCCACGGTTACCATGGTTACGGCCTTGCTTCCAGTTATAAATGTTGAGATCAAAGCGATAACTGCAACCAGACAGAACCACAGACTTAACATCAGTGTTTAAACATTCAGAGATCCGAAGGTAAACGGGTCCACGACCCGCGGGAAAGCTGGTTCAGTCAGTGGAACATCTAGAGTTTAGATCCGTTGATTCTAGATAGAGATGACCGGTTTAATATGGGTGAAAACGGATGATGCTTCATGCTGCAGTTTATTTAACATCCAAAATAATCGGATTAGAAAACATCTAAATCTAATAAGATGATGCAGCTGAATTTATTTTCTTACAGCTGAGTAAAGGGTCGGTTAGGGTCGCTCATGAGGTGGAACCCTGGACCCAAACTCTTCCTAACTCCTAGTTCCTGGTGTGTTTGGTGGTTTAAACCTGGAACTTCTGTTCATTCTGGTTTTAGGGAAGATTGGTCCAGAATGCTAGCTCAGATGCTAGCTGTGTGAGACTAGCTCAGATGCTAGCTGTGTGAAACTAGCTCAGATGCTAGCTGTGTGAAACTAGCTCAGATGCTAGCTGTGTGAAACTAGCTCAGATGCTGGCTGTGTGAGACTAGCTCAGATGCTAGCTGTGTGAGACTAGCTCAGATGTTAGCTGTGTGAGACTAGCTCAGATGCTGGCTGTGTGAGACTAGCTCAGATGCTAGCTGTGTGAGACTAGCTCAGATGCTAGCTGTGTGAGACTAGCTCACATGCTGGCTGTGTTAGACTAGCTCAGATGCTGGCTGTGTTAGACTAGCTCAGATGCTAGCTGTGTGAAACTAGCTCAGATGCTAGCTGTGTGAAACTAGCTCAGATGCTAGCTGTGTGAAACTAGCTCAGATGCTGGCTGTGTGAGACTAGCTCAGATGCTAGCTGTGTGAGACTAGCTCAGATGTTAGCTGTGTGAGACTAGCTCAGATGCTGGCTGTGTGAGACTAGCTCAGATGCTAGCTGTGTGAGACTAGCTCAGATGCTAGCTGTGTGAGACTAGCTCACATGCTGGCTGTGTTAGACTAGCTCAGATGCTGGCTGTGTTAGACTAGCTCAGATGCTAGCTGTGTGAAACTAGCTCAGATGCTAGCTGTGTGAAACTAGCTCAGATGCTGGCTGTGTTAGACTAGCTCAGATGCTAGCTGTGTGAAACTAGCTCAGATGCTAGCTGTGTGAAACTAGCTCAGATGCTGGCTGTGTGAGACTAGCTCAGATGCTAGCTGTGTGAGACTAGCTCTGATGTTAGCTGTGTGAGACTAGCTCAGATGCTGGCTGTGTGAGACTAGCTCAGATGCTAGCTGTGTGAGACTAGCTCAGATGCTAGCTGTGTGAGACTAGCTCACATGCTGGCTGTGTTAGACTAGCTCACATGCTGGCTGTGTTAGACTAGCTCAGATGCTGGCTGTGTTAGACTAGCTCAGATGCTAGCTGTGCCACCAGGGATGGCCACATCAACTCTGTGCAATGCCCCCCCCCATGTAATTTAACATTAAAAATCTCACAATAAGCCAATAAATCATGATCTGAGGAGGTTTTTACTGAAGTATTTCTGATTTCTACAGGCAGGTTTACCACTATAGTCGATTCAAACCCTGAAAATATGAATTTAATTGCCCCATCTTGCCCCCCCTATGAAACATTTCTGGAGGCGCCCGTGGCTACCAGAGAGGCTAGCTGTGGGGCTACATGAGAAACTATCAATGTGATGGTATCTCAGATGCTAGCTATGTGGGGCTAGCTGAGTAAGGCTAGCAGAGAGGCTAGCTTTGGGGCTAGCAGTGAAGCTAGCAGAGAGGCTAGCTGTGTTCAGACCCAGAGGTAACGGTCCAGACTTACTGTCCAGCTTCTTGTCCTCGTCTGTCTTCCAGATGGTCGTCGCTGACGTCTTCAATCATCGCTTCTATAAAATCTACAACCCAGACGAATCTCTGAGCTGCATCCTGGACCGGGACGACATCTTTGTGTAAGTAACCCAAACGCTGCTGCCTCAGGCGGCCATCTTGAGAAACGTTCACTCAGAGAAGCTTCTGTGGCCTTCAGGTATGAGCTGAGCGAGCAGAACGAGGATTCTGTTCTTCTGGCGCTCTACCTGAGGGAGCGCTCCAACTACAGGGACTACGGCACCGGCAGCAACTCGTACGGCGCCTCGCTGTTCGGACACCCGCTGCTGCTCAACGTGCCGCGCAGCAGCTGCAGCCAGGAGGCGCTCTACGGCCTGTTCCTGCAGAGGCTGGCGTGAGCAGAACACATGACTGCGTGTTAGTGGGCGGAGCCTCTGCTGGGTCTCAGCTTTCTTTACTCTGGCCATTTGCAGGCGCTATGTCCGACCTCCTGACCCTGCTGAGGAGCTAGAGGAAGAGGAGGAGGAGGAGCTGTATAAACCCCAAACCAACGGCGTCAGTGACGGTAGGACCCGACGCGCCCTACAAACCCTCAGGTTCCGGTCTGGGTTTTCATCTGCTAGTAGCTCAGATGTTCCTGCTTTGAAGGTTGGAGGAACAGAACCAGTCCAAAGACAGACAGGCCTTCAGAAAGCCCCTAGAACCTCTGATCAGACCTGGTCCTCCAGGACTGGTTCTGGTCCGTCATGGTGGTCCATAGCTTAATGATAGAACCCAGATCTGAGTGATTAAATGAGGTTCTCCAACCTGCTCCTCGGTTCTGCTTTCTCCTCAGATGAGCAGGATCGTCCAGAGGCCGCCGGACCATCTGAACCAGAACCGTCTCCAAACGGCCCATCGGACAACGCCGCCTCAGCAGAGGTCAACGCCTCCGGGGACCAGGGAGACACGGAGGTCAGCAACGGCTCCCAGAGCCTCGCCACCGACCCTAACGGAACCAACGCCTGCGGGGACCTGGGAGCGGATTCTGGGCCTCCTGATACCACAGAAGAAGAGAAGGAGGACCACAAGCAGGAGGAAGCCCGATCCCCCAGTCCTCCAGCCAATGAGCATCCAGCAAAGAGGCAGGCCTGTCGCAGGAGGAGGCGGAGCCTGTTCACCATCCAGGCCGTGAACTCCAACGGGACGACGGAGCGAGGGATGGGGGAGGGGGGCAGCGCCGTGTCCTTCAGCTGTGAGTCCAAACAAACACCGAGTCCAATAAGCCGTCCTGGTTCTGCTCAGGGAGACGGTTCCAGCCTTCAGCTGGGATCAGAACCAGAAGCTTTCTGAGCTTCACTCTGTTAATGATTACAAGTTTATTCAGATTCCAACTGATCTTTGCTCAGATCTTAGAGGGAAAGCGGTTCCCCCCCACCGTCTCCTCTACTTTAGGTCAGGATCTGGAAACTTGCAGAAGTTTCTACTTTGATCGTATAGAATAGACTGTCGAGTTTCAGATGAAAGTTCTCTTTTTCTGGCCATTTTGAGCGTTTAATTGACCCCACAAATGTGATGCTCCAGAAACTCAATCTGCTCAAAGGAAGGTCAGTTTTGTAGCTTCTGTAACGAGCTAAACTGTTTCCAGATGTGTGAACATGATTGCACAAGGGTTTTCTAATCATCAATTAGCCTTCTGAGCCAATGAGCAAACACATTGTACCATTAGAACACTGGAGTGATAGTTGCTGGAAATGGGCCTCTATACACCTATGTAGATATTGCACCAAAAACCAGACATTTGCAGCTAGAATAGTCATTTACCACATTAGCAATGCATAGAGTGTATTTCTTTAAAGTTAAGACTAGTTTAAAGTTATCTTCATTGAAAAGTAAAGAGCTTTTCCTGAAAAAATAAGGACATTTCAATGTGACCCCAAACTTTTGAACGGTAGTGTAGATCAGGGGTCATAGATTAGGGTGTATAGATCAGTATATAGATAAGGTATGTGTATAGATAAGGTTATAGATCCAAGGTTCTAGATAGAAACATAGAGGAACTGCCTCAGAGCAGCAGAGATCCAGATGAGGTTCTGAAACCCAAACCCGTCCAGCAGGAAGTCCTATTGGAGGCAGCAGCTCCTCCATTGGCTGAAAGGAAGCGGTTCTGATAGGTTTGTTTCTTTGTCTGCAGCTCAGCCGTACGTGGCCATCGACTGGGACTCGGACATGAAGAAGAGGTTCTACAATGAGAATGAGGCCGAGGTAGGACCATGGTTCTGTTATCACACATGAAGAGATGTTTAGCCGGACCCTGAACCCTCTGGTTCTGGTTCTGCAGCGCTACGAGAAACACGCCAGCATGGAGGTCCCCCAGCAGCAGAGCACGGTCCAACTGCAGGACTGCATCGAGCTCTTCACTAACATGGAGACTCTGGAGGAGGAGAACCCCTGGTAAACGTCGTCTGTCCTCCAGTTCTGAAAGGATCTGGGCAGAACTGGACTCACTGCTGTTTCTACAGGTATTGTCCCGTCTGCAAGAAGCACCAGCTGGCCACCAAGAAACTGGACCTGTGGTCCCTCCCTGAGGTTCTGATCATCCACCTCAAGAGGTTCTCCTACACCAAGTTCACCAGAGAGAAACTGGACACCATAGTCGACTTCCCCCTCAGGTACCGACCCGGAAACTCCCAGAACCACACAGAGCTGCTTTAGTCCACGATTGGTTGCTACCTGTCTGAAAAGGTGATATGGGTTCCTCAGAACTTTTGCCTTGAAGAAAATATCTACAGGCCTTCAGAACCAGTTCAGAATGGGTCTGACAGGTCTCAGGGGTCCCTGGGCGAGACGCTCCCTTTGCAAGGCGTTCCCCTGGTGAGTTGTTCCCACAGCGAGGCCTTCCTTCTGCGAGGCATTCCCCGGGTGAGACGTTCCTTATGCGAGACGTTCCTCGGCAAGCGTGCCTTCTGCAAGGCTTTCCCCGGGCGAGGCCTTCCCCGGGCAAGGCGTTCCTTCTGCGAGGCGTTCACCAGGCGAGGTGTCCTTCTGCGAGGCGTTCCCCTGGCGAGACGTTCCTTCTGCAAGGCGTTCCCCGGGCAAGGATTTCCTTCTGCGAGGCGTTCCCCGGGCAAGGATTTCCTTCTGCGAGGCGTTCCTTCTGCGAGGCGTTACTTCTGCGAGGCGTTCCCCTGGCGAGACGTTCCTTCTGCAAGGCGTTCCCCGGGCAAGGATTTCCTTCTGCGAGGCGTTCCTTCTGCGAGGCGTTCCTTTTGCGAGACGTTCCTTCTGCGAGGCGTTTCTTTTGCGAGGCGTTTCTTTTGCGAGGCGTTTCTTCTGCGAGCCGTTCCCCGGGGCAAGCCGTTCCCTTGGCGAGAAGTACCTTCTGCGAGGCGTTCCCCGGGCGAGGTGTCCCTCTGCGAGGTGTCCCTCTGCGAGGCGTTCCCCGGGCGAGGTGTCCCTCTGCGAGGCGTTCCCCAGGCAAGGATTTCCTTCTGCGAGGTGTTTCCTGGGCGAGGCGTTCCCTCTGCGAGACGTTCCTTCTGTGAGGAGTTCCCTGGGCGAGGCGTTCCCTCTGCGAGACGTTCCTTCTGCGAGGAGTTCCCCGGGTGAGGCGTTCCCTCTGCGAGGCATTCCCTGGGTAAGGTTCTTATTCTACGGTCAGAGAACCAAACCAGCTCCGATGTCGTTGCAGGGATCTGGATTTCTCCAGGTTCCTCCTGAGGAAGGACTCGTCCAATCAGGAGCCTCCAAGCCGCTATGACCTCATCGCCGTGTCCAATCACTACGGAGGGCTCAGAGACGGACACTGTGAGTCCCTGTCCATCATAGAGGTTGTACTTCCTGGTCTGCCGGTCACATGACCTGCTACGGTGTGTTTGTCTGCAGACACCAGCTACGCCCAGAACAAGGACAGCGCTCAGTGGTTCTACTTCGATGACAGCAAAGTGACGGTGGCCTCAGAGGACCAGATCATGGTCAGTACCTTCTGTTTGGACAGGAAGTGACATCACACCTGAGCCACAGGCAGAACAGAATCATAGAACCCAGTCGGTTGCAAACAGTTTCCTGCTGTGGGATTAAATTTCTCAGCTTTTCTATATATTTATCCATCTAACAGACGTTATAATAATTACCGTAACGTGTAGAATATGTTATTCTGCCTGGTTGATTGGCGGCTATTGTTCACCTAAATGATCAGAGGTTCTGGTTTGTTCTGATCGACCCGTTTCCTCCTGCAGACCAGCGCCGCCTACGTCCTGTTCTACCAGCGCCAGGACAAGATCCGCAAACCAACGCTGCCCGCCCCCAGCTCAGGCTCCGCCCCCAGCTCGCTGTCTGACGATGACATCACAGAGGCGGCCGCTGACTGTGATCAGGCGCCGGACTCTCAGGTTGATTCTTATTGATTTGGACCAGAACCGGTCCTGATTCTGGAGGAACCGAGCAGCAAAAATACAAGCTTTAAAGTTTTCTCCTCAGATTAAATCAAATTACCAATCTGCTGTTTTTGTTTTGTTTTTTTCTCCGTCTGAAAACAATTTTTCTTTTTTCCAAACATCCAGTTTGTGATTTCAGGAAGAACTATTCTGGTTCTGGCGCCGTGGGCCCAGTTTGGGCGGCGCCTCGGAACCGATCTGTCAGGGATTTTAAAACATCTGTTTGTATATTTAGCTGTTTGTTTTTTTCTTCAGATATTTATTTGTAATGATTGATCTGATCGGCTGGTGACAGGATTTATTTTCATATTTATAGATGGGGGGGTGTACAGTATTTTTGTAAGTAATGTCAGATTATTATCAGATTATTAATCCAGGGTGGAGCAGCAGGAACCACTGGGCTCATTTCTGTCTTTTCTGTCAAATATCAGAGGAAATTATTTTATTGTACTTGAATCTTTTATATGAATTAAATGCTTCTTACCACCAGATGGCGCCGTTTGTCTGTGACTCACATTATTTCATATTAAAACCAAACAGGATTATAATCCCGCCCCTCTGTAACTGAGGAGAGCAGTTATTAATCCATAGCAGGTGATGAAAGCTTAATCTGAAATAATTCAGCATCAGAATCTCGTTCAGTTTTTACCCAAACCTGTTTTCTCTGTAATCTGGAGGCCTTGATCCTGCTAAGCTGGTTTGTTCTCTGCTTCAGCATCGATTCATCCTTTCAGCATCACATGATGCTCCACATTCCTCATTTTAGGGAAGAAAGCGCTTTTTGGAAGAGTTATTATAAAATATGAGCCTGATAATCCAGACTAAATGTGAGATTAAAATAAGGACAGTTTCTGGTTCATGTGGCTCATTCTTCCCCCCTAACCTAAATGGATTTAGATTAAACTTTAAGGGTAAATAAATCTATATGTGTGTAGAGGAAATAACTTGTATAAAAATAAATTAGGCTGATTGAATTTGCTTTTAAATTATTTACAATTCTTTAAGAAGTAAATCTATCTTAAGCTGATCTGGAATAAATATGCTAATTTATTTAACATAATTATTGATTAATAATTATACGGTGTTCAAATTACTCTATTGGAAATAATATTATTTAATAATAATAATGATTATAATGATAGAGGATATAAATAACAGGATTTAATTCCTACATTAAGATGAATGATGGAGACTTTAAAATGATCTATTCTCCATGGATCTATAGCTCAGATATATCTGGAGGTTAAATTGACTGAAACTTTGTGGTTTTTCTTCAACAGAACATATTTTATTTGTTCTGATGAAGAAAAGGGAGGAAAGAAGATAAAACAAGAGAAAAACAGCAAAGCTAAACTAATAAGGATCCATATAGATGCTGTTTATTTTTCCATCTGGAATTTGGGTTGATAATTGAGAGCAGAATAAATAAACAACCTAAAGAAACGACTGCTAGACTTCTGGATGAAGTTTGAACACCTCAGCCTGACTGTCTGATGTGCGTTTGGGAAAAACCAGCTTGGTTGATGTTTGTTGATGGTTCAGCTTCTTGGTTCGGTGTTTCTTCACCTCATGAAACTCTTGTTTCTGGTTCTTTGATTTTGCTTCGCCTTGGAAACATCGTTCTTGAAATCAGATGGAAAGCCTATATTCTTCTTCCACACACATCATGTCTGGTGGAAGCAGCAGGAGGCTGTGCTGCAGCGTCTCCCTCCCGCCTCTGCTGAGGAGAAGATTGTTTGGATTTCTGCAGAAGTGATAAAGAGAACCGAACACTAAGGAAGTACATTTACTGAAATTATGGAATAATTCAATGATTTGTGACTAAGTTTAAATTTTAATCTAAAGTTCTTTAAGCTACATGACCTCATTTTATCCACTATTGTTTGTGAAGGGGGCAGAAAACCTGACCTCTGGCCAGACTGGGACTGACAGGTGACACATTAAAATGACCTACAGGACCTTTTTCCCTTAGTCAGAGACGGCTTTACAGAGGGACCAAGGTGCCTGGAGATCCTGATGGGGAACCATCTCAGCCATCCTTCAGCAGGAGGAGGCGTGGCTTAAAGACATCAAAAGAAGTGATCAGAGCTCATCAGAGCTCATCTGGAAGGAACCAGGAAAAGCTTCAACAAAACAAATCAGAATAAAGGGGCAGAATAATCCCCTCTGATTGGTTAATGAACACATCAGTCGTCCACCTGATGTGTTGAGGACCAGCTGCTCTGCAGACCAACCATTGAACCTCGTTCAAAATGTCGCCTCTATAAGAGACCAACATCAACAGGAAGATGAAGACGCCCACCTGAAGATGTCTGACATCAGCTTTGGCTTTTTGATTTTTAATCATACAACATGGATGAGAAGGGAAATGTGTTGGATTTTAATGAAAGATGAAAATTTTTAGTATCAGAGTGTTTGATATTAGTTCCTTTATATTGTTAGATCGCCCCCTGGTGGCTGATGGTCAGTATTGGCAGAGATCAGAGAATGAACTCTGATGATCGGGTCTCAGCCACCATTAGGGAAGAGCTGAGATTAAATCCTCCAACTTTTCAATCTGTGCTTTGACTGATTCTGAAGAGCTGAACTGAATCTGAAATAATGAGAGGATGATGGGGGCTCCTCTTCCCTCCATTAAAGACATTTCATCCCAGCGCTGCGTGTCCTGTGACATCATCAATGACCCCTCACCCCCCCACCATGGACTGTTCTCCCTGCTGCCCTCTGGGAAGAGGCTTCCCAGCATTCAATGCAGGACCAGCAGGTTCTGCAGCAGCTTCTTCCCCACCGCCATCACACTGATGAACTGTTGGATAAAATGGGTTATTGTTTTGTATTTTATCATAAAATAAAAGTTAGAACTGTAAATTTATAGTCATATTTATATATATATATATATATATTTTTTTTTTTACTTTTCAAGGCTGCACTTCAAAAAACAAAACAAAATTGTCTAGAGAGCTGTTCCAAAATAGAAATTTATTTTTTGTTTTACACTGGTGTAAACAACATGATAAATAAAATCTAAGTCTGTTTGAAACATTTTTATGATTTTAACATTTTGCATTGATTGATCTTTTTTTCCTCATAATGAGGTTTGCTGCGTTTAGAAGCTCAGGTTAATAATTTGACTTATACTTTGTAGAGATGAAGGAGTCTATTGTTTGATTTGAACTTTCCTCTTTCCAGGGAAACAAAAATGGGTAACTGATAATAAGATTTAAAAATCTCAGAAAATAGATATTTTACTATAAAATTATCATCATGGGGGAAAACAGTGAAATGTTTTTATCAGCTAGGATGTGATTCTATGGCTCTATTTATTGGCAGCATATTTTAGCTATCATAATATTTTCCATGATTTTTCCATCTATTATAATCATTTAACATCTGACCTGATAACAGGTGTGCATTTATTATGTTATATATGTTTTTTTTCACAATTTTTGAGTTTTGAGTTCTATTTACATATATTCACTAATTTTCCTTTATTTTTTTTATTACCATCGAGGATAATATCCTTCTATAATGGAAAGGTTGGAAATGTGGTCGGAAAAAATTTAGATTTCTCTCTAATATATTTAGTGATGCTATTTATCCAAAGAAAAATGTTTTTATTCAGTTTGTTTCAACTGGGATTTATGGTTGAATACTTCTTTCCCACTACAGACCAAGACCAGAACCCAGCAGGACCAAACACTCAGGAGAAGGAAATCAGAATTCAGGTTTATTCCAGAAAGAACAAAGCAGAACCTGTAACATCAGAGAATAACCTCCTGACCCGGTTCTGGACCGGTCCGTCCGACCTTCTGTCCACGGAGATGTTCTGGATCAACGGTTCTCTGGGCTTCCTGAAGGTCTGTGGCAGCAGCATCGGGTCATCAAGATCCGTTTCCTGAGGAAGAACAGGACCGGGTTTCCGTTTGGGTCCGAGGCTCAGAAATAAAAACTGGTCTGGATCCGGGTCAGAACATGCTGTGCTTGACGTCGGCGCCGAGAAAACTTCCAAAGTTCAGGTCTTTGGAGATGAGCTCCTCCTCCACGCTCTCCAGCGCCCACTTGTGGTTCACCACCTCCAGCGCCTCCCACTCGCTCTGAAAGCAGCAGACAGGCCGAGGCGTCACAGCTGCACCAGAACCAACCCACCAGAACCGACCTACCAGAACCAACCCACCAGAACCGACCTACCAGAACCGACCCACCAGAACCACCAGAACCGACCCACCAGAACCAAACTCTCTGACCTTCACCTTAAAAGCCTTGTTGGGGTCAGGGGGCATCGCCATGGCGGCACCAGTCATCTGGTCCTGCATGATCCGCGATTGGTCAGCAGCTGTGGAGGAAACGGACCAATCAGAGAGCCTTGTTCTGTCGCCACGGAAACAGGAGCAAAAACTATTTTAACATAAACTTAATGGGATCGGATCTGGAAAAGTTCTGAGTCCAAAACCCAAAATGTGAAAAGTTTAAATAATAGAAGTACAAAGATTAGATTAGATTAGAAAATGTAACTTTTTTCTGATCCATTTCCTGTTGGTTCTAAAACTATCATCATTTTTTATGAAGAAGATTTATTGGAGCGCCAGAACGTTCTGGAAGCAGAACTCACCGTTGTCCTGACCCAGAACCAGGGTGTACATGCTCCTCAGCCCAAACACGTTCAGGAAGTACCAGGAGGCAGAACTCACCCTGCAAACATCAGAACCACAACTATCAGTCCAAAGAACCGGTTCTGGATGCAGCTGCTAGCTTAAATAGAAGAAGTTTGGAAACAGCCCAGAATCGACACCTGGTGGACCAGAACCCATCTGACCCAAATTCACTGGTTCTGGTCGGAAGATTCAATGTCGTTAGACACCCGACTAGAAACTGGTCCGTTTAGCATCAAGCTAGAGGCAGGATTACCAGGAAGCTAACAGTTTAGCATCAAGCTAGGGGCAGGTTTACCAGGAAGCTAACAGTTTAGCATTAAGCTAGGGGGAGGTTTACCAGGAAGCTAGCAGTTTAGCATCAAGCTAGGGGCAGGTTTACCAGGAAGCTAACAGTTTAGCATCAAGCTAGGGGCAGGTTTACCAGGAAGCTAACAGTTTAGCATCAAGCTAGGGGCAAGTTTACCAGGAAGCTAACAGTTTAGCATCAAGCTAGGGGCAGGTTTACCAGGAAGCTAAAAGTTTAGCATCAAGCTAGGGGCAAGTTTACCAGGAAGCTAACACTTTAGCATCAAGCTAGGGGCAGGTTTACCAGGAAGCTAACACTTTAGCATCAAGCTAGGGGCAAGTTTACCAGGAAGCTAACACTTCAGCATCAAGCTAGGGGAAGTTTACCAGGAAGCTAACACTTTAGCATCAAGCTAGGGGTAAGTTTACCAGGAAGCTAACAGTTTAGCATCAAGCTAGGGGCAGGTTTACCAGGAAGCTAACAGTTTAGCATCAAGCTAGGGGCAGGTTTACCAGGAAGCTAATGGTTGGTTTACCAGGACGCTATCGGTCAGTTTAGCGTTAGGCTAGCATCAGTTTTGCCAGGCAGCTATCAGGCAGTTTAGCGTTAGGCTAGCATCAGGTTTGCCAGGCAGCTACCGGTCAGTTTAGCGTTAGAATAGCATCAGGTTTATCAGGATGCTATTTGTCAGGTTAGCGTTAGGCTAGCATCAGGTTTAACCAGGAGGTTATCGGTCAGTTTAGCGTTAGGCTAGCATCAGGTTTGCCAGGCAGCTATCAGGCAGTTTAGCGTTAGGCTAGCATCAGGTTTGCCAGGCAGCTACCGGTCAGTTTAGCGTTAGAATAGCATCAGGTTTATCAGGATGCTATTTGTCAGGTTAGCATTAGGCTAGCAGCAGGTTTACCAGGCGGCTATCGGTCAGTTTAGCGTTAGGCTAGCATCAGGTTTACCAGGTGGCTATCGGCCAGTTTAGCGTTAGGCTAGCATCAGGTTTACCAGGAAGCTATCGGTCAGTTTAGCGTTAGGCTAGCATCAGGTTTACCAGGAAGCTATCGGTCAGTTTAGTGTTAGGCTAGCATCAGGTTTAACCAGGAGGTTATCGGTCAGTTTAGCGTAAGGCTAGCATCAGGTTTACCAGGAAGCTATCGGTCAGTTTAGCGTTAGGCTAGCATCAGGTTTACCAGGAAGCTATCGGTCAGTTTAGCGTTAGGCTAGCATCAGGTTTAACCAGGAGGTTATCGGTCAGTTTAGCGTAAGGCTAGCATCAGGTTTACTAGGCAGCTAATCGGTCAGTTTAGCGTTAGGCTAGCATCAGGTTTACCAGGCAGCTAATCGGTCAGTTTAGCGTTAGGCTAGCATCAGGTTTACCAGGAAGCTATCGGTCAGTTTAGCGTTAGGCTAGCATCAGGTTTATCAGGATGCTATTTGTCAGGTTAGCATTAGGCTAGCAGCAGGTTTACCAGGCGGCTATCGGTCAGTTTAGCGTTAGGCTAGCATCAGGTTTACCAGGTGGCTATCGGCCAGTTTAGCGTTAGGCTAGCATCAGGTTTACCAGGAAGCTATCGGTCAGTTTAGTGTTAGGCTAGCATCAGGTTTAACCAGGAGGTTATCGGTCAGTTTAGCGTAAGGCTAGCATCAGGTTTACCAGGAAGCTATCGGTCAGTTTAGCGTTAGGCTAGCATCAGGTTTACCAGGAAGCTATCGGTCAGTTTAGCGTTAGGCTAGCATCAGGTTTAACCAGGAGGTTATCGGTCAGTTTAGCGTAAGGCTAGCATCAGGTTTACTAGGCAGCTAATCGGTCAGTTTAGCGTTAGGCTAGCATCAGGTTTACCAGGCAGCTAATCGGTCAGTTTAGCGTTAGGCTAGCATCAGGTTTACCAGGAAGCGTCCAGCGACAGCAGGTCGACGCCTCTCTGTAACATGGGCTTGAACCTTAGAGTCAGAGGGAACGGAACCTTTGCTGAAAAACAAAGACACACAGTTTGGACCTTGGACCAGGGGACGGCGCCGGCCGAACCGCAGAGGTGCTGAGGACGGAACTCACTAATGAGGAAACCAGAGAAGGCCCAGTTGATCCATCCGCCGATAAGAATCATGGGCAGAACGTTGGTCAGGTTCCCCTTCATCATGTCCGTCAGCATGCTGGTGTCTGAAACGGATCAGCGTTAGGATGGAGAAGGAGAACCCGGCTCCTCTGATCGGATCGCAGAACCACGCACCTGTCATGGGGTTCTTTGGAACCACCTTCCTCTTGACCTTCTTGAAGAAGCCGGTTTCTGCGTTGTTGAAGTAATGCTTCCTCATGACGAACGACTGGAACGGAAAACGAGCCGCTTAACGTCTCAGAGGGATGAATCCAGCGGAACCGGAGTCCCATCAGCTGAGTTAATCAATCAATGGACCAAACTCAACACTAAAAACGATCAGAACCAACGAGCCCAAAGAACGGGATCCACAGAACCAATCCCTCACACTAAGCATGCTTGTAGCGACAGTGGAGAGGAAAAACTCCCTTTGAACAGGAAGAAACCTCCAGCAGAACCAGGCTCAGTGTGAGCGGCCATCTGCTGAGGCCCACTGGGGTTCAAGGAGACAGAAGCAGACATAGAAAAAGAAGCATAGATACAAAAGGCAACTGTCAACCAGCTCCACAGGCGGCCCCGTCCAGGAAACACACAGCCAGGCAGACGAGCTCCGAGCCAGCTCCCATGTCAGAGGATGAAGAGAGCACATCCAGTTAGTCACAGTCAGAGAAACAGGACTACACTGGAAAACAGGCCAAGCTCCAACATCTAGAAACAAAGGTGTTGATGGCAGCAGCACAGCTGATATTTCTCTCCAGGATGGAGTCACAGCCAAACAGGAACAGACCAGATGAAGCTACTATGAGAAAAAGCAGAGAGAGCAGAACGTTAGAGATTGAACTAACAGATTCTGCAGAGTGGGAGAATAGAGATAGAATGAAGCAGAATGATGAAAAAGGGGTCCCTATGTCCTCCAGCAGTCTAAGCCTATAGCAGCAGAACTATAGAGATAGATCAGGATAACCTGAGCCACTCTGCAGCCTAATAACTAAAAGATCTACCTCCCATTCTACTTAGAAATTCTAGGAACCAGACTGACGCACAGTGCTGGAACAAACATCATGAGCTGTAGCTGTGTGCAACCATTATAAAAAAATAAAAAAAAAGTGGATGCCCGGCTTTACACGCAAAACCTGGCTTTCCTTTCCTTTGGCTCCAAGCTCAAATAGGGGAGGAGCTTCTGAACGACTCCTCCAGAAGGTTCCGGTTACCTGTCGGGGGATGTACTTCCCGTTCTCCCTGAGGATGCGGCTGCGCAGCAGAACCTGGCTGGAAACAAAGAAGACAACAAACATCAGAAAAGCTTCCGGCCCCCCCCGTCACCCGCAGGAACCCGGCCCCCCCCCCCCGTCGCACGGAGGAACCCGGCCCTACATCGCCCGGAGGAACTAGCCCCCCCCCCACCCCCGTCGCCCGGAGGAACCAGGCCCCTCTGTCGCCCGGAGGAACCCTCACCTGTCAGACACCTGCTCCAGCTCCACCTTCTTGTCGCTGTGCAGCAGCTGGCTCACATAGTGACGCAGCACCCCGACGAAGAAGGTGATGAAGACGATGGGGAGGACCACCCACACCCGGATGCTGGAGTCCAGCAGGAGCTCCGGACCGGTCATGGCTCCGAGTCGGACCCGTCCAGGAGAATAAGAAGAGAACCAAGCTGATGTAGAAGATCCAGGAACTCTGAAGCAAAATGGCAGAAAAACGAATCAGGATCCGTCAGTCAATAAATAATCAATCGTTTTATTTCATCAGTCTAAAAAAAAAGATCCTGAATTTAAACGCTAAACCTTTTTAAATGGAACCTTTAACCTTTATAAGGAGGCCGGCCCGCTGCCTACATCTCCCAGAATGCACTGCAGTTGTGGATCATAGAGGATTCTATCAGACAGATTTCTAATTGATGTAGATCTGGTGTCTCTATAAACCAGAGGAGGGATTTATTTATATCTATAAAAACCTCTTTGAAATAATTGACTAGAAAGACGGATTTCCATCGTTAATGGAAACGAATAAACTGCTTTTCTGCATTTTCTGTCTGGTTGGTGAAGTTCTTTAGATCTGGGAACCTTTCAGAGACTTTCATCTGTTCAGGTGAAATCAGATCTAGAATGTAAAGCTCTAGCTTCTTTAGCGAGGATCCTGGAGATAAACTACCTCTCTGCTTCTGGCTAACATTCTCACTACAAACCTAACAAACAGAGCCGTGCACAGATAGACACCAGGTGGCGCTAGAGCGCCCACCTTTCCCCTCTGGATAAAACAGTTGCCTCCTGAAATCGTTTTTTATCTTTGGCTCAAAATACAATATATTAAAATATTTACATATAATTTAAAGTCTGTCAAACCCAGAGCACAGGTTTTTGTAATTTTGCTCCAAGGCTACGTTCTCACTGCAGGCCTTGATGCTCAATTCCGATTTTTTTGCGTCGCCGTTCACATTTCGCAATATCTGCGACTTGTATGTGATCTCCTGTGTGAACTGCAGTCATACAACGCAAGTGTCCCGCATGCGCAGTAGAGGACGCCATGATGTCACAGGACAGCGTGTTCTTTTTTTCCTGGAAGTAAACATGGATGGTAGCGGCGGCGCGCAGCTAGAGGTCTTTTCCAACCATAAAATCAATCTTTTCAATATGGTTAAACATAAATACTGCTCTCTGCATCATCATCCGCCCCCTGCTGTTGTTTTTCTTGCCACTTCTGCGCAGCAAGACGCAGAATAGTGACCTATGTCGGGTATTGATGACGTTCAGGTCGGATGAATCATGGCCGTTCAGACACAGGTCGCATTTGAAAAGATCAGATTCGTATCGGATTCAGAGCCAAGCGGCCTGGATCGCATTGGAAAAAATGGGATCTGTGTTTATCAGCCATGAAACGATCAGATCCAGGTCGCATCTGGGCAAAATAATCAGATTAAGGTGACTTCAGGCTGCAGCCTATGAGAGATTTGGAGACGCTGGTGAAACCAAAGGTTCAAAGCCCCACAGCTCTGGAACTGCTGCAGCCAGAGGTCTGACATTTTCTGCATTGTGATTGACATGATGCAGAACCAATGGAAAACATTGAGACCTGCCTATTCCCAGGCATGTCTTTATTACTGCTGTTCAAAAATAGACCTAATATTTTCTAGAATAAACAAAACTTTGAGTCATGTTTGAACTGATGCAGATTAGCCTGTGTTTTACCCAATATTTATTTATATTTTCTGAAACTATAAGATGTTAGCTTTCAAATAATGTATCAGTTCCTCAGTTATTTATTTTTTTCCATTTGGGGATGGAAAATAGGCCGGTATTACTTCAAAAGGAGGTGGATGTTAGGCGTATATAACGCTCAGAAACGGAGCAAAGCGCTCAGTGATTAGTATTCAGTAGCATTGCTTTCTATGAATAAAATTACCTTTCATTCAGCTCTTCTTTGCCCAAGGTTCAATTCAATTCAATTCAATTCAGTTTATTTATATAGCGCCAAATTCACAACACATGTCATCTCAAGGCACTTTACAGTTCAACCAGATCATACAGTCAAATTGATACAAAGTTTTCTATCTAAGGAAAACCAGTTGATTGCATTGACTCATTGACTCAAATACAATCCCCCACACTAAGCATGCTTGTAGCGACAGTGGAGAGGAAAAACTCCCTTTTAACAGGAAGAAACCTCCAGCAGAACCAGGCTCAGTGTGAGCGGCCATCTGCCGAGGCCGACTGGGGTTCAAGGAGACAGAAGCAGAGATACAAAAAGCAGCTGTAAAAGGCGGCCCCGTCCAGGAAACACACAGCCAGGCAGACGAGCTCCAAGGCAGCTCCCATGCCAGAGGACGAAGAGAGCACATCCACTCAGTCACGGTCAGAGAAACAGGACCACACTGGAAAACAGGCCGATCTCCAACATCTATAAACAAGGGTGTTGATAGAAGCAGCACAGCTGATGTTTTTTTCCAGGATGACGTCACAGCCAAACAGGAACAGACGAGGCAAAGCTACTCTGAGGAAAAGCAGAGAGAGCAGAAGGTTAGAGATTGAACTAACAGATTCTGCAGAATAGGAGAACAGAGAAGAAGCAGAATGATGAAATGGGGGTCCCTATGTCCTCCAAAAGTCTAAGCCTATAGCAGCATAACTATAGAGATAGCTCAGGATAACCTGAGCCACTCTAACTATAAGCTTTATCAAAAATGAAAGTTTTAAGCCTAGCCTTAAAAGTAGACAGGGTGTCTGCCTCACGGACTAAAACTGGTTCACTTGAGCTTATTTCACTAAAATCACAGAAAAGCTGTGAACTTTAAAATATTGCTCTCTATTAACACATTTCCCTCACCAAAAAAGTTACAAAAGATTTAATTTTAGACACCAATCATGAACAATTTCAAATGAACTTAAATGGAAAAAACAGGAAAACTATCTAAAACATCACAGTATTACTAACTGTAGTTCTGCTCTCCACCAGTAGGTGGAGACATGTTCACATAAAGCTTCATGAACTGTGGGGATCATTGAAGCAATTCGCTCAAACGGTCCAATGAGGCTTCATGTCAGCATCACTGCTTCCCTTTAAGCTTCTGTTTAATTACCGGTTCGGTTCGGTTCTGGTTCTGGTTTCGGTCTCAGTAGCAGCAGGTGACCTCCGTTCGATCCACCTGTTGAAGCCCCAAACTTCCAGCTAGCCATGCTAATCGGCTGTTAGCTGCATGAAGCTTCCGCCTCAGACAAGCTTGGCTGGAATTCCAGTTACCGATAAACCAACCGGCCAGAATCCCGCGAACTCACCGCGTTTCTCAGCTTTTCCTGGAAAACGTGATCAGTTAAACCCGGAGGGATTCCTTCTTCTTCTTCTTCTTCTTCTTCTTCTTCTTCTTCTTCTTCTTCTGCTTTATTGGCGGTTGGCAACAAACTTTAAGTAGCATTACCGCCACTTACTGGTATGGAGTGTTATTCTTGATGTATTTATCTATCAATCTATATATCTTTCTATATCTATGTCTATCTATATATATCTTAGTATTTTACTCATCGATATCATAAAGACTCTCTATAATCAAATTCTATTAAATGATTTAGTTTTCTTTAAATATCTAATAACTATTTGTATTTGTTTACTCCCCAAATTCTTCCTCAAAATATCTAATACATTTACCTTTTTCTTAATACATTCAAACTCTCTCTTCATAAATGTTCTCTCTCTTTCATATTCATTAAGTTCTATTATAACATGTTTAATTGTTTCATTCTGTCCACAATAATCACATTTTCCAGTATAATGTTTTTGAATTTTAAAAAGTGTATAATTAAGTCCTGTATGTCCAAATCTTAACCTAGCTATCACTCTCTCCTCTTTTCTTTTACCATTTCTCCTTCTCTTACTGCCTTTTGAATTTTACAAAACCATCTTCCAGTTTTTTCTTCATTCCACCTTTTTTGCCATTTTTCCATCAGTTTCTCTTTTATAGAACTCTTTCCCTCAGATTTACTTGTTTTAACTGTAAACTAATAGGATACTGAATCTTTGCCATTTTATCTGCCCTCTCGTTTCCTTCTGCTCCAATATGTGCTGCTGGAACCACAGAAATCTAACTATCAAACCCATATTTTCTATTCTGAATGATGTATGAACTATTTCTAATAAAATGTCCATCCTACTATCTGAATGATTATATTTTATACTTAATAATGCAGAGCTTGAATGTGAACAAATGACTGATTTTAACGGTTTTATTTCTTCTACTTATTGTAAAGCTAATAATATTACCAACATTTCTCCTGTTTATACTGATAATCCATCTGTAATTCGTTTTCCTATTCTTATATTGAATTCTGCTACTACAAAAGCTTTTCCTATTTATTTTTGATGCATCTGTATAAATTTGAATATATTGAAAATTATTGTTTAATGTAACTGTACTGAATAATTATCTAGGATATAAGATTGATCTTGTTTCATTTCCATTATTGCCATATCTGCCTCTGGTAGAATCCATGGCGGCGGAGGAAAGGGCCGCAATCTGGTTCTGCTGGTACTGGGAAGGAAAGCGCAGGCGCGTCCGCCATGTTGTGAGTGGCGCATTATGGACATACGGGGACCGCTTCCTTCTACAGGCGCTGGACGTGATTTGGTGGCGCCATCTTGGGGAGGTCGACAGCTCCCTCAGTGTAATGTGTTGAGGAGGAACAGAACTTTAACTCACTGAATATTGAACAAATTTTCAAAGTTTTATTTTATTTTTTTGCTATAAACAAGCAAAAAGTTGAGTTTATTTAAATATTCTTAGTGAGGTTGAGAGTAATAGAATATTCTGACAGGATGTGCAGTAAGTTGCAAAGCACAGCCACTCATACATTTTTATAATTTAATATCACTATATTCACAAACACATTTATACAGGTATACAAAATAAATATATATATATATATATATATATATATATATATATATATTTTGTTTTTTTTTTTTTACATATACATATGTATATACATAGGTAGATCGCGTCAGAGCGTCGGGTCACAGTGTGAGAACAAACATCGTGAGCTGTGAACTTTTAAACCCTGCGGTTTTGTCGTACAGTGTGAGCTGTAGCTGCAAGCAATGATTATAAAAATTGCACAGTGTACGACCTGCCTGATCCAGCAGGTTAGGTTAGCAAGTCGACCTCCTCAAGATGGCGCCCCTAATTTCTGCGCCGCGATTGTCAATGCAGGGTGTACTCTGATATGTGTCTATGGACTCTGAATGAGATCCAGGGAAGCTGCACCGTTAGGAGGGCGGCTCCTTTCCACTTTCTCTCACGGTGTGGTTTATTGTCAGAATATGTAAGCCGGCCAGTGGCTTACATATTCAGCTCCCCTCCCTCCTCCGGAGCCCAGGCCTATATAAATTAATCAGCTGTCACCACGCGTCACCACAGCAACTACAAACACACTCACTGTCAGTGAGGCTCCTACAAAACCAAATCGTTTCAATCTCCTCCTTTGTTTCCTTGTGACCTAATTTTAGATTTTCTTCTCAATGTGAAATGATTTGAATCAAATCTATTTGGTGTTGATTTAATTCCAGAAAAACTAAAAATCAATCCACTGGACTTTGTTTCCAAGTTTGAAGACGTTTCTCTTCCATCCAGGAAGCTTTTTCAATTCAAAATGTTCAAACTTGGAAACAAAGTCCAGTGGAACTTTTTTGGAACGACTATGACCTGACCTCATATGGAGCGAGGTTCTGGCTCTGATGGACGTTCCTTTCAGGTAAAATAGAGTGGTTCCTCTCTACTCACGCCACATGTTTGATCAACTCTAGGGAATTCATGGTAGTTTCTCAATTGACAAGATCGCGAGTACGCACTTGTATTCTCACAAAGTCCGTTCTTGACTAGAACCCAGTAAAGTCTGGACTGTGGGAGAAATGGAGCACGCAGAATAAATCTGGGTCAACTGGAACAGCAGCGTACTGATGACATCACCACATTCAAAGCTAGTCAGCAGCTGCTTTTCACCTCCTGTTAATAATAGTCTCTAGATAATAATAAATTCCGACTTTTTTCATTTATTGGGGGAATAATAATAAATACAGTCAGATAAACACAAATCAAATGAATTTTTAATAAAACAATCAAACCTCCATCAGAGCCAACGGTACTTTACACAAGGCTATGCAGAGAGAGGGCTGCTGCAGACGGGCTAACATTAGTCCTGGCTGCTGCAGGCGGGCTACCGTTAGCCCTGGCTGCTGCAGGCGGGCTAACGTTAGCCCTGGCTGCTGCAGGCGGGCTAACATTAGTCCTGGCTGCTGCAGGCGGGCTAACGTTAGCCCTGGCTGCTGCAGGCGGGCTAACGCTGCAGGCGGGCTAACATTAGTCCTGGCTGCTGCAGGCGGGCTAACATTAGTCCTGGCTGCTGCAGGCGGGCTACCGTTAGCCCTGGCTGCTGCAGGCGGGCTAACGTTAGCCCTGGCTGCTGCAGGCGGGCTAACATTGGCCCTGGCTGCTGCAGGCGGGCTAACGTTGGCCCTGGCTGCTGCAGGCGGGCTAACGTTAGCCCTGGCTGCTGCAGGCGGGCTAATGTTATGGATGATAAATAAGGATCCATTGATTGAACAGTCGAACGGACGGACATGTGGGCCAAAAAGAGCGGGGATCCAGTTGGAAAAAGGGTCGCAGCGTTCTCGCCCACCTCGCTCTTCTATCTGGTCCATCTTCCAGAACTTATTTTAAATTACGTACTAAATCAGTAAATGGGCCATAAAGTGAAGCTTAAAGTATAATCTTCTCTTAAAATGTACTTTTATTGAACAATGGCAACAGAAAATAGAACTTTTAACTTAATACTCTGATCTCTCTGTGAGCGCTAACCTGGACGCTGCTGCTGCCGCAGTGCATGCTGGGACAGCTGTCAGTCCGGAGATCGGACAGGTCTGATGGATCCACAGATTGAGAAATGGCCAATAACTTGGAAAGGTTTTTAGGAACCAATAGAATCAGACTAGATTAAAATATGACAGACTGAATTGGACCGGATCAGAATATGAACGATTTGGATCTGCAATAATAAGGTTGATGTAATTAGATAAAAACTGTTTGTCTGGTAACTGGTTTGAACCGGTTCTTTGGAATAAAACCAAACGGAATGGATAAGATTGATAAAGACGATACAAGCAGCAGGTTTCATCCACATGAACAGATTTTATGTCTTTAGAGCAATAAATATTTCCACTTTGTTCATATTTCTGCCATTTCAAAAAACAAAATACAAGTAATATATATTTATGTACACAACTAAAATCTTCCAAACATAATTTTTAAAATAATGTCGTCTCTGTTGGACATATATTTGACACTGTACTCATACAATTTTACAAGGACTATTGGAGTCTCTTTCTGCTCTACATTATAAACAGGAACTGTTTCCTCCACGAGGCGGCGTGCTCCGTGGTCAGACGCCCTGTTCACCCGTCCCTGTATCCATTCACCCCAGCAGCAGCAGGCCACCTTAACATGGGGGGCAGAGGAGTGGGAGCTTTCATTCCCAGCAGATCTGATCGTCCGTTTTCTCTTTTCTAAAGTTCCCTGTTTTTCCTACAGAACCAGATCTGCTTCTGGGGTGTAAAAAAAGATCCAACCCTCTCTTCCTGATGAAAAAAACCCGCCCGTTAACAAGCGACCGGAGCTTATGTTCAATTAACAGCATATGTACATTCATGTTGATAATACAGTTCATTCAGTGCAGATACTGGAATAAATACCACATGCAAACCAATAGGGGAGAGCAGGCCTTGGCAAAAAAATTACAAATACGGAAACCGAGCATTTAAAGGACCGGAACAATGTTTCTGCATGTTCTTAAACTCAATATACAGACAATGACTGCTTTTAAAACCCATAAAGTAAAGCTTGGGTCCATTTGTTACCTCATGGAAGCTTTATGGTTCACTTAGAAAAACACTCACAGGTTGTTGAATTGTGCAGTAAGAAGAGGAAACCATTAACCAAACAGCAAATGTATTCAACAAGGAGTCAATCTAAATGCAGAGGAAGGGTGAAAAAAGGTCTACCTTCCTGCTTCTAAGGGGGAAAGTAGCATCCTAGTTAAGGGCTCATCATCGCTGTCAGTGTCTCCATAAAAGAAAGACTGCTGGGAGTTTGTGGCTTTGCAGGGTTCAGGGCTGTAGGAACACAATGCCAGGAAGGTGAGACACTGGTAGAACACTCAACTGGGAAGGATTGCAAAGGAAAGTTCCCAAAATTCACACTGTCATCATTCCGCAGAGAGGAATCATTCACCAAGGAAACCATGGAGGAGACATCTCAGCAAATCCAGAGCTCCATCAGATCCCAGGTCAAAGGTCGGGGCAGGAGGGGTGGAAGGAGCGTACGAAAAGAGTAACACAAACCATGGAGGTGGAGGAGTGATGATCTGGGCTTCCTTTGCAGCCACAAAACCTGGTGACAGTGAATAATCCGACCACAAGAGTCACTTGTTTCTCTGTAGTCCAATCAGCTGAGACCTGGTTCAGAGTGGCTCAGCAAATCTGCTGGAGAAGGTTCTACGACCACTGGGAAAGGTTCTACGGTCGCTGGAGAAGGTTCTACAGCCGCTAGGGAAGGTTCTACTGCCGCTGGAGAAGGTTCTACAGCCGCTAGGGAAGGTTCTACAGCCGCTGGAGAAGGTTCTACAGCCGCTAGGGAAGGTTCTACAGCCGCTGGAGAAAGTTCTATAACTGCTGGAGAGGGTTCTACAACCGCTAGGGAAGGTTCTACAACCGCTGGGTTCTACGGCCGCTAGGGAAGGTTCTACAACCACTGGAGAAGGTTCTACGGCCGCTAGGGAAGGTTCTACAACCGCTGGAGAAGGTTCTACAACTGCTGGAGAAGGTTCTACGGCCGCTAGGGAAGGTTCTACACCTGCTGGAGAAGGTTCTACAACTGCTGGCGAAGGTTCTACAACCGCTGGAGAAGGTCCTACAACTGCTGGCGAAGGTTCTACAACTGCTGGCGAAGGTTCTACAACCGCTGGAGAAGGTTCTACAACTGCTGGCGAAGGTTCTACAACCGCTGGAGAAGGTTCTACAACCGCTGGAGAAGGTTCTACGGCCGCTAGGGAAGGTTCTACAACTGCTGGAGAAGGTTCTACAACCGCTGGAGAAGGTTCTATGGCAGCTAGAGAAGGTTCTATGGCAGCTGAACCATGGGATGGATTTAGTCAGATTTTGTTAAACACACACTGGCAGCAGTTTGTGGAACTATTTCTCATCCAAAATTGGACCTGAGTTATAGAAATAGTTCAGACTGATTGAGAAAAGGTGGGTCTGCTTTTTACCAGAACTCTTAGAGGCACACATGGACCATGAGGTACAAACATTTACCAAGGACCACTGCTGATGGTTGGATCCCTTCTCAAAAAGGTACGGCATGGGTCCATTGATCCAAAAACTCAGCGGGTAGAACTTAGCCCAGAGAGGGAAGCCGACCCACCTTGAAGCGCTCGGCCATTGGAGGATATGGAGTTCAGAGCTCATGCAGAAACAGACATGGAGATTATCTGAGGGTGTGTTGGATTTCTGTTTGTACACTGAAACAGAACTTGTTGGGTCCTCCTCTCCAGTTGTTGCTGGTGTAAGCAGGTTAGTGGTAAAAAGGTTCTAGTGTTTAGATCTGAGGCCCAAATCAGAAAAGCACATCTCACATTTTCAGCACAAAACAAATTCAAAATTGCAGAAAGTTAAGCGCAGCCCAAGCAGTGTTCCATGTTAGTAAAAGCTTGTCACACAACAATACTGATACCAGAAGCTTTGCTCTAAAAAGTCCAACTGGTTCTCCAGATTGAAGCCAATGGGGCCCCAAACATAGGGGCCCGACTCAGGAGATTGAGAGTGTGGAGACAGCATTGTAGTTTTGGTATTTTTCCAGAGAAGAACCAGAAGGAAGCTTTGGTTTTAGAGTGTGTATCTTGTTGTGAAGGCTGGTTACAGATGGACGCTGTTGGCTCCACTGAAACATCAACACACTGTACAGCTTTTATCTACAGCTGGTCCTACGGGTCATCCATGGAAAACAATCCGCCCTCCACCAGTTAAAAAATCCAACCCAGAGCTGAGTGGTCGTTGGTTTCCAGTTTCCAGATTTAAAACAGGGACATTCTGTGGGAAACGCTGGGATGCTTCTAATCCCAAAGGACATAAATAAGGAGTAAAACCAGGTTAGATGAAATGCTGTGATGAGGTTGGAACTCCATCCTCCCAGAAGGCCACAGGTCCGAGTCTCAGGTCCTCCTGATGTGGGTGAACAGAAGCTCGGTCCATCAACCAACACCCCATGGACTCAGATATGGAAACGTCTTTAGTTCGGGAGGATTTCCTTTGATGAGTTGTACCATCCTAACGTCCAAAGGCACCTTGTTTTCTCCATTTAGGAATGCTCTGAGCGTTTCACCCTCGACAGACCGATGTTTGTGGGACTGGGTGGGAAATCAGAAAGTTCTGTAAAAATCAGAGATTGTTCTTAAACTCCTGCTTCCATTTTGGGATCTGCACCGAGGACTTCAGGGGTTCCCTGGACTCTGCTCGCCGTGTGGCATAGAAATCATCACTAAACTGAAGTAACCAGATATGCAGACGACATCCAAGTCTTTCTGTGTCTGATGCTGAAAACTACCACATCTGAGGCTCTTCTACCCTACTCCCATTTTATATCTGTTCTGGAACTGCTGGATGAACTGAATCCTTCCAAAGAAAGTTAGAAACAATCCACTGGACTTTCAAAGTGAAAAGGCTTACTGGATGGGAAGAGAAACGTCTTCAAACATGGAAACAAAGTCCAGTGGATTGTTTTTGAACTTTTGGAATGACTCTGACCTGGATGACTGAGAATCTTCACCAACGAACTGAATCCTTGTTTTACTGAGACTGAGTTGGGATTAAAGCTCCTTTAGATTAGATAAATGGCATAAAGGAGAAGGAACGAGAGAAACCTAAGCAGAAAGTTCAAACTTTAATTAAAAAACTACAAAGATGGCCGAGTCCAGGATGAAGTGGAACGGAACCTGCCGATGCCACTTCACACTTACTCACTAATTGTCACCAAGGCAGCTTCTCCGGTCTGGTTTCAGTGACCAGTTGAATCCACCTTCAGGTGTAAGGAAGCAGAAACCCGGTCGGTTCTCTATGGTTTCCCACCCAGTTCCATTAACACCAGTTTTGAATGAAATCAAAAACTAAAAACCTCCTGTTTGGGTTTTAGGTTGAGCAGCTCTGTCGTCTTTATCAGCAGAAAAAAAAAAAAAAAAAAACATTTATTCCCTGTTTGGCTTTTTTCATCTTAATCTCCTTCTCTGGCAACTTGGAGGGCCACAAACACATCATGGAGCTTCAATAGAAACGGCAGAAATCATGTTCATATAACTGGGATATTTCAGAAAGGAGGAGAGATTCACAAATTTACAGGAATAAGTGAGGAGCTCTGGGAAAAGTCCCCCTCCAAAGCAACAGTACAGTGCCCCCTGCTGAAACCCTGTAATCCAAAAGGCTTTGAGTAGTTTTTGCAGAACAAAAACGAAGACACCTGGAGTTTGTGTTTCAATGGCTTATTTAAAGCTTTTAGGAAGTTTATGGTCCTCAGAGCAAAGCGTCCAGGCAGCTTCTCTCCTCCAGCTGAAACCAAACGCTGGATCGGGGCTTTGCATCACCACACGTCTATCCCTGCTCATTAGACACCAACCATAAACACACGGGTAATCGTTAGCTATTGCACAGGTCATGCACACCTGTCTAAGACACAGACTCCACCATAGTAATGACAAACACACCTGCTTCTACCTCATGGCTTATTAATGTCAAGAAATAGTTTAATTTTGTGCTGAACAGCATGGTGAACAACTACTGTTATGTTTGGACTACTTCTACTCTCAGAAAAACCCAAACTGTCCCTAAAGCTCCGCCCACATACCTTCATGCTTGGTTTTCAGGTAACGGTACCTGCCTGACTGGTTCCTCAGCCGTTGTCCACCACAGCCACACGGAAACGTTAACAGGTACTCGCTAAAGAGACAAACACTGTCAGTGAAGAACTACAAAAATGTCCGCTTGATTCCCAGTTCACCTCATGGGCAGCATCAGTGGGGGCGAGGACTGGGGGGGGGTTCCCGCTAACAGCTGTCTACCTGCGGGGGAAGTCGATGTGAAAATAACACAGGCTCAGTAACTTCCTCTTCCCCGCTCTTAAAGCTCTCCTTCTCGCCAGGCGGCCGCTTGGAAACGCCTGCATCTGTCCTCCCACTCTTCCTCCCCTCCTACCTCTCGCGCTCAGTCTCAATATCGCCCCCTGGCGGCTCACAGCAGGATTGAGCACCACTGTCCTCGGTCTCTGTCTCTTCACACGACTGTGCTGATGCGGCTGACGGGCTTTGATTTGGGACCTGCCCCCTGCCCGACCCCCGGCGGGTGTGGGGAGAGCGGGGCGGACGACGGGGGAGGTAAGGGGGAGTGCGGAGGGGGAGGCGGTATAGATGACAGGGGCGGGTACTGGGGCGTGTAGGGCTGTGGGGGCGTCTGGGTGAGGAGGCGCGCTGAGGGAGTCTGAGGTGGCGGGGTGGAGAAGACGAAGTGGGTGGAGCCTGTGGCGGAGGGGGACGGGCTGAGCGGGGAGTGTGTGTGAACGGCATGGTTGTGAGAGTGTGTGTGAGAGTGAGGGTGGGGCTGGGAGTGCGAGATGGTCAGAGGCAGCTTGGAGCCTCCGGCTGGTCGGCCCGGATGGTAGAGTCCATGTGGCGTAGTCGGGGTAACGGGGGAGTGAGGGGACAACGGCGGAGGGGTGGTGAATCCGGACGCCATGTTGTAGCGCGGGTGCTGGGCAGAGCCTTGATGCAGCCTCTGATGGGGCTGGGTGTGAGCAGGAGCGCACCCGGGCCGCGGGGGGGCGGAGAAGCGGTGGGACAGGGGGTGGTGCTGCATGTGGTAGCGGTGATGGTGATGGTAGGGGGGCGGCGGAGTCTGCTGCTGCTGGTGGCCACTGACTACGCCTCCTCCACTGTTGCCGTGGCAATACTGGGCGTGCAGAACCTGGAGCTTGGACGGTCCCCCTCCCGGACCTCCTCCCCCTCCAGCTCCGGCCGATTCCGACGAGCCGAGGTTGGGAGATGGGGAGGGGCATGGGGAAGGGGAGGAGGGGAGGGCGATGGGAGGCGCGGGGGCAGGGTAGTGGGGGGGTGAGGATATCATCAGAGGACTGGGTGGACCCTGAGGAGGTGGTGACATCATCGTCAGGGGACCAGGAACTTTGCCTCTTCGGCTGCCGAAGAAATTCCCCATTCGGGCTCCTGGAATCTGTCCGCCAACCCCCACTATCCCTCCGCCGCCCCCAGCCCCTACCCCGCTCACGAGAGGGGACGTAGCGACCCCTCTCTGGTTGTGACAGAGCCCCGGCCCACCCCCCACCCCTGTACCGGGGCTCTGAGTAGGGCGGTGTGGCCGGTAGGCTGCTGGAGACGAAGGAACCATTATGGGGCTGTAGGACAGATTGGCTCCCTGCAGGGGGCGCTGCTGGTGAGGCCGTGGACTGCTAATGATGGAACCCTGAGAGGAAGAAGAGTGGAAAACATGAGAGAAACACTGAGATGGTTTGATCTCAACCACAAACAAATGACTTCTATGGAAACAATCTTTATAACCACTGAACTTCTTCTCATAATGACACATTATGGCCGATTTTATGTCACAGATCAGGAACACGATAAAATGGAAGGTAGTGTTTTTGATCTCTGCCCCATTTACAGTGATATCCCCAAATAAAATCCGTGAAACTGATGTTTCTTTATAAACAGATTGTTTTATTGGAGTTAATAACCATAAAAGTAAAAAGCGCTGAGTTCAAATTTTTATACAATAGCCCAACAAATCCTTGTTTCTGTTTAGAAAACATGCAAATAGAAACGGATGAACGGGTCCCCCCCTTTGGAATGGGGGTCGTTAGGCCTCTTTGTTAGCCTGCAATGCCCCATACCTGTCTATGTCTCTGAAAGGGGGTCGTTAGAGGGAATGTTGGCCTGGATGAACAGGTGAGGTCTTTGTTCTCCTGTAAAGGAGGTTGGGGCTGCGATGATAGCAGGAAGGAATCAACTCTATCGCTGCATTGTAGGTTTTTGAAAGCTGGAATCTGAGTCCCCCCCCCCATGTTTAAGGTTGCTTTTTCTCTCTTAACATAGATGGCTTCCTTCCTCTCAAACCACCTGTCTTCTTTCTCCAAATGTGAACATTCTGGTCCTCCAAAGAATGTCCTTTGTCCATCAGGTTTAGATGTACCGATAAGGTCGCCCAACACAAAAAAGCAACCTCCTCGGTACAAGACTCACCATCCCTTCCCGCTATCATCACAGCCCCAACCCCTTTACAGGGGAACAAAGACCTCACCTATACAGACCAACAATTCCCTCTAACGACCCCCCTTTCAGAGACATAGACAGGTATGGGGCATTGCAGGCTAACAAAGAAGCCAAACGACCCCCATTCCAAAGGGGGGGACCCGTTCATCCGTTTCTATTTGCATGTTTTCTAAACTAAAACCAGGCTTTGTTGGGCTGCTGGATAAAACCTGGAACTAAACGCTATTTCTGACATTTTGGATTGAAAAAGCTTCCTGGATGGAAGAGAAACGTCTTCAAACTGGGAAACAAAGTCCAGAGGATTGATTTTAACTTTTTTAGATTGACTATAACCTGGATGACTGAGAACCTTCACCAGGAAGCCAGAAGGTTCGCCTTCCAGCTGAACAACGATCCTAAACGTACATCCAGAGCTGCATGTTTGTCTGTTGGAGTGATGTGTTCAAAGTCCAGGCAAACATCCTAAGAATCTGTTTCAAAACTTGAAGAGGCTCTCAGTCGGACCTGACTGGGCATGAGGAACCTCTGCTAGCTAAGCCTCTGGCTAAGCTGCTAGCAGCCTCAGCAGTCTGAAGTTTTAGCAGAAAGCGTGGCTTTACAAACTGTACATGCTCCTCCTTCCACTTCCTATTTGTCACTATTCTGTGCAGAAAATCCTGCAACACTTTCAGGTTTGGACTGCTGTAATAAAACAGAAAAGTTGGAAGTTTTTTTTTTATTATTCCAATGGATAAAAGACGATCTGGTGGAGATACTAGAGTTTCCTGATTCCTTGAAGATCAGATACCTGAAGAATGAAAATAAAGCATGCAGAGACCAGCAGAGCTCCACATACTGCAGCTTAGAAGGCAGCAACTCCATCTTTCTGCCTTTTTCTTCAACCATCTTTGTTTAAATTAATTTCTGTCAAACTGAAGAAGGTTTCTTTTTTTTAACTCTAGGAGACACAAACTAGACTCAAAAAGTCAAATCACTATTTTCTTCTTCTTAAATCCAGATCATTGGCCTTTAAGGTGCAGTATGATGAAGGTCTCTACTTCAACGGAGAGAATTATTATCTGGATGTTTCTGTAACAGAAACACTGAATATCAGAAACAGCTCAGATTTATTAAACTCATCCAGACGAGTTTTTACCCAGCAGGCAGTGAGGCATGCGACGGCGGTAGAACGGCAGACATGCATGTTAGTAGCCCCGCCCCCAAGAAGACTTACTTCAATGGTACTGTCCAATGAGCCCACACTGTTCCTACGACCTCGCTTCCCTGTTGTCCAATCAGAATGAGGCTGTTACTTTCATCAACAGGAAATGGTTAATCTGAAGAGATGCTGCATGTGTTTACAAAAGTAATCAAGTTTTTTTCCCTTTGTTAGCATTTATCTTAAGCTAGGAGGAGCTAACTGATGCTAAACTGAGTTTTTAGATGAGACCTTGATCAGTGTAATTGGAAAACAAACAAAGGAAACATTCAAATCACACTTCCTAGATCTGAATGAATGAAATATTCTCATTGAATACTTTGTTCTGTATGAAGCTTAACGCACCGACAACAAAATCAAACAAAAATCTTCAATGCAATCAAATTTATGAACCAACGAGCAGACCATAGCTTCAATGCCTTCATTCTGCAGGACCTGCTGACCCACTCCAGCCTCATGAGGTCTGGCAATGTCCCGCATTAGGAGGAACCCAGGACCACCAGAGGATGGTCTCACCAGGGCTCTGAGGATCTCATCTGGGTACCTAGTAGCAGTTATGCTACCTGTGGGGAGCACATGGAGGGCTGCGCAGCAACTGCTTTTATCTGTGAAGAGTGCAGAGGAGATCTTGGTGTTCTCTGGCATTTACCAAGCCACCTGCATAGTGTTGGGCCAGGAGCTCAACCCCCTTCTGTGGACACCAGGCCCTCATACCATCCTCATGGAGTCGATTTCTAACCATTTGTGCAGACTGATGCCCATGTTGGCCTGCTGGAGGGCAGTGTGTAGGGCTCTGGCAGTGCTCCTCCTGTTCCTCCTTGCACTAAGGCAGAGCTAGCCATCCTGCTGCTGGGTTGTTGACCTCCTACAGACTCCTCCTGTCTCCTGGTGTCCTGGCCTGTCTCCTGGTAGCGCCTCCACCCTCTGGCGACTACACTGATAGACACAGCAAACCTTCTTGCCCCAGCTGGCATTGATGCTCCATCCTGGATGAGCTGCACTACCTGAGCCACTTGAGCCCCCACCTGCAGAACCACTTCTTTATTGAGTGGGCCTTGCTAATTGCCAATAATTAACACCTGTTTTCCATTCCATTTGTACAACAACATGTGAAACTGATTGTCCATCAGTGCTGCTTCCTAAGTGGACAGTTTGACTTCACAGAAGTTTGATTTGATTGAAGTTATATCGGGTTGTTTATGTCTTCCTCTTGTTTTTGTTAGCCAAGTTTTTAGACCCTTAATCTACTTAAACTCAGCCCCGGCCCTTTAAGTCTTCCAGTGGATTAAAATTAAGATTATATGAGAATCACATGAAAATAGAAATACATATAACAATTTATTCCACCAAGGTAGAGCAAATGGTAGAGAGAGCAAACAATCCAAAGTTTAAAAAACCCCGATCTCTGTGGTGCTCCAGCTTTTAAACTAACCGACTCGTTGTCAGGTGGTGACTACTTCCTTAGTGAATCAATGAAATAAGAACGTTTAGTTTCCCACAAACAGTCGTATCTGTTAACAGCAGCTGTTTCCTATTTATGTGTCTCCTCTTGCTACGGGCTGGTTCCCCCCCCACCCCCAGACTCAACTAGAATAACAACTTTCTAACATCAGTGATGCTGGTGCTTAGTTGGGAAATATAAAAGTATAAATTGTCAAACCACAAAGAAAACTTTGTTCCCTATTTTATTCATAAATTAGTTTAGTTTTTATAAACATTAGTAGGTAGGAAATGCTTCCTCCTTCACTCAAAAACGTTTTGATATTTAGAAAAATATAAACAATCTTTCATTTCATGTAGAGATTAAAAAAACAGATGTCGATGATTAGAGTCTTTTTTCTGTTTTTCTATTGTCTAAAGTCTTAGCAAGGACCATTTTCCACCCCTTGGTGGGTCAAAACTGATCAATAAGGAAAAACCAAAATAATGTGTCTTAAAAAGCTGTGATGTAGTTCCTGCTGCTGTCCAGCAGGTGGAAGCACAGCACTAGAGCATCACTGGTGCTTTAACATTTTGGAGCATAATATGTTGCATAACAGAACAGATGTATGTTCACTGTGAGTCAGAACACATCAAAACGTCCTTCAGCAGAAAAAAGCCTGAACTGTATAATTCTTATTTCTTTGTTTCCAAAGACCAAACTGTTCTTGGAAACCAATCGAAGGGGCTATAAAGTAGATTAATGATTTTCCATTGGTCAAAAAGATGGTGACCAATAATGACTTTGTAAAACCTTCACAGCTGGAAATATTTGAAAGACGTTAAGCAGCTTAAACTATAAAAAATGAGGACGGGAGAACGACGACTAGGGTAGGTCTAGATGTTCAACATGGAGGTCTTACCCGTCTCTGAGAGATCTCTGAGGGAGGAGCTGAGCGCCGTGCGCTTGAGTCCGTCCACTGAGGCATATGTGTCATCGAGGCTTGGCCTTCCCAGGGTGCCGTTCACCACCTCACCCTTCATGGTTCCTCCTGCAGAGTTGGTCCCGCTCCCTGACATCCCCATCCCTCCTGATCCCGCCAGCATTCCAGGACGCATCATGCCTTTCTGCTTCTCCAGTTCAGCTGGAGGAATGAAAGCAGAAATCACAAAATAAACTTCCATACAGCCATTCTATACGCCAGGAATAAAAATAAAAACAATCTGCCTCTTTCAATCCCTCTTGGACAATCAGCCAGAGACAATCGCAGGCTAAAGTGCCTTATTGAAAGCCAAAGTGTATCCTAAACTGCCCTCAAGCGCCCTCTCGTTGGTAAAGAGCATGTGCTAAAGCACCCTCTCGGCGGTCAGGAGCATGTACTAAAGCGGCGTCTCGGTGGTCAGGAGCATGTACTAAAGCGCCATCTCGGCGGTCAGGAGCATGTACTAAAGCGCCCTCTCGACGGTCAGGAGCATGTACTAAAGCGCCCTCTCGGTGGTCAGGAGCATGTACTAAAGCGCCGTCTCGGCGGTCAGGAGCATGTACTAAAGCGCCCTCTCGACGGTCAGGAGCATTTGCTAAAGCGCCCTCTCGGCGGTCAGGAGCATGTACTAAAGCGCCCTCTCGGTGGTCAGGAGCATGTACTAAAGCGCCGTCTCGGCGGTCAGGAGCATGTACTAACGCGCCCTCTCGGTGGTCAGGAGCATTTGCTAAAGCGCCCTCTCGGCGGTCAGGAGCATGTACTAAAGCGCCCTATCGGTGGTCAGGAGCATGTACTAAAGCGCCGTCTCGGCGGTCAGGAGCATGTACTAAAGCGCCCTCTTGGTGGTAAAGAGCATGTGCTAAAGCACCTTCTCGGCGGTCAGGAGCATGTACTAAAGCGCCGTCTCGGCGGTCAGGAGCATGTACTAAAGCGCCCTCTCGACGGTCAGGAGCATGTACTAAAGCGCCCTCTCGACGGTCAGGAGCATGTACTAAAGCGCCCTCTCGGTGGTCAGGAGCATGTACTAAAGCGCCGTCTCGGCGGTCAGGAGCATGTACTAAAGCGCTGTCTCGGCGGTCAGGAGCATGTACTAAAGCGCCCTCTCGGTGGTCAGGAGCATGTACTAAAGCGCCGTCTCGGCGGTCAGGTGCATGTACTAAAGCGCCCTCTCGGTGGTCAGGAGCATTTGCTAAAGCGCCCTCTCGGCGGTCAGGAGCATTTGCTAAAGCGCCGTCTCGGTGGTCAGGAGCATGTGCTAAAGCGCCGTCTCGGCGGTCAGGAGCATGTGCTAAAGCGCCCTCTCGGTGGTAAAGAGCATGTGCTAAAGCGCCCTCTCGGCGGTCAGGAGCATGTGCTAAAGCGCCCTCTCGGTGGTCAGGAGCATGTACTAAAGCGCCGTCTCGGCGGTCAGGAGCATGTACTAAAGCGCCCTCTCGGTGGTAAAGAGCATGTGCTAAAGCGCCCTCTCGGCGGTCAGGAGCATGTGCTAAAGCGCCGTCTCGGTGGTCAGGAGCATGTACTAAAGCGCCCTCTCGACGGTCAGGAGCATGTACTAAAGCGCCCTCTCGACGGTCAGGAGCATGTACTAAAGCGCCGTCTCGGCGGTCAGGAGCATGTACTAAAGCGCCCTCTCGACGGTCAGGAGCATGTACTAAAGCGCCCTCTCGGCGGTCAGGAGCATGTACTAAAGAGCCCTCTCGGTGGTCAGGAGCATGTGCTAAAGCGCCTTCTCGGCGGTCAGCATGTACTAAAGCGCCCTCTCGGCGGTCAGGAGCATGTGCTAAAGCGCCCTCTCGGCGGTCAGGAGCATGTACTAAAGCGCCCTCTTGGCGGTCAGGAGCATTTGCTAAAGCACCCTCTCGGCGGTCAGGAGCATGTACTAAAGCGCCCTCTCGGCGTTCAAGAGCATGTACTAAAGCGCCCTCTCGGTGGTCAGGAGCATTTGCTAAAGCACCCTCTCGGCGGTCAGGAGCATGTACTAAAGTGCCCTCTCGGTGGTCAGGAGCATGTACTAAAGCGCCCTCTCGGCGTTCAAGAGCATGTACTAAAGCGCCCTCTCGGGGGTCAGGAGCATTTGCTAAAGCACCCTCTCGGCGGTCAGGAGCATGTGCTAAAGCGCCCTCTCGGTGGTCAGGAGCATTTGCTAAAGCGCCCTCTCTGTGGTCAGGAGCATTTGCTAAAGCGTCCTCTCGGCTGTCAGGAGCATTTACTAAAGCGCCCTCTCTGTGGTCAGGAGCATTTGCTAAAGCGCCCTATCAGCGGTCAGGAGCATGTGCTAAAGCGCCCTATCAGCGGTCAGGAGCATGTACTAAAGTGCCCTCTCGGCGTTCAAGAGCATGTACTAAAGCGCCCTCTCGGCGTTCAAGAGCATGTACTAAAGCGCCCTCTCGGGGGTCAGGAGCATTTGCTAAAGCACCCTCTCGGCGGTCAGGAGCATGTGCTAAAGCGCCCTCTCGGTGGTCAGGAGCATTTGCTAAAGCGCCCTCTCTGTGGTCAGGAGCATTTGCTAAAGCGTCCTCTCGGCGGTCAGGAGCATTTACTAAAGCGCCCTCTCTGTGGTCAGGAGCATTTGCTAAAGCGCCCTATCAGCGGTCAGGAGCATGTGCTAAAGCGCCCTATCAGCGGTCAGGAGCATGTGCTAAAGCGCCCTCTCGGTGGTCAGGAGCATTTGCTAAAGCGCCCTCTCGGTGGTCAGGAGCATTTGCTAAAGCGCCCTCTCTGCGGTCAGGAGCATGTGCTTAAGCGCCCTCTCGGTGGTCAGGAGCATTTGCTAAAGCGCCCTCTCGGTGGTCAGGAGCATGTGCTAAAGCGCCCTCTCGGTGGTCAAGAGCATGTACTAAAGCGCCCTCTCGGCGGTCAGGAGCATTTGCTAAAGAGCCCTCTCGGTGGTCAGGAGCATGTACTAAAGCGCCCTCTCGGCGGTCAGGAGCATTTGCTAAAGAGCCCTCTCGGTGGTCAGGAGCATGTACTAAAGCGCCCTCTCAGTGGTCAAGAGCATGTACTAAAGCGCCCTCTCGGCGGTCAGGAGCATTTGCTAAAGAGCCCTCTCGGCGGTCAGGAGCATGTACTAAAGCGCCCTCTCGGTGGTCAAGAGCATGTACTAAAGCGCCCTCTCGGCGGTCAGGAGCATTTGCTAAAGAGCCCTCTCGGTGGTCAGGAGCATGTACTAAAGCGCCCTCTCAGTGGTCAGGAGCATGTGCTAAAGCGCCCTCTCGGTGGTCAGGAGCATGTGCTAAAGCGCCCTCTCGGTGGTCAAGAGCATGTACTAAAGCGCCCTCTCGGCGGTCAGGAGCATTTGCTAAAGCGTCCTCTCGGCGGTCAGGAGCATTTACTAAAGCGCCCTCTCTGTGGTCAGGAGCATTTGCTAAAGCGCCCTATCAGCGGTCAGGAGCATGTGCTAAAGCGCCCTATCAGCGGTCAGGAGCATGTGCTAAAGCGCCCTCTCGGTGGTCAGGAGCATTTGCTAAAGCGCCCTCTCGGTGGTCAGGAGCATTTGCTAAAGCGCCCTCTCTGCGGTCAGGAGCATGTGCTTAAGCGCCCTCTCGGTGGTCAGGAGCATTTGCTAAAGCGCCCTCTCGGTGGTCAGGAGCATGTGCTAAAGCGCCCTCTCGGTGGTCAAGAGCATGTACTAAAGCGCCCTCTCGGCGGTCAGGAGCATTTGCTAAAGAGCCCTCTCGGTGGTCAGGAGCATGTACTAAAGCGCCCTCTCGGCGGTCAGGAGCATTTGCTAAAGAGCCCTCTCGGTGGTCAGGAGCATGTACTAAAGCGCCCTCTCAGTGGTCAAGAGCATGTACTAAAGCGCCCTCTCGGCGGTCAGGAGCATTTGCTAAAGAGCCCTCTCGGCGGTCAGGAGCATGTACTAAAGCGCCCTCTCGGTGGTCAAGAGCATGTACTAAAGCGCCCTCTCGGCGGTCAGGAGCATTTGCTAAAGAGCCCTCTCGGTGGTCAGGAGCATGTACTAAAGCGCCCTCTCAGTGGTCAGGAGCATGTGCTAAAGCGCCCTCTCGGTGGTCAAGAGCATGTGCTAAAGCGCCCTCTCGGCGGTCAGGAGCATGTACTAAAGCGCCCTCTCGGCGGTCAGGAGCATGTGCTAAAGCGCCCTCTCGGCGGTCAGGAGCATGTACTAAAGCGCCCTCTTGGCGGTCAGGAGCATTTGCTAAAGCACCCTCTCGGCGGTCAGGAGCATGTACTAAAGCGCCCTCTCGGCGTTCAAGAGCATGTACTAAAGCGCCCTCTCGGTGGTCAGGAGCATTTGCTAAAGCACCCTCTCGGCGGTCAGGAGCATGTACTAAAGTGCCCTCTCGGTGGTCAGGAGCATGTACTAAAGCGCCCTCTCGGCGTTCAAGAGCATGTACTAAAGCGCCCTCTCGGGGGTCAGGAGCATTTGCTAAAGCACCCTCTCGGCGGTCAGGAGCATGTGCTAAAGCGCCCTCTCGGTGGTCAGGAGCATTTGCTAAAGCGCCCTCTCTGTGGTCAGGAGCATTTGCTAAAGCGTCCTCTCGGCTGTCAGGAGCATTTACTAAAGCGCCCTCTCTGTGGTCAGGAGCATTTGCTAAAGCGCCCTATCAGCGGTCAGGAGCATGTGCTAAAGCGCCCTATCAGCGGTCAGGAGCATGTACTAAAGTGCCCTCTCGGCGTTCAAGAGCATGTACTAAAGCGCCCTCTCGGCGTTCAAGAGCATGTACTAAAGCGCCCTCTCGGGGGTCAGGAGCATTTGCTAAAGCACCCTCTCGGCGGTCAGGAGCATGTGCTAAAGCGCCCTCTCGGTGGTCAGGAGCATTTGCTAAAGCGCCCTCTCTGTGGTCAGGAGCATTTGCTAAAGCGTCCTCTCGGCGGTCAGGAGCATTTACTAAAGCGCCCTCTCTGTGGTCAGGAGCATTTGCTAAAGCGCCCTATCAGCGGTCAGGAGCATGTGCTAAAGCGCCCTATCAGCGGTCAGGAGCATGTGCTAAAGCGCCCTCTCGGTGGTCAGGAGCATTTGCTAAAGCGCCCTCTCGGTGGTCAGGAGCATTTGCTAAAGCGCCCTCTCTGCGGTCAGGAGCATGTGCTTAAGCGCCCTCTCGGTGGTCAGGAGCATTTGCTAAAGCGCCCTCTCGGTGGTCAGGAGCATGTGCTAAAGCGCCCTCTCGGTGGTCAAGAGCATGTACTAAAGCGCCCTCTCGGCGGTCAGGAGCATTTGCTAAAGAGCCCTCTCGGTGGTCAGGAGCATGTACTAAAGCGCCCTCTCGGCGGTCAGGAGCATTTGCTAAAGAGCCCTCTCGGTGGTCAGGAGCATGTACTAAAGCGCCCTCTCAGTGGTCAAGAGCATGTACTAAAGCGCCCTCTCGGCGGTCAGGAGCATTTGCTAAAGAGCCCTCTCGGCGGTCAGGAGCATGTACTAAAGCGCCCTCTCGGTGGTCAAGAGCATGTACTAAAGCGCCCTCTCGGCGGTCAGGAGCATTTGCTAAAGAGCCCTCTCGGTGGTCAGGAGCATGTACTAAAGCGCCCTCTCAGTGGTCAGGAGCATGTGCTAAAGCGCCCTCTCGGTGGTCAGGAGCATGTGCTAAAGCGCCCTCTCGGTGGTCAAGAGCATGTACTAAAGCGCCCTCTCGGCGGTCAGGAGCATTTGCTAAAGCGTCCTCTCGGCGGTCAGGAGCATTTACTAAAGCGCCCTCTCTGTGGTCAGGAGCATTTGCTAAAGCGCCCTATCAGCGGTCAGGAGCATGTGCTAAAGCGCCCTATCAGCGGTCAGGAGCATGTGCTAAAGCGCCCTCTCGGTGGTCAGGAGCATTTGCTAAAGCGCCCTCTCGGTGGTCAGGAGCATTTGCTAAAGCGCCCTCTCTGCGGTCAGGAGCATGTGCTTAAGCGCCCTCTCGGTGGTCAGGAGCATTTGCTAAAGCGCCCTCTCGGTGGTCAGGAGCATGTGCTAAAGCGCCCTCTCGGTGGTCAAGAGCATGTACTAAAGCGCCCTCTCGGCGGTCAGGAGCATTTGCTAAAGAGCCCTCTCGGTGGTCAGGAGCATGTACTAAAGCGCCCTCTCGGCGGTCAGGAGCATTTGCTAAAGAGCCCTCTCGGTGGTCAGGAGCATGTACTAAAGCGCCCTCTCAGTGGTCAAGAGCATGTACTAAAGCGCCCTCTCGGCGGTCAGGAGCATTTGCTAAAGAGCCCTCTCGGCGGTCAGGAGCATGTACTAAAGCGCCCTCTCGGTGGTCAAGAGCATGTACTAAAGCGCCCTCTCGGCGGTCAGGAGCATTTGCTAAAGAGCCCTCTCGGTGGTCAGGAGCATGTACTAAAGCGCCCTCTCAGTGGTCAGGAGCATGTGCTAAAGCGCCCTCTCGGTGGTCAAGAGCATGTGCTAAAGCGCCGTCTCGGCGGTCAGGAGCATGTGCTAAAGCGCCCTCTCGGTGGTCAAGAGCATGTGCTAAAGCGCCCTCTCGGCGGTCAGCATGTACTAAAGCGCCCTCTCGGCGGTCAGGAGCATGTGCTAAAGCGCCCTCTCGGCGGTCAGGAGCATGTACTAAAGCGCCCTCTTGGCGGTCAGGAGCATTTGCTAAAGCACCCTCTCGGCGGTCAGGAGCATGTACTAAAGCGCCCTCTCGGCGTTCAAGAGCATGTACTAAAGCGCCCTCTCGGTGGTCAGGAGCATTTGCTAAAGCACCCTCTCGGCGGTCAGGAGCATGTACTAAAGTGCCCTCTCGGTGGTCAGGAGCATGTACTAAAGCGCCCTCTCGGCGTTCAAGAGCATGTACTAAAGCGCCCTCTCGGGGGTCAGGAGCATTTGCTAAAGCACCCTCTCGGCGGTCAGGAGCATGTGCTAAAGCGCCCTCTCGGTGGTCAGGAGCATTTGCTAAAGCGCCCTCTCTGTGGTCAGGAGCATTTGCTAAAGCGTCCTCTCGGCTGTCAGGAGCATTTACTAAAGCGCCCTCTCTGTGGTCAGGAGCATTTGCTAAAGCGCCCTATCAGCGGTCAGGAGCATGTGCTAAAGCGCCCTATCAGCGGTCAGGAGCATGTACTAAAGTGCCCTCTCGGCGTTCAAGAGCATGTACTAAAGCGCCCTCTCGGCGTTCAAGAGCATGTACTAAAGCGCCCTCTCGGGGGTCAGGAGCATTTGCTAAAGCACCCTCTCGGCGGTCAGGAGCATGTGCTAAAGCGCCCTCTCGGTGGTCAGGAGCATTTGCTAAAGCGCCCTCTCTGTGGTCAGGAGCATTTGCTAAAGCGTCCTCTCGGCGGTCAGGAGCATTTACTAAAGCGCCCTCTCTGTGGTCAGGAGCATTTGCTAAAGCGCCCTATCAGCGGTCAGGAGCATGTGCTAAAGCGCCCTATCAGCGGTCAGGAGCATGTGCTAAAGCGCCCTCTCGGTGGTCAGGAGCATTTGCTAAAGCGCCCTCTCGGTGGTCAGGAGCATTTGCTAAAGCGCCCTCTCTGCGGTCAGGAGCATGTGCTTAAGCGCCCTCTCGGTGGTCAGGAGCATTTGCTAAAGCGCCCTCTCGGTGGTCAGGAGCATGTGCTAAAGCGCCCTCTCGGTGGTCAAGAGCATGTACTAAAGCGCCCTCTCGGCGGTCAGGAGCATTTGCTAAAGAGCCCTCTCGGTGGTCAGGAGCATGTACTAAAGCGCCCTCTCGGCGGTCAGGAGCATTTGCTAAAGAGCCCTCTCGGTGGTCAGGAGCATGTACTAAAGCGCCCTCTCAGTGGTCAAGAGCATGTACTAAAGCGCCCTCTCGGCGGTCAGGAGCATTTGCTAAAGAGCCCTCTCGGCGGTCAGGAGCATGTACTAAAGCGCCCTCTCGGTGGTCAAGAGCATGTACTAAAGCGCCCTCTCGGCGGTCAGGAGCATTTGCTAAAGAGCCCTCTCGGTGGTCAGGAGCATGTACTAAAGCGCCCTCTCAGTGGTCAGGAGCATGTGCTAAAGCGCCCTCTCGGTGGTCAGGAGCATGTGCTAAAGCGCCCTCTCGGTGGTCAAGAGCATGTACTAAAGCGCCCTCTCGGCGGTCAGGAGCATTTGCTAAAGCGTCCTCTCGGCGGTCAGGAGCATTTACTAAAGCGCCCTCTCTGTGGTCAGGAGCATTTGCTAAAGCGCCCTATCAGCGGTCAGGAGCATGTGCTAAAGCGCCCTATCAGCGGTCAGGAGCATGTGCTAAAGCGCCCTCTCGGTGGTCAGGAGCATTTGCTAAAGCGCCCTCTCGGTGGTCAGGAGCATTTGCTAAAGCGCCCTCTCTGCGGTCAGGAGCATGTGCTTAAGCGCCCTCTCGGTGGTCAGGAGCATTTGCTAAAGCGCCCTCTCGGTGGTCAGGAGCATGTGCTAAAGCGCCCTCTCGGTGGTCAAGAGCATGTACTAAAGCGCCCTCTCGGCGGTCAGGAGCATTTGCTAAAGAGCCCTCTCGGTGGTCAGGAGCATGTACTAAAGCGCCCTCTCGGCGGTCAGGAGCATTTGCTAAAGAGCCCTCTCGGTGGTCAGGAGCATGTACTAAAGCGCCCTCTCAGTGGTCAAGAGCATGTACTAAAGCGCCCTCTCGGCGGTCAGGAGCATTTGCTAAAGAGCCCTCTCGGCGGTCAGGAGCATGTACTAAAGCGCCCTCTCGGTGGTCAAGAGCATGTACTAAAGCGCCCTCTCGGCGGTCAGGAGCATTTGCTAAAGAGCCCTCTCGGTGGTCAGGAGCATGTACTAAAGCGCCCTCTCAGTGGTCAGGAGCATGTGCTAAAGCGCCCTCTCGGTGGTCAAGAGCATGTGCTAAAGCGCCCTCTCGGCGGTCAGGAGTATTTGCTAAAGAGCCCTCTCGGCGGTCAGGAGCATGTGCTAAAGAGCCCTCTCGGTAGCAAAAAGCACACTTAAGCGCCCTCTTTGGAATCAAATCCCGCTAAATGCTAACCAGGATTTAAGACTGACTCCAGTCACACATTCAGACTACTAATTTCCACCTATAACTGTTATATTATCTAGTTACCACTAATTAACACTGCCTATCTGCAGATATTTATGATGATTACCAAAAAGCATTTCAGGTTTTAAGCTAAGTGAAAATCTACATATCGTTAATAATTTTAGCTACCACAAATAACTTTTCTTAGCAGAAGGAGATGAGTTTTCCTTATTTCACACTTGAGGGTAACAGTTATGCCCCCATTATTGTTGTTGCATTAGCGGGCATTGCTAGCGTGTTCATTTTAGTTTTAGCATGCTAGGTCAGCTTAAAGCCCAGCACATCTATATCATTTGCTGTATTTTGGTCAAACTAACTTTAAAGGTGCTAAAAGCTTCTTCACCACTTGATGTTAATGATAATATTTTGAAATTATTATTGTCAAAATGCCACATATTTTCCCCTGCATGTTTTAGAGACCTAGCACCTGCAGCAGACCCTTCTAGCTGTGCTGTGACAGAAATGCTTACACTCCACCCGGTACTTCTCCATCTCCTGCACCTCTGTGATGCTCTCTCGCAGGTCGGACGTGAATCGGGCTCGGTCCTGCTGACTTGGCGCTGTGAAGATGATCAACACCTTCCTCTCTCCTCCTGGATTTGCTGACGTCAGCCGGATACCATGAGGGTAGTCTAAGCAGGAAGAACGGGCAACATGTTACGAAACATCGGAAATCCTCAACAACTTTTCAAAGAGCTTCTAAAGTTTCTCCCAAGCTGAGAGAAGATAGAAATGGTTGATTTGTGTGGAACTCACAGTCTGGGGGGATTTACCATTAGGCAATACTAGGCAGTTACCTAGGGCCCCAAGTTCCTGGGGGCCCCATAAAACTCTGTTTCCATGTACAGTTAATACAAATATTCATTATTTGTTTACATTAATTATGTTTTTGATAAAAATCCTTTGGCTAAAATGTCATCAGAATGATTATAATGTTAAGTCTCAGCACCCCCCCCCCCCCCCCCCCCTTCAGTGTCCACCATATTGGATCAGTCCATTTGCTGCACATGTTCAGAAAGGTCCAAACAGACAGCAGCAAACCATTTGAAAACAAACCATGCAAAGAGCAGTGTTGCCAACTTAGCGCTTTAGTCGCTATATTTAGCCACTTTTCAGACCCCTCTAGCACTTTGATTTCTAAAAAGCTCCTAGCGCCAAATCTAGAGACTTTTTTCTGCTACTGGAGACTTTGGAGACAACATCTAAAAGCAGCGAACTCTGCTCTCCAGAGCGAGTAGATTGGTAACCCCGCCTCCTGCTCTCCTCTATCTTGTCTGCTGTCATGATTCATGCAGCTATTATTTCATCCAAATGAAAAATGGAGAACAGAGAAGCAGATCATGGCTTGTCTACAGTGAAAAGAAGGACTGGGTTATTTACTTTGGCCTTTTTGGAAACACAGGAAGGAGCAATCAGCTAAGTGAGCTTAGTGCTTGGAAAAAATCTTTCATTCCTTTAGAGACAGCATGAAAAGTCAGCTGAGTACAAAACATAGAGAGGAAAACAAGAAGAAAAGGGACAAGAAGAGAGGGACACAACCTAGAACAGATAATGGATGTCTATTCTATTAACATTTCTCTATCTGTAGCATGAGATGGATGATCATGACTGACACCCCTTCCAGATAGAAATTGCATGTTGGTGCTGAGCCATTTGTACTGTGGAATAGATCCCCCCCCCCCAGGATGCCTTTTCATCAGGCCACTGATTTCATATCAAAGCTCTCAATAAAAACCCTCACAGGCTGTGCTCTGATTGGTGGATCCATGCAGCAGGAGGAGGGAGGACTGATATGATTGGACGGTTGGACGGTCGTTCATTAAACTTCTCTCATAAAGTCACTTCTCTGATGGCAGCGTGCCAATCACAGAGCTGGCAGCTCCTTTTATCTGCCTACCAACTGAACAGAAATAAAACAGGGAATTCCCACTAACTGAGCAGATCTCAGGTTTCTCTCATCAGGAATCCATTAGATGCATGATTCTGGACAGGACCAGAAGGTTTCCCTTCTAGCCAAACATGTTGCCAAATCCAAGGCGCTGCAGCTAAACCAGATAGAGCTTCTACTTATGAAGATCATCTCCGCTCATCGTCAGCCTGTCGATAATGGAAGCAGAGCCATGAAGGATGACTCGACCTCCCCCCAGTCACAGCCATCGCCACGCTGCCAGGTCCCATTGGGTCCTGCTGCTGAACCACAACCGTCCCCGACTACAGCATCCTGATATGACGGAGATGATGTCATGGATTCCTCGGCCCAGCGCCGTGACAACAGGCAGCGGCTGATCTGAGCGATGAGTGAAGCTCTGAACGATTGGAGGGAAACACCAGGAACCTGAGCAGAACTTCCGAATCTGAATCCTTCCTGGATTTTCTCAGCTTTACTTTGATTATAAAGAAGCTTCTGTTCAACATCACAGAGTTTCTGCATCGGACTGAGCAGAACCTGAAGGAGCAGCGGCTGCTTTCAGATGATGGAACGGAGATGAGAAGGCAGGGTTCTGCAGGAAGTCTGACGGGTTCAGGTTTGTTCTCAGGATCACATTCCTGATCTGCTGCAGCTCCCAGATCTGCTCGGGTCCTGCTTCATGCCAGTGACGTTACGCTACATGATTGGCTGAACGTTGCCACACAATGTGAAACATTGTGGTTGCCCTGACAACAATAATAACATAACGCAGCGTCCGCGTGCCGACTCCCAACTTACGCCTTTTACAGCTGATTTTTCTATGTCTGCTTCTGTCTCCTTGAACGCCAGTGGGCCACAGCAGATGGCCGCTCACACTGAGCCTGGTTCTGCTGGAGGTTTCTTCCTGTTCAAAGGGAGTTTTTCCTCTCCACTGTCGCTACAAGCATGCTTAGTGTGAGGGATTGCTGAAGAGTCAATGAGTCGATGCAATCAGCTGGTTTTCCTTAGATAGAAACCTTTGAATCAATCTGACTGGATGATCTGGTGAACTGGAAAGTGACCTGAGATGACATGATGTGAATTGGAGCTATAGAAATAAACTGAATAGAATTGAATTATTGTTGTCATGGCAACCACAATGTGTTACATCATGTGGCAACGTTCAGCTCACTTCAATCTGCCTTTTCTCCACCTAAATAGAAAACCGTATTTTATCCGAATTTCTGGGTGATTTTCTTTCACTGATTCCAACATCATCCGTCTCTTACAGACGTATGTTTCAAAGTGACTCCCGCTGGAACGTCACCTAAAGTTAAACGCTGCGTCATGGTGAGAAATCTGCTGTTTAAACAATAAAAACACTTCAGAGAAAATAAAACAAATAGACATTAGAAAGTTTTTTTTAGTTTCTACTGTTTCAGTAGGAAAAACCTGAAGTTGTTGTGTATTGTGGTCATTATGGAGGAATTCAGCCATTCACTGTAAGCAAAGCTACGTTCATCTTGAATCACAGCCTCATTATGATGATCTATGTTAGAACAGCACAAACAATACTAAAAGAATAAAGAATATAGACTATAACACTGGCAAACACCCATTAGAGACGTCTTTAGAAAAGAACTGAGTTCATTTTCTTATTTTCATATTTTCTTGCATTTTCTAACCTTATCCAGTTCAACTGGAAATAGATTACAGTAGCAGCCATTAAAAATGGTCCTTCCCAGTAAAAAAAAACAGCCAAATGGCAGCAAAATCCCCTCCAACTTCCTGCCACTGCGGTGACCCCCTCATGCACCCTTTCACTAAATTACAGGGTCTGACCAGCAGATGGCGCTTCTCTTTAGATCTTGTCCACAAATCATGACAGAAAGAATATTTTAGTACAAAGATTGATGTGAAAAAAAAAAAGGAATTAAAGGGAAGCAGCCAAGGGAGGAGCCAATGGAAACCCTCCAGGAGAGACGGCTTAAAGACGCAGAGTTCTGCTGCAGAACTGCCTTCATCAGAATCCAGTTGGTCAGCAGGAACACTGCTGGTTGTTATGGTGACCAGATGGATCAAAATCAAACGGATCAGAACCAGATAGATCAGAACCGGATTGAACAGAACCAGACTCATCAGAACCAAACGGATCAGAACCACAGAACCTTCAGGTGAACCAGTGGTACCTACAGGTGTTCTGGAAGGTGTGGACCTGCATGTCGAGCAGAGGAAACGACTGCCTGAAACTGTACGTCACCGACGTCTTCTTCTTCTGGAAGATCTTCGTTACCTGAGGAGGAAGAGGAGGAGGAATCTTATAAATAAGATTGATTTTATTATAAATAAGATCATTAGCACTCCTCTATCCGCGATTGGTTTGTCTCTTGAGGGGGGGGGCCGCATCTGAGGTAGTCATGGAATCTGAACCGGGTTTAGACTGCTTTGATCCAGTTGAACTTTCTGAATTAGCAAAACTATTGTCTTCATCTAAGCCTTCAACTTGTATGTTAGATCCAGTTCCAACCAGGTTATTTAAGGAGGTATTCCCTTTGATCTCCTCCTCCATTTTAGATGTGATTAATCTATCTCTGTTACAGGGATATGTACCTAAAGCTTTTAAGGTTGCAGTAATTAAACCTCTGCTTAAGAAACCGTCTCTTGACCCAGATGACTTGGTCAATTATAGACCTATATCCAATCTTCCTTTCTGATCCAAAATTCTTGAGAAAGTAGTTGCCAATCAAGTGTGCGATCACTTACACCATAATGAACTTTTTGAAGAGTTTCAGTCTGGCTTTAGAGCTCATCATAGCACTGAAACAGCTCTGGTGAAAGTCACTAATGATATTCTCATGGCCTCAGATAATGGACTTGTATCTGTGCTCGTCCTGTTGGATCTTAGTGCTGCATTTGATACAGTTGACCATAATATTCTTTTAGAAAGACTTGAATATTTTGTTGGAATTAAAGGAACAGCATTAGACTGGTTTAAATCTTATCTATCTGATCGATTTCAGTTTGTTCATGTTAATGATAGATCTTCAACACGCTCAAAGGTTACCTGTGGAGTACCACAGGGATCAGTGCTAGGACCAATTCTCTTTACTTTATACATGCTCCCAATTGGTAGAATTATTAGACAGCATGGGATTAATTTCCACTGTTATGCTGATGATACCCAGCTATATCTGTCTATAATCCAGATGAAGCTAACCCATTACATAGATTACAGGCATGTCTTGAAGACATAAAAACCTGGATGACTCTAAACTTTCTGCTTCTGAATGCAGACAAAACAGAAGTTATAGTCTTTGGACCAGAGTCTCTGAAAAAGAAGCTGATTAGTCAGTCACTTCATCTGGATGGGATTAAACTGATTTCAGATAATAAAGTAAAAAATCTTGGTGTTATTTTTGATCAGGACCTGTCATTTAAATCCCAGATCAAAGAGGTTTCTAGAATTTCCTTCTTTCATCTGAGGAACATTGCAAAAATGAGCAATCTCCTGTCCAGGGGTGATGCTGAGAAACTAGTCCATGCATTTGTTACTTCAAGGCTGGACTATTGTAATTCTTTACTATCAGGAAGTCCACAAACTGTAGTTAAAAGCCTTCAGCTGATCCAAAATGCTGCAGCCAGAGTTCTGATGAAAATGAAAAAGAGAGATCATATCTCGCCTATCCTGGCTTCTCTTCATTGGCTTCCTGTTAAATCCAGAATAGAATTTAAAATCCTCCTTCTCACATATAAAGCCTTAAATGGCCAAGCTCCATCTGATATCAGAGATCTGATTGTTCCTACCATGAGCAGGTCATTGAACAGGAAGACTTCTCTCTGGTGGACGCCGCTCCTCTGAGCTCGGTTTGGATCTGGAACCTCGAACAGCTGACAGCAGCACACCAGCCTGCGGTGCGGCAGCGACAGAACCTGCAGCACAGACAGTTTGAGCTGCTCCAGGAGGAACCAGATCCTTCTTCATCACAAAACAGCACATTTTGGTTTCATGATGTAAACAGTTAAACCGGTTCAGGGTCTTACTGGTTTCTTGCCGACAACCATCCTCTCCACTGCCTGGACCTGAGACACGTGGTCATCATTGGTCCTCAGCTCCCACTTCTGGATCCGTCCGTAGATGGCCACCAGCAGGTCTCTGGGGATGTCCTGACCGTTATCCACACCTGGAGGACACCAACCATTAGACTCCCACAGAAACACAGCATTAATATTTACACTCAGTTTCAGGGATAGAAGTTTATTCTATGAATCTGGACTGAAAACGGAAAGAAGAGCTGGAGGATGATGATGATAATGATGATGAAGATGATGATGATAATGGAAGATGATGATGATGAAGATGACATTTTTTTTCTTTTCTTTTTTTTTACAGTGTCCTGTCTGGCAAGGTGGCAATAAGAATAATTGTCTTGATGCCAAAAGGAGCCCAACAGATTTTACTTTCACAAGTGTAGCGGTATCGCAATTGCCATACCGCTCCACTTGTTTCATGCATATAAATTGCTTTATTATAATTATGCAGGGAGTTTTACAGTTCATATGGACACTGCAATGTAAGTAGAGCAGAAAAACAGAAGAAGAAGAAGTAAAAAGAAGAAGAAAAGAAAACAGGACAAAAGATGAAAGAAAGAGGAGATAGGAAGGAGACAATGACAAAACATTTTCAGTCTGCTTCATCACCTGTAATGAGATGGAAAAAAAAAAAAAAAAAAAAGAACAGCACAACCAAAAGACATGGTACGAGATATACAATAAAGCAAACACCTTGAAACTATCGCTAAAGTAATATTATTAAGTCTGACATGTACTCTGTGTTACCTGAAGATATGAATGTGGGGTTTCTGTTTGGAAGTGAATCTCTAAGTACCTGAAGCCTAGCACCTGTAGTTGTTTGTGAGGGTGAACTTGTGCATGTAAAGTTTTAACCATAGAAAAAAATGCTCAATAGTGGTTGTGGAGAGCCGGAGAGGCACACCCCCCAGAGCACTGAGTCCAGCGCCGGGAGACCCAAAGCCCCAGGCGCCCAAGGGGACCCCAGAAGCGAAGGCACCAAGGCGGGGCCAGCCCCGGAAATCAGACCCCCACCAAGGCAGGAGGAGAGACAGCCACGAAGAAGCCCCCCAGCCACCGCCATGCCGGCGCCCTGGGGAGCCGCGGGGACGAGTCCGCGGGCCCCGCCGGCAGCCGGCCACCCCGAAGTAGGGCCCCCGGCCGGGGCCCATGCGCATCCGCCGCGAACCGGCCGGCGCAAACCACCCCCCACAAACCGCAAACCACAAGAAGAGCAGACCGCAGCCGGCGCAACCACCCCCCCCAGCAGCCCAAGGGGCAGCACAAAGCCAGAGCGGAGCGAACCGCGCCACCCCCCCACCGGACGAAGCCAAAGCAGCTCAGCCACGTCCGCCGCCCCCCCCCCCGCCGCCCGCACCAGGCCCTGACACACGGCCAGAGCAGCTCCGCCGCCCCGGCCCCCCACCACGCGCCGGCCATAGCCACTCCAGGCCCCCACCCGCCCCGCAGCCCCACCCGCCGCGATCAGCGGGAACAGAGCAGCCCCGCCATGCCTCCAGGAGGGAAAACCCACCTGAATACCTAGCCAGCGCAGCCAGCCCACCCAGACCGGCCCCCCAACACCACCCCCCGCCGGAGCCGGCCGGACCCCCACATACCAGCGGCGCGCCGCCAGCAGGACCCCCACCCAGCAGGCCCGCCCGCCCCCCGAGAAAACAGACATGCCAAACCCCCCCCCAAAAAAAAAAAAATTTAATTAAAAAAAAAAAAAAAAAAAAAAAAAAAACAGCGGACACCAGACACCGACCCGCAACCGCTCCCCCCCACCGAGGAAGAGAAAAAAAAAAAAACATAGGTAAATACATAAATTAATTGATAAATTAATAATTACAATTAAAATAAATAGGCAAGAGGAGAAGTGCGAGCGGAAAAACCGGAGCCCAAAACAGGACCCAAGACCCGCACCCCACCATGCCGTGCAGCTCCCCCCCCCCCGAACCGGTACCACAGAACCGGCACAGGAAAGAAACACCGCCCAGGAACCGGCATCGTAGCGAAGGCACCGACCCCGAAGATCCCCGAACAACACCCAGCCCCACCCCGAAGCAGATCCAGTCCCAGGCCCCAGGGATCCGAGGCCCCAAGGGCACCCGATCCCCAGACGGGAGCCCCAGCAAAGCCCCGGCCGGCCGGGGCCAGCGGAGAGGCCGCCAGGAATGAGCCAGCAGTCCCCCGGTCATCCACCCCCAGCTCCACCAGTGCACCGGTGAGCCCCGACGCCAGCCAGCGGAGGGAGAGCAGGACGGGGGGAATGGGCTCCGCACTTAGCGGAGACTTGAGATGTATTTGGAGAGGGTGCGGTTGAGACCCCAACCTGGGAAAAAAAAAAAAAAAAAAAAAAACACACACCATCTCATTCATGCCTTCCCTCCCTAGTGCCCCCACTCGTACCACAAGGAAAAAAAAAAACAAAAAAAAAAACAATAATAATAAATAAATAAATAAATAAAAAAAATAAAAAAAATAAAAATTGAATAAAATAATAATAAATAAAGAAAATCACAACGCGGACACACATTCACACATAACACTCACATCCAATAATACCAGGACCAAAAACCCGGCGACACCGGTGGTCGGTCCCGGGACTATCGGATGACCCCATAAGTGAACCTAAAATCCGGATGTGAGGGGAGGGGAGCGGCGACACCGCCACACCAACCCATCTCTTTCCTGCTTCAAGCCCGGCCCCCCACCCCGCACACGGACCGGACCGCCCCCAGCAAGAGCCCCCCCCGGGACCGGGGCCCACCCATCCCGCGCCGGCCACCCAACCAGAACCGCCCCCCCAAGGAAAGAAAAAAAAACTTCAACCAGGCATGAAGTGATGAATATCATCATGAAGATGATATTGATGGATGATGAAGATGGATGATGAAGATGATGGACGATGAAGATGATAATGATGATGAAGAAGATGGACGATGAAGATGATATTGATGGATGATGAAGATGGATGATGAAGATGATGGACGATGAAGATGATGGACGATGAAGAGGATGATGTTGAAGATGATGATTATGAAGATGATGGACGATGAAGATGATAATAATGGGTGATGATGAAGATGGATGATGAAGATGATGGACGATGAAGATGATGGACGATGAAGATGATATTGATGATGAAGATGATGGACGATGAAGATGATGGACGATGAAGATGATATTGATGGATGATGAAGATGGATGATGAAGATGATGGACGATGAAGATGATAATGATGATGAAGATGATGGACGATGAAGATGATGGACGATGAAGATGATGATGGTGATGATGAAGATGGACGATGAAGATGATGGACGATCAAGATGATGATGAAGATGGATGATGAAGATGATGGATGAAGATGATGGATGATGAAGATGATGGATGATGAAGATGATGGATGATGAAGATGATGGATGATGAAGATGATATTGATGATGAAGATGATATTGATGATGAAGATGATGGACGATGAAGATGATGGATGATGAAGATGATGGACGATGAAGATGATGGACGATGAAGATGATATTGATGAAGATGATGGACGATGAAGATGGATGATGAAGATGATGGACGATGAAGATGATAATGATGATGAAGATGATGGACGATGAAGATGATGGACGATGAAGATGATGATGGTGATGATGATGATGAAGATGGACGATGAAGATGATGGATGATGAAGATGGATGATGAAGATGATGGATGAAGATGATGGACGATGAAGATGATGGATGATGAAGATGATGGATGATGAAGATGATGATGGATGATGATGGACGATGAAGATGATGTTTGATGAAGATGCAGGTAATGGCGGCAGCAGATCTAGGGTTCATGCTGAACTTCAGCCACTCACCCCTCAGGTTCTTGATGAAGTCCTCCAGCTTCATCTTCCTCTCGGCCTTCACGTTGGGGCTGTACATGTCAGTGTTGAGGAGGATGATGGCGAAGGCCAGGATGAAGATGGTGTCTGGGTTCTGGAACTGCCGGATCAGCACCGGGTTGCAGACGCAGTATCTCTGACTGACAGGACAGAAACACAGAGCTGAAGATCTAAAAGCTTCTGGGCGAGGAGCTTCATGTGGAGGCTCTGATACCTGAAGGCCTCCACCAGCCGCTCCACCCGCTGAGCTTCGCCCTGGACTTTGATCTGAGCCTGGAACTTCCTCAGAGCTTCATCCAGATCCATCCCAGAGAAGTCCATCTCATCCAGGACGCAGCTGCACAGAAGGCATGCAGGAAGTGAGTTCAGCTACGCTCTGATACCAGATTCTTGGACTATATTTCTATCTGTGCAGACATGCGACACGCTGATGCTGCGTTCACACCGGGGGCAGCAAAAGCAGCAAAATCGCGTCTGCTGCTTCATTTTTGCTGCTTGTACCAGTTAGTTCTGACGCGCGGCTGAAGCAGCTTTGCTGCTCTGCCTGCGCGGTCCAAAAGTGGCTCTGACGCGCGTTGGGCGGAGCTTCACTATCCTTTCTCTGCCTTGCAGCTATATTTGCTGTGATCAGTGGGAATAAAGTAGTTTTAATATGTTTTTAAGTGAGAAAATACACCTGAAAACTTCATCAGTGCAGTCAGTTCATTCAGATTATCATCCTGCCTCCCAATATTATTTCTGTCGGAGCCGCTCAGACCCCCACATACTGGCGGTGCGCCGACAGAAGGAATCCCTTCAACAGCAGCCTCTGGCCGGGTCGCCTCCTCGCGGTTTACCGCGGCGGCTGGTAGGTGTTTTTCATCTAAATAATCCGATCTGCAGGCACCACAATAATAAAAGCGAACATATTCTGCCGGCAGATGTATATATTTTAAGTTAATTATGCGTTAATAAACTGTTTAAGAGGAGTAATCAGAGCGGTCTGTGTCATCAGCGATGTGTCTCTCTCTCCCAGCCAGCTCCCAGATCAGCTTCTCTGATTGGTTGACGCGGCGCGTCGAGCAGCAAAAATTCAATTTTTCCATCTCGAGCAGCAACGCGTTTGCGGCGCGTCACGCGCGTCAGATGCCAAAACGCGCCCGTCGCGCTGCTTCAGCTGCTCGAAACGCGCCGCGGGACCTTTTGCTGCGCCTTGACGCGCGTCCACCATTGACTTTGCATGTAAACTCGCTGCTTCTGTCGCGCCAGCTGCCCCCGGTGTGAACGCAGCATGAGGCTATTGTAGAAACAGATTACTCAGATTTAATGAGAAATGTTCAAAAAACAAAAAGCAGCTCATTCCCACATCAAATAAAAAATAGAAAATAAAAGTGTTGATGAAGAGCAGAGATGGTGAAGAAAGAGCAGCCGTAACCGGGATGGATGCTGGGGGGGGGGGCTATAACACTATATAACACTAACTAACTTAAAAATTTCCTTTTTATTTCAGCCTTTAGGGTTTGATGATCAGCACTGATGCCTCTATAACCTGTTTCCCTGAATTTACTTCAGGTCCGAAGTTCTTGCTCTGTTTGGTGGATGTGATGCTAACAGCGTCCATGTTGACGCTAAGCTCGTCCATGTTGACGCTAAAAGCGTCCATGTTGATGCTAAAGGCATCCATGTTGACGCTAAAGGCGTCCATGTTGATGCTAAAGGCGTCCATGTTGACGCTAAAGGCGTCTATGTTGACGCTAAGCCCGTCCATGTTGACGCTAAAAGCGTCCATGTTGATGCTAAAGGCGTCCATGTTGACGCTAAAGGCGTCCATGTTGATGCTAAAGGCGTCCATGTTGATGCTAAAGGCGTCCATGTTGACGCTAAGCTCGTCCATGTTGACGCTAAAAGCGTCCATGTTGATGCTAAAGGCGTCCATGTTGATGCTAAAGGCGTCCATGTTGACGCTAAAGGCGTCCATGTTGACGCTAAAGGCGTCTATGTTGACGCTAAGCCCGTCCATGTTGACGCTAAAGGCGTCCATGTTGATGCTAAAGGCGTCCATGTTGACGCTAAAGGCGTCCATGTTGATGCTAAAGGCGTCCATGTTGATGCTAAAGGCGTCCATGTTGACGCTAAGCCCGTCCATGTTGATGCCAAAGGCGTCCATGTTGATGCTAAAGGCGTCCATGTTGATGCTAAAGGCGTCCATGTTGACGCTAAAGGCGTCCATGTTGATGCTAAAGGCGTCCATGTTGACGCTAAAGGCGTCCATGTTGACGCTAAGCCTGTCCATGTTGATGCCAAAGGCGTCCATGTTGATGCTAAAGGCGTCCATGTTGACGCTAAAGGCGTCCATGTTGATGCTAAAGGCGTCCATGTTGATGCTAAAGGCGTCCATGTTGACGCTAAAGGCGTCCATGTTGACGCTAAGCCCGTCCATGTTGACGCTAAAGGCGTCCATGTTGACGCTAAAGGCGTCCATGTTGACGCTAAAGGCGTCCATGTTGACGCTAAGCCCGTCCATGTTGATGCCAAAGGCGTCCATGTTGATGCTAAAAGCGTCCATGTTGACGCTAAAGGCGTCCATGTTGATGCTAAAGGCGTCCATGTTGATGCTAAAGGCGTCCATGTTGACGCTAAAGGCGTCCATGTTGACGCTAAGCCCATCCATGTTGATGCCAAAGGCGTCCATGTTGATGCTAAAGGCGTCCATGTTGACGCTAAAGGCATCCATGTTGATGCTAAAGGCGTCCATGTTGACGCTAAAGGCGTCCATGTTGATGCTAAAGGCGTCCATGTTGACGCTAAAGGCGTCAATGTTGACGCTAAAGGCGTCCATGTTGATGCTAAAGGCGTCCATGTTGACGCTAAAGGCGTCCATGTTGATGCTAAAGGCGTCAATGTTGACGCTAAAGGCGTCCATGTTGATGCTAAAGGCGTCCATGTTGACGCTAAAGGCGTCTATGTTGACGGCAAGCCCGTCCATGTTGACGCTAAGCACGTCCATGTTGACGCTAAGCACGTCCATGTTGACGCTAAAGGAGTCTATGTTGATGGCAAGCCCGTCCATGTTGATGCTAAGCCCGTCCATGTCGACGCTAAAGGCGTCCATGTTGACGCTAAACCCGTCCATGTCGACGCTAAAGGCGTCAATGTTGACGCTAAACCCGTCCATGTTGACGCCAAAGGCATCCATGTTGATGCTAAAGGTGCCTATGTTGACGCTAAGCCCATCCATGTTGACCCTAAAGGCGTCTATGTTGATGCTAAGCCCGTCCATGTTGACGCTAAGCCCGTCCATGTTGACGCTAAAGGCGTCCATGTTGACGCTAAACCCGTCCATGTTGACGCTAAAGGCGTCAATGTTGACGCTAAACCCGTCCATGTTGACGCCAAAGGCATCCATGTTGATGCTAAAGGTGCCTATGTTGACGCTAAGCCCGTCCATGTTGACCCTAAAGGCGTCTATGTTGATGCTAAGCCCGTCCATGTTGACGCTAAGCCCGTCCATGTTGACGCTAAAGGCGTCCATGTTGATGCTAAAGGCGTCCATGTTGATGCTAAAGGCGTCCATGTTGACGCTAAAGGCGTCTATGTTGACGCTAAGCCCGTCCATGTTGACGCTAAGCCCGTCCATGTTGATGCTAAAGGCGTCCATGTTGACGCTAAAGGCGTCCATGTTGACGCTAAGCCCGTCCATGTTGGCGCTAAGCCCGTCCATGTTGACGCTAAAGTCGTCCATGTTGATGCTAAAGGTGTCCATGTTGACGCTAAAGGCGTCCATGTTGATGCTAAAGGCGTCTATGTTGACGCTAAGCCCTTCCATGTTGACGCTAAAGGCGTCCATGTTGATGCTAAAGGCGTCCATGTTGACGCTAAAGGCGTTCATGTTGATGCTAAAGGCGTTCATGTTGACGCTAAAGGCGTCCATGTTGATGCTAAAGGCGTCCATGTTGGCGCTAAGCCCGTCCATGTTGATGCTAAAGGCGTCCATGTTGATGCTAAAGGCGTCCATGTTGGCGCTAAGCCCGTCCATGTTGACGCTAAAGGCGTCCATGTTGATGCTAAAGGCTTCCATGTTGGCGCTAAGCCCGTCCATGTTGATGCTAAAGGCGTCCATGTTGGCGCTAAGCCCGTCCATGTTGATGCTAAAGGCGTCCATGTTGGCGCTAAGCCCGTCCATGTTGACGCTAAAGGCGTCCATGTTGATGCTAAAGGCTTCTATGTTGGCGCTAAGCCCGTCCATGTTGATGCTAAAGGCGTCCATGTTGATGCTAAAGGCGTCCATGTTGACGCTAAAGGCGTTCATGTTGATGCTAAAGGCGTCCATGTTGACGCTAAAGGCGTCCATGTTGATGCTAAAGGCGTCCATGTTGGTGCTAAGCCCGTCCATGTTGATGCTAAAGGCGTCCATGTTGATGCTAAAGGCGTCCATGTTGGCGCTAAGCCCGTCCATGTTGACGCTAAAGGTGTCCATGTTGATGCTAAAGGCTTCCATGTTGGCGCTAAGCCCGTCCATGTTGATGCTAAAGGCGTCCATGTTGGCGCTAAGCCCGTCCATGTTGATGCTAAAGGCGTCCATGTTGGCGCTAAGCCCGTCCATGTTGACGCTAAAGGCGTCCATGTTGATGCTAAAGGCTTCTATGTTGGCGCTAAGCCCGTCCATGTTGATGCTAAAGGCGTCCATGTTGACGCAAAAGGCGTCCATGTTGAATGGGTCTAACATGGACATTATTAATAATCAGATTGAGTGTCATCTCCAATCAGACGTCACTGATACTTTCAGGTAAGGACAAAAAAAAAACTTTGTGAAGTTTGAGGTATGAGAAGTGCTGCAGTTCTGTGTTTTGGCCACAGGTGGCAGCATCCTTAGGAAACTTAATGATGTTTGCAACCAAATGAGATGGAATGTTTGATAATAGATGTATGAAAACAATGGCCGTTTCTCAATTCACGAGAATGCGTGTGCGGACTTGCGTTCTCGCCAAGTCCGGTCTTGGGAAGAACACAGGAAAGTATGGACTTGGCGAGAACGCGAGCACGAGCATAGATATGGGTCAATTAGAACAGAAGCGTACTCGGCTCTTCTAGAGCTGCATTTCCCCTCCTGTTATTAATAGTCTCTAGATAATAATAAAATCTGACTTTTTCATTTAGTGGAGGAATAATGATGGACGCAGTCAGATAAACACAAATCAAATGAAATTTTAGCCTGTTGTCATGGTAACAACCTTTACACCTTCAGATATTCAGACAGAACTTTAGCTCAGACTGAATGAACAGTAGAAATGGGTTTGGACACTCACTCCAGGACGTCCTTGTTGAACTGCTGCCGGCTGCCCAGGAACTCCCCGATCATCTGCCTGCTCAGGCCTTTCCGCTCCAGGATGAACCTGGCGATGCCCACCGGAGTGTCCGACACGAAGCCCTTCTCGATCAGGTACTGGATGCCCTTCTCTGGCTTCCTGTGGACCAGCAGAAACTTTCCTTACTCTGCTCCTTCACTCTATAGAAGGTCTAGACTTTACTGTAAAGGTGGCGCTCCTGCATGGTGGTGTTATTCAGCAGAAACATCTGGTCACCGCGTAGAGAGACGGCTGCAGGTTCCAAACACTCTGATGAGGCCGGTTTACAGCAGTGGCCGGCGGAGCATCCGGTACCTCGGCCTTCAGTGGGAACCCCTCAACTGATTCTACTTCCTGTCTCATGATGTTCATAAATATATATATAAAAAGTAAACTCTCCCTCACCCACTGCAGGCAGTCTCCCTCTTTCCTTCTAAGCTGGGCTCCTCTACCAGAGCCCTGGGAGTTTGAGGGTTCTGCCAGTATCTTAGCTCTTCCTAGAACTACACTCTTCTGGACCCAGATGTCTGATGTAGTCAAAGTTAATCTACTGATGCTCTGAAACAGCCAGTCTGTGTCAAACTGATGAATTTATCTTTATTTTAAAGTCTGAAGTCCCTGAAAATGAGAACATCATCGTAGTTCGATGCTGTAGCGCATGGATGGTTTACATTGATATTGGTCTAACTAGGGAGTACCAATATGGCGGCCGGTGGCTTTACTTCCACCCCGTACTACCAACAGGTAATCAGCAGTGAGGGAATAAACATAGATCAGTGGTCCTGACCTCCCCCCACTGGTTCATAGCAGGTGTAGGTCTGTTTCCTGCAGCAGGGAAGCAGGAAGAAACTAAACTCCTGATTCCGATGAATGTTCAGTTTTCAGATGGGAGCTCATCAAACAAGCTTCACAATCTGGTTCCACATACAGCTACTGCATACATTATAGGACAGGGGTGTCAAACTGGTTCCAGAAAGGGCCGTGTGGCTGCAGGGTTTCTTTCCAACCAAGCAATAGCACACCAGACTCCTGTCATCTCATCAAGTGAGTCCAATCTGAACATGATGACATTATGAAATGACTGGAGTCTGGTGAGCTACTGCTTGGTTGGAAAGACACCCTGCAGCCACACAGCCCTTTCTGGCACCAGTTTGACACCCCTGTTATAGGAGGTTCCCTAAACATGGCAGCTGCCTAACATCTTGGACAGGGGTGGGCAATTCCAGTTGCTGGGGGCCAGTATCCTGCAACTTTTAGATCCATCCTTGGTCCAACACGCCTGAATCAAATGGTGAGGTCACCTCTTCAGGGTGCAGCCAGTTCCTGCAGGCCTCCTGATCATCTACTTACTTGATTCCGGGTGTTAAACCAAAAGCACATCTAAAAGTTGCAGGATAGCGCCCCCCAGGAACTGGAATTGCCCACCCTGATGTTGGACCTACTTGTTGAACAGGTTGAGTCCGATGCGGTACTGCCGCCTCTGCACCACGTCGTTGTTGAAGGCGGGCGAGTCCCAGCTGTGGCGGCTCTCCCTCTGGTAGGTCTGCTTCCCCAGCGTGGCCCCTCCCATGGGCTCCCGCAGGCTGTCCCTGGAGGACGAGCCCGAGCTGCAGTTGTTGACGGTGGTGTCGTCGTTGGAGTTGGTGGTGGTGGAGTTGACGCTCTCATTGTCTCCGTCTGAGCAGAGCAGGTGGTGGTGATGGTGATGGAGGTGGGGGTGGTGGACGAGGTGCTGCTGCCCCTCCAGGTTCTGGAGCGCCGAGGAAGAGGACATGGGGGAGGGCGTGAGTGGCGGCGGCAGCGGGGACAGAGGCGTGAGGGGGGGAACCGGGGAGGGCAGGGGAGACGCAGGGGGTTCTGGGTAGGAGTGGGCCAAGTGTTGGTGGTGCAGGGGGTGGTAGTGGTGCTGGGCGAAGTGGTGTGGATGCTGCATGTAGGGGCTGCCGCCGTGGGCGTGGTGCATGTGCATGAGGTGCGGCTGGCTGTACTGGGGGTGGTGGTGGAGGATGGTGGGAAGGTGGGGGACGGCTGAGGGGTGGGGGTGTGAGTGTTGGAGCGGGTGAGACGGCAGCGTCCTGGCCGACGGCATGGGCAGGGGGACGTTAGCGGGGCTGCGGGTCTGTCCCTGCGCCATGGCCACGGAGCGGCCGTTCGGTTTGTGTTTGATGGTTCCTTGTAGAGATTCGGCTTCGCTGCTCCCTCCCGCCAGCTCCTCCTCTCCACTTTCACCCTCCCCTCCTATCCCCCTTTCTCCTCCTTGCTCTGCTCCTGAGGACTCCTGCTCGTACACCAAACGCCCGATAGAGCCCCGCTCCGACCTGAGGAAACACAAACACTCATTCATGTTGGTGTTGCAGCGTCATGCTTCAGGCAGCGGGTCGGAGCTGCGAGTTTTAGTTGTTTCCAAACACCTGAAATATGCGACTGACTGATTAACAGCAGAGCTGGTGAATGTAAGTCTGTATATTTCCACACGCAACATGTTGTCCCGTCACGATAAAGTGATCCGTAGGCAGTGGTGCCTCCAGAAATGTGTCATAGGGGGGCCAGGGTATGGCACAGTGTGGCCCCCTGGTGGCGCCACTGTCCATTGGAAATTTCTGCTGGGAAAGAAGGTTTCTATATTTAACTGACTGATATTTGACACTAAGAATCTGTGAAGAAGTCGATGTGGTGAGAAGACGCACATCTTATCTGTTTCTTTCCAAATGTTTAGTAAAACAAGCTGCTTCTGGGAAATGATGGCTATTTTAACATGACATCACTCAGGGTTCCTGTAGCCTAACGCAAGCTTTATTCAAGACATTTTAATGCAACTTGAAATTTTTATTGTAACGTAACCATTACTTTCTGGCCCAGTAAAAACTTTACAGATTTTTAAAAACTTTCCATTTAGGACAAAAGTAAAAACACAAATAAAATAGATTTTTATCAACAACTGAACTGAAACCACCAACTTTGGTTTGTTTTCGAGTCTGAGTTCACAATAGCTCTGCTTTCATTGTACGTAGTGGCGCCACCAGGGGGCGGCCAGGAGTGGCCACGGCCATCCTACGCAATGCCCTGGCTAGCCCACCAGCCACCACACTGGCCAGTGGCGCGTTGGCAGTGATTTAAATAACTTAACCAGCCAGAAATGCCGGTGGCTGGAACCAAGGGTGTAACTTAGTGATAAAAGTTGGTGGAGACGCTCTAAGGGTGGAGGCACTCTAAGGGTGGGGGGGCTGTAAGGGTGGAGACGCTCTAAGGGTGGGGGCGCTATAAGGGTGGGGGCGCTCTAAGGGTGGGGGGGCTGTAAGGGTGGAGACGCTCTAAGGGTGGTCTTCGCGGGTTTGCGACCATCCAACGTGTAGTCAGGATGTTTTTGAGGTGCGTGATGGTTGCAGAGCCTCTGGGAGGGGGGGGTGGTCACACACACAGATTTGACGGTTGCAGAGGCTATGCATCAGAAGCATAAACTGGCCTTAAGGTTCTGCAGCAGCGCCGCCTCAGTAAAGGTCAGAGGTCAGAATTCAGCAATAACAGAAAACCTTAGAGTGTCCAGAGTCCTCACCTGTCACTCATGTCCACTGAACTGTCACTGGGCGGTTCAATAGTGAGGACAGGCAGGTGTCCCCCTCCCCCCGCGCCTCCTCCTCCTCTCCCTCTGTACTCCCCTCTGCACTCAGTGCAGGGGGTGCTGCTCCTCCGGCTGGCGTTGCTGCCTGCCTCCGTCTCTCTGCTGTCCTCCCTCCCCCCTGCGCCTCTCCCTCCCCCCCAGTAGTCCGTGTCGGAGCTGGAGGCGGGACGGGACAGTGGCGAGGACGGGAGGCAGCCTTCGTCCATGTAAAGGGTGACGTCACTGAAGGAGGTGGCGGTGCTGTCCTCGTGCATGGCGACGCCTCCTCTGCCTCCCTCCACCCGGCCAGGCACACGTCGGGATGCTGTATTGGTGCTGTGCCACCCACACTGCCTGTAATCCACGTCTTCATCTTCCTCCTCCTCTTCTTCTTCCTCATCTTCCTCATCCTCATCTCCCTCCTCATCCTCGTCCTCCTCTCCTTCTCCTCCGACGTCCTGTGAGTCTTCCCGGCCAGACTGGCAGGTGAGAGAGTCGTCCATGGAGTCAGCGAGAGATTTTACCTGCAGAGGACGAAGGAAAGAATTAAAACTGGATGGATGGATGGATGGATGGATGGATGGATGGATGGATGAGAGAAGGACTGAGGACAGAAGGACAATCAGATGTTTGGAGACGGTGTTGCTAAAGAGACCTGAGGAATAGTTGAAGCTGAAAATGACTCCTATGTTTTTCTGTCAGGTTTTTTTCACACCCATAAAGACAGATTTATTGACCAAAGCATTTCTACCAGAGAGTTTAAAGTTTTGCCGCCACAGTTGATCTAAAAATAACCATTTAGCTAAATCTTAAAGTCCCTCTCTGTGTTTATAGGTTCCCATAGAGCAGTGTTTTTCATTCCTGGTCCTGAAGGCGTCCTGCTCTGCATGTTTTGGATGTTTCTGAGGTTCAGCGAAGCCTGATAATCTGCTATCAATTGATAACACAGGGTTCGTACGGGTGCTGGAAATCCTTGAAAATGCTTGCATTTTGACGTTGTGTTTTCAAGGTTTGAAAAGTGCTTATATTTTAGATGAAATGCTTGAAATTGTAACTATTTCTATCCCTATCTAACTGAATCGTGTGTTTATTAAATGGAGAGATAAAATGTTGGAGAGCCCGAAAATGAAACCTGCTCGCTTATGTGTGACTGCGATCTGCCAGTCTATTTCCATGTGTGACTCCGCCCCCATGAAACCACTACTGCACTATGCCGGGAGGTTGTCGTTTCAATGAACGTTGGCTGGAAGATAAAAAATACAAATGATGGATTAAACGGGGACAAACCCCACGAGTTGCCTCTTGTAAGGTCTGCAGAAAAGATGTGCAGCTTTTCACAATGGGCGAGTCTGCGCTGTCGAGTCACATGAAGGGTGAGTCATAGACTTTTAAGTAAGCCAACTGAAGTAGCCTGATACACGTTAACGTTAGCGCCTATATGTTTACGCTAGTAACTGCTAGCTAGGAATTCACAGGCTATTAAAAAAGCGAAGTTTTATTTCATTGCCAGGCCCAGACCTTAAAGCAGCATTGATAACTCTACGGCTGATAATACTGAATTGCGACACCCTCTGGTTGGTTATATTACTACGCCATGGCAGAGGAGTCATTTTCAGAGGAGGAGTCATCGGTGAACTATATGTGGAAAGGTAAGGTTAATTAAAACTGATAATAGAAAATAAATATCTGCCTCGTGTGCTCTGAAAAATTAAGATGGAACTTAGTTTTATGTATTCATTTCAAACCCCCCCCACCCCCCGGCAGTCATCCGCGCAAAACTGGCTCTGGCCGACATCACTAAATACTAATTTTGACTGTGTATTGGTATGTAATTTACAGTGGTGTAAGGTGCTGGAAAATGTTTTAAAATGGATCTTGAAAGTGCTTGATTTTGACTTTGGAAAAGGTGTACGAACCCTGTAACAGGTGAGACATCTAAAACATGCAGGGCAGGGTGCTCCACTGCCAAAACACTGCCATAGAGTCTGACATTAAGATTCTTCCATCGTCAGACGTCTGGCATAGATGACTAACCGCTGACGGTTCTGCTATTTACAGCTTAATGCTGTAGCAGGGACTGTTTTCAGAATGATGTTTTTGGCAAAGTTTCATTCCTAATCAAACTTGCTACACAGGAAATGGTTCCAGTAAGAGCTGCTGGTCCAAACCTGCATGAGGAAACAAGGATAACCAAGGAGGTAAGTTTATTGTACCGCCACATGCAGCCCAATGCTTTGGAAGGAGAAAAATCTCTGGCATCTTGTGCTCAAAGTCTCATTGGTTTGAAAGCTTTTTTATTGGAAACTTTCTCTATGCAGACGACACCTTGTTTCATTTATAAAACTGACTCCGGCTGCTTATCAAAAAAACAAAAAGTGGTTGCCTGTTTGGAAAAAGAGTCGTCCATGTCTCCAGCGTCCTCTGAGCCCTGCTGACCGGGTGAGCCCTGACCCTGCGGCTGCCGCTCATCAAACGAATACTGCGCTCAGAGGAAACAGCAGATCAGAACGCTGGTACTCTGGACTGACCGCGGTAGACCTGCCGCCGCGCAGAAACTTCCTACCTGCAGTCTCATGTTGGACAGGATGATGCGGCGGGTCATCCTGCTCTCTGAGGCCGAGCTGCGGAGCCTCTCAAACTTCTTGTTCATGCGGTATCGTCTGAACGCCGTCTGGATCGTCCTCGCTGCCCGCCGGGACACAAACTGGCCGCCATACTTCCTTTCCAACATCTCCACCTATCAGGGGACACAGTCAGGAGTCCTGGACCAGAAAGTTTTTGTATTTTTTCTGCTGATCCTGCTGGGCTGTACCTTCTTGTCCTGGAGGTCTGTAGAGAGCTCATAGCTGTCAGATAGCGCCTTGCAGCGTTTGCTCTCCTCCTCCTCTTGCTTGCGGAGCGCCAGGCTGGCCGGCTGATGTCTGCTGCGCTGAGCCCAGGCAAGGCTAGCTGGGCTGGGGGGGGGTATCGGCGAGCTGCCCTGAAGGGGAAGAGAGAGGAGGAAGTATAGACACACTGTAGGTACCAGATCAGCTCGTGGCCCCGCCCCTTCCTGTGATGACAACATGTGGCAACGCCACTCGGACAAACTGTATTGCACCCGTTCCTTAAGGATCAAATCTCTTTTGGAGTCTCAACATATTATTGCCTATATTTGCTATTATTTTAAATTTCATTGACGATCTAAAGGAGCCGAAAGTAGAAAACAATCTTCCTCCCGCCTCAGTGTGTCACAGTGAGATTGTCTGCAGATATTTTTGATTTCTGCCCAATATTGAAGCGTGGTCTGCGCTATGTTATTCCACGCCACAACGCCAGAGGGCCAATCAGGAACCAGCTGTGGGTCTAGATACGGCCGAGGCGGTGAGGAAGTGGGGGCAACTTTGTGCGACAACGGAGGGACATGAGGGCCAAAAAGAGCGGGGATCCAGGTGGGAAAAGGGTCCCAGCGTTCTCGCGCACCTCGCTCTGCTAGATGCTCCATCTTCACCAGTCGTTTTCCACCATGGCGGCCAGACAAACAAAAGAAGCCGGTAAGGAACCAGACAGGAAATACGCATAGAGTAGAGCGGATGTAGATCTGACCAATCAGAGGCCTCCTGTCTACGTTCACCTACAGTTTCAGAGAGGTGCAGCAGAGTGTCTGGGGAAGGGGCGGGGCATATCTGAAACCTAATCTTAACCAGCATGGCTGAATCTGTAAACACCCTGCGGGAGCTTAGATTTCAGTTTGCAGGAGGCCAGCAGACTCCTGAAGAACTCAGCTGTGATATTTTCTAGCTGATCTTCTAACGGAGCTCTGATACCAGCAGGGCTCCTGGTTGTGTGGATTTAATCTTTTTAAAGCACAAATTAAACCTCATAGAGGGTTAGCCTCCTTCCACGGGATACGGTTCCGAAAAGGATTCAGGAGATGAGGGAAACCTGCCACCTACTGGTGGCGCTGTGGCACACAAACAATCTAAAACAAGAGCTGGCAGGAGAATCGCATGCAGGTTACAGAGACATGGAGACGGAAACATGGAAGGTAGAGACGGTCTGAGCTGACCCTTTAAGCTGGCCTCTGTGGACCGGGTCTCTGTCCTCTGTGGACCGGGTCTCTGTGGACCAGTCCTGTGTGGACCGGGTCTCTGTGGACCTGGCCTGTGTGGACCAGTCCTCTGTGGACCGGGCCTCTGTGGACCGGGTCTCTGTGGACCAGTCCTCTGTGGACCGGGCCTCTGTGGACCGGGCCTCTGTGGACCGGGTCTCTGTGGACCGGGCCTCTGTGGACCGGGTCTCTGTGGACCGGGCCTCTGTGGACCGGGCCTCTGTGGACCGGGCCTCTGTGGACCGGGTCTCTGTGGACCGGGTCTCTGTGGACCGGGCCTCTGTGGACCGGGCCTCTGTGGACCGGGTCTCTGCGGTGGACCGGGTCTCTGTGGACCAGTCCTCTGTGGACCGGGTCTCTGTGGACCGGGCCTCTGTGGACCGGGTCTCTGTGGACCGGGTCTCTGTGGACCAGTCCTCTGTGGACCGGGTCTCTGTGGACCGGGTCTCTGTGGACCAGGCCTTTGTGGACTGGGCCTCTGTGGACCGAGTCTCTGTGGACCGGGTCTCTGTGGACCGGGTCTCTGTGGACCAGTCCTCTGTGGACCGGGTCTCTGTGGACCGGGTCTCTGTGGACCGGGTCTCTGTGGACCAGTCCTCTGTGGACCGGGTCTCTGTGGACCGGGTCTCTGTGGACCAGGCCTTTGTGGACTGGGCCTCTGTGGACCGAGTCTCTGTGGACCGGGTCTCTGTGGACCGGGTCTCTGTGGACCAGTCCTCTGTGGACCGGGTCTCTGTGGACCGGGTCTCTGTGGACCAGGCCTTTGTGGACTGGGCCTCTGTGGACCGGGTCTCTGTGGACCGGGCCTCTGTGGACCGGGTCTCTGTGGACCGGGCCTCTGTGGACCGGGTCTCTGTGGACCAGTCCTCTGTGGACCGGGTCTCTGTGGACCGGGTCTCTGTGGACCAGGCCTTTGTGGACTGGGCCTCTGTGGACCGAGTCTCTGTGGACCGGGTCTCTGTGGACCAGTCCTCTGTGGACCGGGCCTTTGTGCACCGGGTCTCTGTGGACCGGGTCTCTGCGGTGGACCGTGTCTCTGTGGACCGGGTCTCTGTGGACCGGGTCTCTCTGGACCGGGCCTTTGTGCACCGGGTCTCTGTGGACCGGGCCTCTGTGGACCGGGCCTTTGTGCACCGGGCCTCTGTGGACCGGGCCTCTCTGGACCGGGCCTCTCTGGACCGGGCCTTTGTGCACCGGGTCTCTGTGGACCAGTGACGTGCGGTCAGGGGAGGCAGGTGAGGCAGTGCCTCACCAGCCATCATGGAAAGAAAGAAAATATATAATCATAAAGTAATTTAAATTGTTATATTCATCCGGTGGTTTGTACTAAAAAATATTCATTTTTCATGTAGCTTCACCAATTTCGATTTTTATTTGTTCAAAATCGCTGAATTTTCTTATTTTCCCATTCAAATGCTTGGAAGCGATGCCGGTGAGGCAGCAGCGAGCTCTGCCTCACCTTGGATTGCGCAACCCCTGGCTCTGCGCTGGCTGCAAAGCGGAGAGAGCATGTTGCTGTACGGCGTCAATAAAATGGTTTAAACAAATGTAATATGTGAACTTATTTCTAATAATTTGGCTTATGTATATAATGTACAGAGCTTTTTGTCACCAACTGTGTTTGTGTAACGTGTTTCGTGTAATGAGCGATTATAAACGGCAGAGAACAAGTTCGAGGTGAGGCAGGCAGTTCTCTTGCCTCATGGCAGGGGGTGCTCAAGAGACTGAAAACATAAGGCAGGAACAGGACGGATCAAGGAAGGCTTTCTTCCCTGGCAGTGATCTCCATTGAGACAGAGAGACTTTTAAAACTGAAGGAAGATAAGGAGGACTTCTATTCATTTATAAGTAAAGGTAAGACAGTAATAACATTTATTTTGTTTTGTTTTTTAAGGAAATGTGTGTTTTGTGAGCTACAGTTTGTATGTGTAAGGATGCAGAAGTGAAACATAACCTGTAAACTGCTGTCAATCTATGCATCTATTTGCAAATCTGATTCTGATGACGTCAGTGCCTCACCAGCTATGAACCTCACCGCACGTCACTGCTGTGGACTGGGTCTCTGTGGACCGGCCTGACGCTTTCAGACGGGGTTTATTTGTTTAGATCCAGGTTCTGTCCTGGTTCTGTGTGACTGAGTACCTGTGTCTGCGGGTAAGAGGCTCCCAGGGGCCCGCTGCTGGAAGTGGGACCGTAGGGGTCACAGGGGCTGCAGAGCGGGCTGTTGCTATAGCGATGGAAGGGAGCAGGATGTCCAAAGGACGAGTCTGAGAAGTTGAGGACCTCTGGACACTGAGGGTCTCCCTCCACGCTGTGAGAGAGAAAGACAGAGAGACAGAGAGGACATTAGTTCTTCCTGTTTAGACCAAAGAACGGGTCACTAGAACCAGTCTGGACCGGATCAGAACCGATCCACACCAGAGAAACTGACCAATCAGATCACACCTACCAGAACAAGAAGGAGCAACCTAACAGAATCCATCCATCCATCCATCATTCATCCATCCATCATCCATCCATCCATCATTCATCCATCCATCCATCATCCATCCATCCATACATCCATCCATCCATCATCCATCCATCCATCATCCATCATTCATCCATCCATCATCCATCCTTCCATCCATCATCCATCCATCATTCATCCATCCATCCATCCTCCATCCATCCATCATCCATCCATCCATCATCCATCCATCATCCATCATCCATCCATACATCCATCCATCCATCATCCATCATTCATCCATCCATCCATCATTCATCCATCCATCCATCATCCATCCATCCATACATCCATCCATCCATCCATCATTCATCCATCCATCCATCCATCCATCATTCATCCATCCATCATTCATCCATCCATCCATACATCCATCCATCCATCCATCATTCATCCATCCATCATCCATCCTTCCATCCATCATCCATCCATCATTCATCCATCCATCCATCCTCCATCCATCCATCATCCATCCATCCATCATCCATCCATCATCCATCATCCATCATCCATCCATACATCCATCCATCCATCATCCATCATTCATCCATCCATCCATCATTCATCCATCCATCCATCATCCATCCATCCATACATCCATCCATCCATCCATCATTCATCCATCCATCCATCCATCCATCATTCATCCATCCATCCATCATCCATCCATCCATACATCCATCCATCCATCCATCATTCATCCATCCATCATCCATCCTTCCATCCATCATCCATCCATCATTCATCCATCCATCCATCCTCCATCCATCCATCATCCATCCATCCATCATCCATCCATCATCCATCATCCATCCATACATCCATCCATCCATCATCCATCATTCATCCATCCATCCATCATTCATCCATCCATCCATCATCCATCCATCCATACATCCATCCATCCATCATTCATCCATCCATCCATCCATCCATCATTCATCCATCCATCCATCCTCCATCCATCCATCATCCATCCATCATTCATCCATCCATCATCCATCCATCCTCCATCCATCCATCCATCATCCATCCATCCATACATCATCCATCCATCCATCCATCATCCATCCATCCATCATCCATCATCCATCCATCATTCATCCATCCATCCATCCATCATCCATCCATCCATCATCCATCATCCATCCATCATCCATCCATCCATCATCCATCCATCCTCCATCCATCCATCCATCATCCATCCATCCATCCATCATCCATCCATCATTCATCCATCCATCATCCATCCATCCATACATCCATCCATCCATCATTCATCCATCCATCCATCATCCATCCATCCATCCATCATCCATCCATCCATCCATCCTCCATCCATCCATCATCCATCCATCCATCCATCATTCATCCATCCATCCATCCATCATCCATCCATCCATACATCCATCATCCATCCATCCATCCATCCATCATTCATCCATCCATCATCCATCCATCCATCATTCATCCATCCATCCATCCATCCATCATCCATCCATCATCCATCCATCCATCCATCATCCATCCATCATCCATCCATCCATCATTCATCCATCCATCCATCATCCATCCATACATCCATCCATCATCCATCCATCATCCATCCATCCATCCATCCATCATCCATCCATCCATCCATCCATCCATCCATCCATCCATCCATCCATCCATCCATCCATCCATCCATCCATCATCCATCCATCATCCATCCATCAATCCATCCATCCATCATCCATCCATCATCCATCCATCCATCATTCATCCATCCATCCATCATCCATCCATCATCCATCCATCCACCATCCATCCATCCATCATTCATCCATCCATCCATCCATCATCCATCCATCCATCCATCCATCCATCATCCATCCATCCATCCATCATCCATCCATCCATCCATCCATCATTCATCCATCCATCCATCCATCCATCATCCATCCATCATCCATCCATCCATCATTCATCCATCCATCCATCATCCATCATCCATCCATCCATCATCCATCCATCCATCATTCATCCATCATCCATCCATCATCCATCCATCCATCCACCATCCATCCATCATCCATCCATCCATCATTCATCCATCCATCCATCATCCATCCATCATCCATCCATCCATCCATCATTTATCCATCCATCCATCCATCATCCATCCATCCATCCATCCATCATCCATCCATCATCCATCCATCATCCATCCATCCATCATTCATCCATCCATCCATCCATCATCCATCCATCCATCATCCATCCATCCATCCATCCATCCATCCATCCATCGTCCATCCATCCATCATTCATTCATCCATCCATCCATCATCCATCCATCCATCATTCATCCATCCATCCATCAATCCATCCACCATCCATCCATCCATCATCCATCCATCCTTCATCCATCCATCCATCGTCCATCCATCCATCCATCATCCATCCATCCATCCATCCATCCATCGTCCATCCATCCATCCATCCATCATCCATCCATCATTCATCCATCCATCCATCATCCATCCATCCATCATCCATCCATCCATCCATCCATCCATCCATCCATCGTCCATCCATCCATCATTCATTCATCCATCCATCCATCATCCATCCATCCATCATTCATCCATCCATCCATCAATCCATCCACCATCCATCCATCCATCATCCATCCATCCTTCATCCATCCATCCATCGTCCATCCATCCATCCATCGTCCATCCATCCATCCATCCATCATCCATCCATCATTCATCCATCCATCCATCCATCCATCCATCGTCCATCCATCATCCATCCATCATTCATCCATCCATCCATCCAACTGAACAGAAGGGATTTCAAACCAGACCAAATTCATCTGGACCAGATCAGAACAATCCAGACTGAGGGGGACAAACCTTCTCAGTTCAGACTGTTCAGATTTTATGAACACCCTCCACATGGATGGGATTAAACAAACTTCATTTAAGTTCCAGATATCAGAACAAAATAACAATCTAAGTTTTACCAAAGAACCAACAGTCTCCATTCTGTGGAGATGAAAGTGTGGAACAAACAGAAGAGAGGAAGCCTGGTGGCCGATCTAAAAACCACCTAATTCACTGAGAAGAAGCATGGAGCTCTGGAGCTGGTTTGATAAAACCCTCCAACCCGTAAAGCTTAAAGCAGAGGACCTCAGTTCTGAACAGAACAACTGATGGATGATCAGTCAGATGACTGATGAGTCACTGAGAGGCTGAAGCAGGAGGAATCTACCGGCGGCCATCTTTGGCCGAGTCCCAGTCCTCCCTCTGAACCCTCCGCCCCTCTATGAACTGCTTCCAGTGTTCAGACCACACTGGGACAGAATCTGCGCCTCGCATCGTAACGCAGACATGAGAGGACCAGTCCTTGTTCCTGTGATATCACTCCGAGGAGGTCATTTTAAAACAAACGCAGCAAGAAGTTCTGTTGTTTTCTCACATATTCAGTAAAATCTGAATTATTTTGATGATCCCACCTGGAAGCAAGTGTTTGTTCTGCACAGGTTCACTATTTTCACCTTATTTAAACCATAAACCAGTCAAACTAATTATCAGCCAAGGGCAAAACATCTGTTAATAGAATATAGAAGAAGATTAATGGGAGAATAAATCCAGCTAGAAGAAAGAAATGAAAATGGCATTTTAGAAAAAAGGAATCAGATATCTTAAAACATATTTTGATTGAGCAGAATGATATAAAAACCATAAAATAATTGTGAAGATATGACGACTTTCCGTTTCCAGCAGTGAATATTTGAGCATCAGAAGAATCGACTCAGACTGTCGATGTAGAAACTATGAGCCAATTAAAACTGAAGATGTTATCAATCCACCAATTAAGACCTGAATTAAATTCATCTGCTTCAAATCTGAATCTCATCTTTAAATTATCACCAACATCTATTTGGTCCCCTCCGTGTTTTGATTGGGTTTATTTAAATGTTGGAGAAATGAGCCATTTAATAAATTTACAGTGAAGATTAATGAGGGTCACCGTTGCTAAATCTGGTATTTTTTCTAAATAAGCTCCTTATTTCTATCGAAATATATGGAAAAGGTTTACCTGATCATTATCAAACCAAACATTTATTATCAAGTATAACTTGTATGAATATTTGTATTTCATTTTGGAAGGTTAGGAAAATGTGATTAAACAGAGTAATCCTGATTAACTGAGGTCTGGTTTGCAGATTTTATTATATCTGAGGTTATATTTATTAAATAAAACATTGCTAGTATAAGATTGAATACATCTTTAACAGAAACTATACTCTTACTCACTGATGATTTTTTTTTTACAGCAAATTATCTCCTGGATAATTATTGATTGAATATTAATTTAGAGAACAAAGATTCTGTTTGTGATTTATGGATCAAGCGTTATAGGAGCTGCTCGTCACCAATAATCCCCTGCCTGGCGAATTATGAGAACAATCTTCAACAAAGTTCACTTGGATGTGGATCAAGGTTGCAAAGGGGGCAGGGCCAAATACCACTCTGGAGAATCAGGACGCACTACACACTGCAGGGACGCACAATCCAATATATTTCTACTGGTAACCATCTTTCTCTGCCAGTGGCCATCTTTCCCTATCAGTGGCCATCTTTAGCTGCTGGTGGCCATCTTTCTCTGCTGCGGCCATCTTTCTTGGCTGGTGACCATCTTTCTATGCTACATCCAGCTTTCTCTGCCAGTGGCCATCTTTCCCTATCAGTGGCCATCTTTAGCTGCTGGTGGCAATCTTTCTATGCTACATCCATCTTTCTCTGCCA